TCCTTGTTTCTGGATATATTTAAATAATTTTGGCTAAAGACCATACTCATTGAACCTACCAGTGGCAACACCGGCATTGGATTGGCTGCCATTGCGGCATTGAAGGGTTACAAACTTATACTGACCATGCCTGCTTCAATGAGTCTTGAGAGAAGAATTGTGTTACGAGCTCTTGGAGCTGAGGTTTGCCTTACTGATCCGGCCAAGGCGTTTGAGGGGGGACTTAAGAAAGCTGAGGAGATACTAAGTAACACACCCAATGGGTATATGCTTCAGCAATTTGAAAATCCTGCCAATCCAAGGGTAGGGTCATTTTGCCGAACTTTTGGTCTGTGTGGGTTGGATTTTGAAAGAATTTCAAAATAGTTTGTTTATGTTTATATAGATTCATTATGAAACCACTGGCCTAGAAATATGGAAAGACTCTGGAGGGGAAATCGATATCCTGGTTGCAGGAGTTGGGACGGGAGGAACCGTGACTGGAGCCGGGAGATTCCTTAAGGAGAAAAAGCCAGCTATTAAGGTTGGTTGTGCATCTATGTGCACATGTGCATGTGTTGAGACTGTGAGAAAGAGGGAGTTCTGATTATCTTCATATTAATTGGGTGCCTTTTGTGCAGGTGTATGGCATAGAGCCTGTTGAAAGTGCTGTATTGAGTGGAGGAAAACATGGTAATTATTAAACTCTTTCAAGCTCTAGTTCTTTGTTCTTTTTCATGTAGTTGGATTCTTCTAACATTTATAGTTCTTGTGGTTCTAGTGCTGAAGGTTCTTACGAGCAGAACCATTAACATCAACATTTCCCGTTAAATGATCTGTGTTGTGTTCTTGAATTTTTTTCCTATCAAATTCCTTCTAAGATTGATAATGTTCTCATTATGATTGTTTCATTTTCAATCATTGGTTGCTTGCTAAACATGTCAAAGGCCCGCATCTAATCCAAGGAATTGGTGCTGGGATCATTCCTAGTGTTTTGGATGTTGCCATACTGGATGAAGTTTTTCAAGTAAGTTTGAAACCATATTTTAGGTAGTGGCTATCAGTACATAGCCTCAACCGCAGTAGAAAAGGAAAACTCTTGTCATAAGACTATGTTTACTTTCAGCTGTGATGTTCCTTTTTAGGTATCAAGTGAGGAAGCTATTGAAACTACCAAGCTGCTTGCATTGAAAGAAGGTTTGCTGGTAGGTTCACAGGTTACACCTATTAAGTTTCTATGTCCTTGTGTGTAAAACAAAAGTAACCCTCCATCTCCACGAGTGATGAGCCTCTCTGTTTCCATTCATGGCATAGATTTTAGGATTTATCTTTCCGTTTTTCGGCTCATAGGTTGGTATATCATCTGGGGCCGCGGCAGCTGCTGCGATAAAGGTGGCTAAGAGGCCAGAAAATGCTGGGAAACTCGTTGTTGTAAGTTCTGTTAGCTACTGCAAATTGGTATTGAAGCTCATGAATGATTCACATTATATATGTCAGAACATTCTTAGCTTTTCTGCCTTGAGTATGGAGGGTCATGTCAGGGGCACACCAGCAGCTTAAGAAAGTAGTTGAGGGCTTACTTTGTATCCAACTCAATTAATTACGTCATTTCTTTTGATTGCCATGCAGGTTGTATTCCCTAGTTTCGGAGAACGTTATTTGTCTTCCAAGCTTTTTGATTCCATTAGGCATGAAGCGGAAAACATGACCTTTTAGCTGTACTGTATCTCACTTCAGCTTGCCCTAGCTCTTGACTTGCATATAAGTGCAGAATCTTATGGCTTTATAAGTGATCCAGGAATACAGAGAAACCAGTCTGAAGACTTGTCTTATTTTGGAAACCTTGTTCAAGCATTAGGGATCTAAGAAGGGATTTCTTATCTTTTACTCTCCATCACATTTCTGGAAACTGTAATACCTCAGCGTTTTAGTCCATAGCCTTGCTGATTTAGCTATAGATTCTGAATTCTGGAGGAGATTGATCCATATGGACTAGAGGACTTGCCTCTAGGCCCTACTGATTACTAATGTATCCTATTGTTTTTAAATAAAGTACCTCTTTCTAATTTTTTTTAAAAAAAAACGGTTGACCTTTGACTTGGGAAAAAAAAAACCTGATCAGCCCATCAGTATTTAGCTGTAATCAATAAATTGTTGTTTGGTTTGAGTCAAAACTGAGTAAGTTATAAATTAGTTGAATTAATTAGTTCTATTTGTTTTAAAAATTATTATTTAATTCTTTGACCAGATTATGTTTAATTAAATATTACTTTTATTTTACAAAATATATTCGCTTCTCATAAATATTTTTATATTTTCTTTCATATTTCTTTTTTAAAAAACAAACAATCAAAACAAATTACAAGAGGCAAAAACAAATTAAGTTACAAGTATATTTAAAATGATTTGCTAAATCCGCTATATATTTTATTATTTCCACCAATTTTTTATTGTAAGTTACTAAGAAATCCCTACATCTTATTATTATCCGGTTACTAACTTGATGTGATGATGGAGTGTTGGTAATATATAATAAAAATCTTAGTAAAAATAATAAAATATATGATGGATTTAGCAATACCTTATTTAAAAATATAGAAATAATTAGTTTTTAAAATAAAAATTAATTAGTTTGTTTTTCCAAATTAGAGAAATTAATTACACGGATAGGCTGTGTTTGTGCTGCAGGAATGCCTTATTTGCATCTTTATTTTCATTTTTTATCAATACAGGGGAACTAATTTATCTTTTTTCTTGTAATTTTGAACACATCTACAATATCCACTTCAAAAATAGTTAATAATAATTCAACAGGTTAGGTCTTGATTAATTAAAAGTAAACAAACTTTGAGTTACATACACATGATCATAATCTCATGCTAAATATATACGTACAATATATATATATATATATATATATATATATTAAGAAAAAACAGGAATCTCAAGTAGATGCTAAGAAAAGAGGTTATGAAGAACATAAAAGAGAGTTAGAGAGCGCTTAAGTTAATTTTTTCTTTTATATTTTTAATTTTTTAAATTATTATATTAAATAGTTATTATAACACTTAATTAAAAAGATGACATGGAAGCCTACATGACAAAATTATCCTTTTTTATAAATAAGATTTAAAATATATTATTTGAAAAAAAATAGATTACAAGTACCCTATTTAAGAAAAAATTCTCAAATTTAGCTCCATTTTTATCAAAAAATATCTCAAAACCACATAAATAACATTAAAAAAATTCTTTTAGAACCTCAAAACCTATTTTAATTTATAAAAAAACACACACAAAATCAAATAAAAAAACTCAAAATATTTTTGAATCCTTGATCTACCTCCTCCGATCATTTCATCGTTTTTCACCACTATAAATAGATTCTATTTATCGAGCCAAACAAAATGGTGGGATGCTTGACTTTGGGAGTGGCTGAAACTAGTCTCCTTGTTCATCTCTCTCCTTCAAGTATGCAGGACTAAAATAAAAGAAAAATAAAATTATAGACTGAAAAAAAACAATTACAACATAGGGGATGAGAATAAAAAAAATTGTTACATTTGCATACCAATGCCAAAAACACAAGAAAAATAACAAAAAAACCATACCAAAAAATTAAATAAATTACCACTTAGTGAACAGTAAATTAAGGCATGTGAACAGGCTAGTAATAGTGAAAATCCCATGCCTTTTATTTTATTTTATTATTATTATTTTTTTTTTTGGTAACAAGACTTAATGGATATTATGTGTAATTTTGTTTAGAAAGAATTCTCAATATGATTGAGAATATATGGACTAATTTTGTTATATTAGAACTCTTGATCCGAATGACATTAAGTAGGTTTTGAATATGAATTAAATTAAAAATTAACTTTTTTCATAAGTAATACTAAATATAATCTTAAGTGTGTATTCGACTATGTTAGTCAGACAAAATTCAGCAGGTTGGAGGCCAGAAGACATTTCTACGAAATGTATAATTTTTAAGTGAATGACTCATTAAAAAGTCTAAATAACGGATAATTTTTAGTCTAAGAATGCTATAGTACATTCTCGGTCTCTATCTTCATGAACTCCTCCTAATTTTTATACCTGCCTTCAGACTTATTAAAAGTATTTTAAACCTTCATATTCTTCTCCATAAAGGTACAAGACTTTGTATATTTATTAATTTTCTTATAAGTTCTTTTAGGTAAAGGAAAAGCTATAATTTACGGTCTAAAACAACCGTAACAAATAAAATATGCATAAAATTGATTAGAAGTAGTATAAAATTTAACATGTTATATATTTATTAAAATAAGTGCATATTTCACAACAAAATTGATAAAATCATAAATGTATTCTCTTTATTTGAAAGAGATTGTCTTTTTATTTATTTATTTATATCTGTTTTAAAATATTTATCTGATTAAAATTTTAAGTATTCTATTTTTTTAAATAAAATATTTTATGAATTCATGAATAAAAAATTCTAAGATAACATAACAATTAATATCTTTCATAATTTGTGTAAAAAGTTAAAAAAAAAAAAACTGCTTAGAACAAAATTAGTAATAAAATGGGATAAGGAGGTTAAAGGGGCTAGAGGTTTATTGTACGGGCATTTGGCTCCTCTTTCATGCGGGTATTCGGCAACCGCCTTCATATTGAATAAACATCTTTATCCATATCCGCCACTATCAGCGGGGGACACGCGAACCACTACATCGAACCTTCTTCACAGCCTTTGATTCATTGAGAGCCCAAAATCCCTGGCCTCAAATAAGAAGCCCATTATAGAAAATTACACGTCAAACCAAGCCCAACAAAGAACTGAACTTTCAAATCTCACACGTGTTCTCCACACGTAACAGATCTACTCTTTCTCTCACCACCTTCGCTCTCTCCTGCTCTTTTCTAATTTTCTTTCAAGAAAAAGAACTAATCGATCTATCTCTCAATGTTTTTGCTTTCAAAACCCTAAAATTCACCAATTTATATCCATTTCAAATCAAGAAAACGCTTTTTAAGCCATGGCGTTCATGGCGGTGTTGGAATCCGATCTCCGAGCTCTCTCCGCGGAAGCTCGCCGTCGTTACCCTGCCGTTAAAGACGGCGCTGAACATGCCATTTTAAAGGTTCACATTCGAATTCACACTAAAAATTCATACACATTGGTTAACAATTACTACTGTTTTCTTTATATCGATCAAAGTGTATTAGTATTTCTTTTATCTTGAATTGTTGCAAATGTTGCTCGTTTAAGCTCATGCAATCGCGTGTAATTTAATGTGATAATCACGTATTTAGTTTAATAATTTTATGCCGTTTGATTGAAACAGATGTGTTTAGTAGGAATTTCTTTGATTTTAAAGAAACTAGTGCCGGTTTATGGGAAACTGAGTTTAAAATAGTGACTGGAGTTATTTATGTACTATTATTTTATTGGAATTAATGTCGTTTGAAATTGGCATTTTAACCTCTGAAATAGAATAACTTAGTTTTGAGATTATTTTTAGATGCACAAACACGAATTTTTAGTTTTTATTTTGGAAAGGTGACTTGGTTGACTGGAGCTTTTAGCTTGCTTTTACTTTTGAATCGCAATATAGATATTTGATTTTATATATATAAAAAAAAATTTGTAACAATCAGCAAAGTTCAAAAAATGCTGTTGACTGCAATTGCTAGAAGAATTTAAGGTCATATTTGTATAAAGCGTTTTTGTATTAGTCCAAAATTTTGTACCATTCTTGGAATTTTAGGTTAAATAATAGTTTATACAAATATTAAATAGTTGTGGATTTTGCTTAAGTTGATATGGTGGGAATGCAGCAATGAGTTCTGAAAGTCAATTCGATTGTTTATTGCCATTGATTTGGAAGTTGAGCTTAGTTTTTTTGTTTTTCTTTCTTTCTTGGGTATGGTTCTTGCAGCTTCGATCACTATCAAGTCCTAGTGAAATTGCAGATAATGAGGATATTCTGCGAATATTTTTGATGGCTTGTGAGGTTAGAACGGTAAAGTTGAGTGTGATTGGACTTTCCTGTCTACAAAAGCTCATATCTCATGATGCAGTTGCTCCATCAGCTCTGAAGGAAATCCTTTCCACATTAAAAGATGTAAGTTTGTAGTTGTATTAGCTTCTACTTTAAAATTGATTAAGCATTTACTACAACTTTCTTGAAACGGGTCTACACTGTACTGGCTTGTTCTGTATGGTTCTTGCTAGGCAATCGCTCATATCTTTTTTTTTTTCCCTTATGTTTATTAGCTCATTGATAATAAGTGTTTGTTGGAGTTAGAAAATGGCTGTGAATCATTTTCACTTTAAAATGTTCAAGGAAATCGTTCTGTGACACTGAAATAGAAAATTAACTAAAGAAATAGTTAGAAAATAAAAAAGCAAGAATCAAAGCTAGGATGTCATCCAAATGCTAATAATTATCTTTTCTTCATGATTTATTCATTGAAAACAAAAAAATGTCTTATATAACTACTGATATTGGTAACTTAACGAATTAAAAAGTGTTATGAGGATAAAGGAAAAGGGACTGATTGGAAGCTGTTTATAAGCAGTAGTAAGCTATGCAGATACCTCGTCTATATCTTGAGCTGGACCTATTAGTTTTTGGAACTACCATTTGCATAGGCTCCTTCTTGGTCCAAAACAACTAAATTGCTCCTATCTGTCCTCTGAATGATGTGATCATGAATGGCAGTTGAAATTACTTGCCTGCTTTGGAGGAGAGATTACCAGAGCACCATCTCCAATATAACTGTGATAGGGTTATGCTGATTCTTAATCATGCCAGAAGGATGTTTCTTTGGCTCTCGATCAGTATTTGTGGACTCTTATCAAAGCTATTGACTGTTGTTTTTCTCTCCCCCCCCCCTCCTCTATGCGTGCTCTAAATCTTCTCCATAAATGACAATTAGTATTGCTAAACTTGATTTTTGCTGATTTTCATAATTTCTAACCCGCTTTCCTGCAAGTAGTAGGATCTATTGTTATTACTGTTGGTCAGTAAAGGAAATTATTCCTGCATACTGCCATCAAGGTGTTACGGATGCAGAAATTTAGCATAACTTTTATGGAAGCCTGTCAGAAAATTATAGCTTAAGTACATATTCTATATGGAAATTTCGGAAGATCATTATTTGTCTTCTGAAAAATAGGCATACTAGTTCCTGATTGCTTGATTTTCTTAATTTGGAAAATAAAATTTAGATACTTGATTGGAAATCTTATATAACTATCATCTCCTCTATGCAGCATGCTGAAATGGCAGATGAGAGTGTTCAACTTAAGACTCTACAAACCATATTAATAATATTTCAGTCACGTTTACATCCTGAAAATGAGGTAATTATCCATCATCTGGTTTGTCTTCCCAGTAAATTCCTGAATGCCTTGTGCCTAGAATGAGGCCAACCAGATCACAGTCCAATGTGTTAAAGAAAAAAAAAAAAAATTACAGTGCCTCGTGTTGAATTATTAACACACTTACTAAAATTAGAATGCATGCTTTTCAGTTTCTTATTATGGATCACAAGAAGCACATTTACAAATTTAGGGGAGCATATTACTGCAAGATCCTGCTTATATTGAATATCATAGGTCACTGACCAATCATAGATCAGTTGCAGTAAGCATAAAGGTCTCTGAACAATATAATTGATTAGTAACATTAAACATATATTTCCAGTTATGCTGATGTGGTCATTGATTTAAGTTCAGTTGGAGACTGGACTGGAATAAAATAAATACAAATACAGTATATAACCACACGTTCAATTTTCTGAATTTGATTCTCCACTTATTGAAGAAACCAATACAGGACGAGCTTAACTTTGCTTGCCCTATTGTTGAGTCTATTTGCTATCCGATAGTTAGGGTAAAAGTTTTGGGTTGACACACACACACACATAGAAGGGTCAGTTTTGCAAGTAGATCCACATAAATGGAAGTTTTCTATATTTGTGCAAATGAGGGGCTAGAGGGGCTATGTATTTGATTTACAGGACCTAGTTTATTGGAAAAAAGAAAAATTGGAAATTGTTTTATTTAGATGCATATAAAATATGCAGACTTACCTACATGTATCTGATATTTTCCCAGTTGGAAGTATATCAGATTTAATCATCATCTATTATCTGATAGTGTCTAAGAAAACAATCTGATACTTAATGGCGAGAATGCTGATGAAAGTGTTGATATGCGGAATCATATCTGCTAAGTTCATTACATGTTAAACTAGTCGTACAATTATATCAAACTTTGATTTTTCTTTATCTGAAAGATATACCTGAGGAAATAAATTTCATGAACCTGACCTTCAATATGTTACTGGTATGTGAGCCAAATATATAACTTTAGCTGCTTGGCTTATTTCTCTTTTACGTGAAGTAGGATGATAGGTTTCTCTGGATATTTTCTAGAAGTGATGATTAAGGCCCAGATTTGTCACCATCATGGGCTCCTTTCATTTTATCTGTTTAATCCGTACCTTTTGTTTTGTATTTTCTTATTCTGGGTTGGGATGGGTGTTTTATGAGCTTTTAGTGCTTTAAACAATCTATCTATCTCAGGCTAATATGGCACAAGCCCTTCACATATGTCTTCGGCTTCTTGAGAACAACCGATCCTCTGATAGTGTGCGAAAGTAAGTTCAATTATTGGCAAACAAATCTTAAACTTTCAGAGGCCTTCTGGCTGCTCTTTTATCATTTATATCTAACCTCTTTATTTGGAGAGATGAGGCTCTAATTTTATCTGTTAATTATATAATTGTTTTCTTTTTCAGTACTGCTGCAGCTACCTTCAGACAGGCAGTAGCATTGATTTTTGATCATGTGGTTCATGCTGAGTCTCTTCCTGTTGGAAAATTTGGTTCTGGAAGTCATATTTCTCGATCCAGTTCCGTAACTGGTGATGTTAATCGCAGTATCAATAATTCTGAGTATGTAATTTCTCATGGAAATCATATATGGTCCAAAACATTCTATTTCTCATGCTTGTCGGTGTTCATGCCATTCATAAAGGGAACTCTTAATACATGTTTATCTTTGTGTTTGATGTTTATGTTTTGGGTATGTCTGCTTTCAACCAATTAAAATAAATTTGAATATGAGGACAGCTCCACATGAGCTGTGAACGGGAGGAGGAGTTATATGTTGTCAGCACGTTTCTTTTTTGTGGTCTGGAGAGTTCTCAGAATGTTCTCTATGTTATATCCATATATCTAACTATGGCACGAACAGGTCATGGGAGCATGAAATTGTTTCCAGAGGGTCGTCATTGATGAAGGAGACTCTAACAGTTGCTGGAGAGCTTGGGCTTCGTTTACTTGAAGACCTGACAGCTCTTGCTGCAGGTGGATCTGTATGTACTATTTGAAGCTATTAAATATGTCTCTATCACTGGATTACATATCTGGTGCCCTTTTTTTTTTTTTTTTTTGGTCTCTTAGGAATATTTTTAGTGAAAACAGTTTAACTAGTTTTGCCTTCATCTGACAGGCGATTTGGTTACGTGTCAATTCTCTCCAACGGATATTTGCACTCGATATACTTGAGTAAGAAATTTATCTCTGCTCCTGGATTTTCTTGGTGTCAATAATCATAAAGAACAACTTGCAATTTTTCAGAATCATCTTGCCACTCAACCAAAACTGCAGTGTTTCTTCTGCATATTTTTTTCTCATTTTTCTCAGCACTTCTGTTCTGCAGGTTCATTCTATCCAATTATGTGGTTATTTTCAAGGTTTTGGTTCCTTATGAACAGGTGATTCACTAAGAACATTTATCTGGGTTTTTTAGGCATGTTATTAGATCTTTGGCAGCTGTAAAGTTTGCATGGAAACTCGACAGGTTTTGCGTCACCAGATATGTTCACTTTTGATGACTTCACTTCGTACCAATGCTGAGGTAACTTCTCTTTTTGAAACAAGTGGATAAACTCTTTTGAAGAATTTCACTGTACACATATTTTACTCGTATTTTGTTCAACCTGATTCAGCTTGAAGGAGAAGCTGGAGAACCTTCTTTTCGTCGGTTGGTCTTGAGATCAGTTGCTCATATTATCAGGCTGTACAGCTCATCCCTTATTACTGAGGCTGAGGTATCTTCAACTATGTTGTAATTTTAATCTTGAATGGTAAATTCAATGGTACTTGAAGTCACATTTGAATACTTCTTCCAAAGAAGATTGATATATTTTGGGTTTAATATGTGGGTGCACTATCTAATCTCCAATGGCTAAAAAATCAATTGCTTTACCAAGTATCATGTTCACACATGAGTGAATCATTGTATTATCATCAAAAGAATTTGATTTAAGGATACCAGATTGTTTGATGGGTTTGATTGCTGTTTGCTCCTTGAATTGTAAAGATATTGTCACAATTATTAAGCCTTACCGTCCTGTATGTTTATATTTTCTGATGAACTTTTCAAGACTTCATAGAGTGCATGAATTTCTCCGTTTTCTTATATTCATTGTCTTATAAGAATTTCTTTATGACAGAGATTTGCATAGCTTTTCGATTTTTATTGTTAAATCATATATAGGGCATTTTTAACAAAAATATTTGAGAAAGATATTCATTTCTGCTTTTCTGAGAAAGAAAATACAATAAAGGGAGGAGGAGATCTGGAAATGTTGGAGAAAGGAATATAAATGCTATAAATCTTTGGGCTGAAGGCCTTGGCTGGGAATAAGAGCGGGTTAAACTTTCCTCACAAATTGGAAAAAAGAAAACCACACAAACAATTTAAGATGATGCAATCTCTCTTTGGCTGTACTTTCTTTTCTTCTTTTTTTTTTCCCCATCCATCTATTGAAATTTCTGCCAAGGTGTTCTTAGAAAGGGATGCAACTTCTGAATAACATGTCTGCTTCAGTTCTTCATAATTTACTAATCAATCTTATTGAAATGCTGAAGTCTGTTGTCCTTCTAAATTGTGATCTGCGCTACCTTTTTTTTTTTTTCTGGATAGCTTCCCCTTTATCATGTCTTGCACTCTTATAACGGGCACTGCCTCTGTTCACAATTAAGTTTAAGTTCTCTAATCAAGTCATATCTCTCAATTTTTTTTAGTATACTATTTCCGTGAAACTTCAGCACATTATTTGAGCTTGGATTTGTATATTTGAATAACATTTTCCTTCCTTAAATGCAGGTTTTTCTCAGCATGCTTGTGAAGGTTACTTTTCTTGATCTGCCATTGTGGCATCGGATTCTTGTGCTTGAAATCTTGAGGGTAATCTCTACAGCATTGGTTATTATTTACCTGTATCCCTATCATGTATGGACAGTGGATGATCTGTCAGTACTTATTAAAGATATTGAAAATTATAGATATGGTTGAATTTCACAGGGTTTTTGTGTGGAGGCACGGACTTTAAGAACTCTTTTCCAGAACTTTGATATGTAAGCACACTAGCTTCACTCAGCATCTTTGCTCTGTGCTTTATGTTGCATTTATGGTAGCCAAATCTCTCTGGTGTACCAGCATTCACTTTGAAGCCGTTAAAACTTCATTTAACTCAGCTCAGAATTGAACTTAAAATGATAAGAAAAAGTCAAATGAGGAAGATTGTCCAATACTAGTTTCATTGGTTATAAAAAACGCAAGATGATGATAAACTCATTTTATGCATGCATGAAAAACTTGAAAGCATGATATTGACGTGTTTGAAAAGATGGTAGGGCTACTGTACCGATAATAGATTAGCAATTAAATTATTTCGTTCATGTATTGAATTTCATTACCCTGTGTAACAATTGCATTTTCATCCACCTGGTAGGCATCCTAAGAACACAAATGTTGTGGAGGGTATGGTTAAAGCTCTTGCTCGAGTTGTGTCAAATGTACAGGTACAAGATATTTTGTGTTTTTACTTATATTGACCTCCAGTAATTTCCTTAACTGCATTGCTAGTTTGTAGTGAATGAGAGACTAATAGTGGGAAGGACAATTTGGGTTTCTATAGCATGCTGGATTGTGGTATCTTCTGATTGATTGATGTAATTTCCTACCATGTGTTTCTTCTACATACTTTGTTCTTATAATTTTCATGGTTTTAGCTGATGCTAATTTCGATATATTTAAGACTATTTGGAATATGAAACTCTCATTTCTTGGGTAAAACTCATATTGCTTGGCACTAGAGTTCTGTTGTTGGTATGTTTATTGCTGTTGATGGTTTTAAAAACATGCGGGCCTAAAAGAAGTTAAATCTCTCTGGAGATGTAGAACTGCTGCCCCCAAGGTTTACTTTTGCTTACATCTTACGTGTATATTCTTATTTTTCTTGCAAAGCTTGTTCCATATAGGTGGTCATCTGTATGTTGCCTAGTGTCACTTATAGATGCATTTCAGTTAGGATATGCTGCATGTATGGGATTATGAGCATGGCTTGGATTTCTTGACTGACATAATTTATTAATATGTTAGGTTCAAGAAACAAGTGAGGAAAGCCTGGCTGCTGTTGCTGGGATGTTTAGCAGCAAAGCCAAAGGTAACTTTGTATTAGAAGGGACAAAGGTGACACCAAGTGTACCTTTATCCAACGCTATATATTATGGGAATATTCATTCTGGACGTTGTTATTCATATGTGAATAAAGCATTTAAGGTGTTTATAATGATAATTGCTGTACCTAGCAGAGTTTCGCCTGTTGGAATGTTGGTGTCTTTCTCATGTTCTAATGGCTACAACAATATTGTTGTTTTTGAAGATGTGCTAATTTTTGTAACAATGAAAAGAAAAGGAATATATGTTTGCACAATCTGGTCAATTAGTACATGATTAGAAGCAGAAGTTAACCAAAATCATGTCAACTCTATTTTATTTTCCGTCAAATGTCCCTGTGCTGATAAAATTGGTAGTTTGAAATCTAAATGTGGAGGCTTATAAGTCCTCAAAGTTGAAATAATTCCGTGCCAATTTTATTTTAGGAAGTATGAAAAAGCTTGTATTTGCAGTCTTTAATTAAATCTATGTAAAGAAGGTGATTGTGCTCCTTGGAAAAAAAAAAAAAACTATCAATAGTTAAATAATTTTTTCTTCTACTATAATAAAGGAGGAGCCAAATAGGCAAGCTATTATTTCACACCTATTTGCTTAGAAGATCTTCCATTCCAAATCCCCCAACCTTTTGTAATTAAAAGGTTGAAGTAGAGTTATCTAAAGAAACAATATTTTGTGTTGTAGAAATTATGTTATGCTGAGGACAAAAATTACCTTCTGCCATGCATACAACTTAATAACTATTGGTTGTATGAAGTCTTCCTAGATAGCTTGATTCACTTATTCTTAAACGTTTTAGTGATAGTCTCAATGAGATGTGAATTTGCTCTAATGTTAGATTATGTGGTCATCATAAACAATTGAATAATATGTTCGTTTGGATTTCTTTGAATCCATGGACTTCAGTTATCATTTATTGCAATTCTTGATTGCACTTTTACTTTTTGCAGGTATTGAATGGATCCTTGATAATGATGCATCCAATGCTGCTGTGTTGGTTGCTAGTGAAGCCCATGCAATAACTCTGGCAGTTGAAGGGCTGTTGGGTGTTGTCTTCACTGTAGCTACTTTAACAGATGAAGCAGTGGATTCTGGGGAGGTAATCCAGCGATATTTTCTTTTTCCATGTCTTATTGTTTATATTCTTGAAAAAAAGAAAGAAGGCCTCACTATCTCTTGGTACAACCAGCTTGAATCCCCCAGATCCGAGTATGATCCTGTGGCAAGATATACTGGGAAAACTGCAGTTCTCTGCATTGCAATGGTTGATTCATTGTGGTTGACAATCCTTGATGCTTTGTCCCTTATTTTGTCAAGGTTTGTCAAATTTTTTGTGTCAAAAGAGGATAAAGTTAGAATGAACTATAGTTATGCACATATCTGATCTGTTTCTTAATGTGGAAGGTCGCAAGGAGAGGCTATTGTGTTGGAAATATTGAAGGGGTATCAGGCATTCACTCAGGTAACCATAGGTTTATTTCGGCTGTTCTATATTGCGTTATCTGTTCTTGCCTCACCAAAGTATATGTTAGCCTTCTATCAATTTTGTACCATTATAGTGGGATTTTCTACGATATTTCCTTTACCTTACCAGTGACAAAATTCTCAGGCATGTGGAGTTCTTCATGCTGTCGAACCGTTGAATTCTTTTCTAGCATCACTTTGCAAATTCACAATCAATTTTCCAAATGAAGTGGAAAAGAGGAGGTAAATTTTACATTTCATTAAATGATTTCATTCCAGCCATGCCTGCTGGAGCTTAAAATTCACGAACCACCTACTGTTGGTTAAAATGCATGTATAGGTCAGCTCAAATTAATAGACTGTTGGTGACCTTAGTACTAGCCATGGCACAGGCTGTCGCCCAAGCAAACTTTGATATACAGCATTTCTTGCTAATCCATATATTTTGCAGATCTTCAACTAATTGTCCTCCACATGCCAGAAAAACGAAAAGGAAAAGGAAAAGGAATTAATTTAATCTCACGCCAACTTGGGATAGACAATTGATTGGTGCCTTTTGTTGGAAGTTTTGACATTTTAACCTCCACCCGACATTTTAAAATCCACCCGGCAGTTTAACATGTGTAGCTTATAGTCTTCAGCATGATCTGTACTTTATGGATTTTAGTCCATGGATAATGTTGAAATTCTAGATTAAATTGAGATTTCTGCAGTGCAGTACAGTCTCCTGGGTCAAAACGTTCTGAGGCATCAGTTGAACAGAGAGATAGCATAGTCCTTACTCAAAAGAATGTGCAGGTATGTGGTTTGGCTCAGTGATTTTGGCATACTCGTTTTACCTTAATTGAACACTTGTTACTGTCATTTTTTTGCTGATCGAATAAGTTAATTATGCTATCTGTTTGTTTAAATATGTGTATGGTTTATTTCAATTGCTCTTGCAATGCAGGCCTTAAGGACTCTCTTCAATGTTGCTCATCGGTTACACAATGTTTTGGGTCCATCTTGGGTTTTGGTATGTGGGTTGCTTTCACTATTTGTCAGAAATAGATGAAGTTCACAACTCAAAGTTTATTTTCAAAATAAATATAGGTGTTGGAAACTCTGTCAGCTCTAGACCGAACAATTCATTCTTTGCATGCAACCACACAGGTAATTCTGGAAAAATATCCTTTTGGTTTAGATTTGAATCATTGTTGCTTCTTGTTGGTCTTCTTTTTGTAGAAAGTACATGTTGTGGATAAGTTAATAAAATGACAAAAAATTCTCATCTGGGGCGAGCACTTCGTGGTGGTTGGTTGGTTTGTTAAAAAAACTTTGAACCAAATCCAAAACTTTGAAGTTATAAAAATAAAATCTAATGAAGCAGTAATTGTGTAATAAGAGAGGAGAAGAATAACTGAATTCGATTCTTGAAGGTTTGATTTTGTCAGTTATTTTAATTTTCAGATTGCCCCCTAAACTCTCACTGGTATCTTTCTCTAAAAGTCGTAACTAGAAGAAACAAGCTCTGAAGCTCATCCTATGAACTGGAACAATACCTACAAGAAACAAAGATTTAGGGACTAGAATAAAAACTCATATAAGAAAATGATACATACACAAATATTATCATTTATTCCCACTGGAAATTGATGCATGTTAACTGATCTGAAGCGTATCCTCATTGAAACCATGGCTCTTACAAGGAAAATTGCACAGTTAGTAAAAAACAGAAAGAGAGCCGATTTTTTTAATTATATAATAGATAGTGGAGAAATCCTAGACCTTGCTTGAAGTTATCACACTCTTCTTGGCCTTTTATTCAAGTGCATTGTATTTTTGGCACTAATATACATGAAATACAAATCGCTAAATGTAAAAATTGGTGTGGGATTTGGTGGCAGTGGTTGTTCTAAACACTCAACCAAGTTAGATCCAGAATGGTGTGGAAAATGGTAGAATAACAAATTGCTTTCATGAAAATGGAAAAGCAGCTTTGAAAAGCTGCTACAAATGGTTGCTTATATAATGAATTTCAGTATGTATAACTTTTTTGATAATTTGAATAATTATTTTTTAATTTGAAAGCTTTTTATGTTACATGGAAAAGCAGCTTTGAAAAGCAGCTACAAATGGTTGCTTATATAATGAATTTCAGCATGTATAACTTTTTGATAATTTGAATAATTATTTTTTAATTTGAAAGCTTTTTATGTTACGTAAAGATGGTTATCTGAAGGATTCTGTGTTGTTGTTTACATAAGTGCTTATAGTATGTATTTCTTTATCTGCAGGACGTCTCTACAACTGTACCCAAGCTTGCAAGAGAATCTTCTGGCTACAGCGACTTCAGTATTCTTTCTTCTTTGAATTCTCAAGTAAGTAAAGCAAGTTTGATGATTTGAGAAGAAATCAAAACTGGTATATGTCAAAATTCATTTTGGAAATGAACCTAGAATCTTTCTTGAGAATTCTTGGTATTCATGTCCTTTTCAGCTCTCTCTCTCTCTCTCTGGTTGCTGCTTTCCTAACATTCTGTTCATATTGTTGGCGAAGCCATAGCTTAATTGGTAGCCACACCGCTATACTATAGAGGATATTTATGTTGAATTGGCCTTCCTGAAACAATTAAGTGTAGGGGAAACCTCAATTTTGTCGTGAACCGATATACTCATTCTCAGTTAGATCCCAAAACTATAAATTTTATCAATTTGATCCTAAATATTTCAGACAATTTGTTAATCATGTCCTGCTGTTAATGTTAATTAACTTTTCTGTCAAATCTTGTTCAAAACAACGTTGTTTTGCATAAAATATACACATTAGATGGGAAATATTACGAAGAAATTGACGAAAGGACCCTATTAAAAAATGCAGGAAACATTTGGGACCTAATGTATAATTTTCATTGGCTAAGGACACAATTAAGATTTCCTCTTGAATGTATCTATAGCGCTTACTTCTAGAAAAACACAAACTATCCTTGCCGATTGTCTAACACACCTAGCTTACCCTGGGGAATGGCCACCGGAGTTAGGTGTTGGACAATTAGTAAGGAGAGTGAAGTGCTAGGAGGTGTGCATTGAACTTAGGAGTGAGCACATGTTAGGTGCTGGAGTAGGGTGGATAATATCTGTGCAAGGTGGGTTCCCTTTCTTTATCTCCCCTTTGAAAGTTTCTATGGTTTAGGTTAGCATTACCACTCCGTGGCTGCTGATCGGATCTCAGTCGGGCTAGCCATTCATTCTATATGGGCTTGGAGAAATAAGGCGGAAAATCAGCCTAGTTGGACCAGGCCATCCTACGTACTCTTTCTGTTTATGGCTGCTTTCCTATCTGGTAGGGTAGGACCTTTTTATCCGGTTTTCCTGCAGGAAGCTACAGAAGTTGGCAGAGGTGGTTGATTTACTCGTAGAGGTGTTCCTCTTCTTGGGATGAAGCCTCCTACAGAGTAAATAGTTGTAGAAATGCACTCATCACTTTTTGGGGGTAAGATATGGGTAAGGAAGTGCTTCTAAAACTGGATTAGGCAAAACAGGAACTAGCAACAACCACACCTCTTCATTGATACTTAGTTTTTGATCATGTTAGTAATTTCCTTAACCCTTCTTTCTGAAACATTCTAGTACCTTTATTATTCTTCCAAATGGCTTCTCAGCATTAATTTTTTCCGGTGTGGGTGTGCGTTGTATGGGGGGTGTTGTACAATTTTAAGGTATGTGTTCTAACTGGTCTTTTCTTGGTTTGAGAAGCTGTTTGAGAGCTCAGCATTGATGCACATATCTGCAGTTAAATCACTTCTTTCTGCACTATGTCAACTGTCACATCAATGCATGTTGGGGGCATCAGGTGGTGTCGGATTAGCAGTGAGCCAAAAAATTGGAAGCATCACCTTTTCAGTGGAAAAGATGATATCCATCCTTGTCAATAATCTTCACAGTATGTATTATGGATTTACTGTGACAAGTTGTTCAAATAAGATCAGTTTTTTTGTAATCTGGAATGATCATTGATGATGTTATGATGAGGATTGTTGTCTCCGCCATGCAAAAATTCTAAACAGTTAAATGAAAATTATATATTTTTCAATTCTTGACAAAATTTAATCTGGATTTGGTTTTCTTTCTATGGGCTTGTATGCTGTACTGGTAATTTGATTTTAATACTCATGGATCTTTCTTAAAAATAATAGAAAATGGCATGCCACAAAGTTTGAGATTTTCATTTTCAATACTTATTTTATGTATTCTACGAATCAAGATTTTGTCTCTGCCTTGGAAAACTTTTCAATAGTTAAGTGAAAACTCTAGTTTTCTATTCTTGACGAAATTCAATCTTTTTTTATGGTGGTGATCACGAACCTGGCTGGTTTTTTTTTTTTTTTTTTTCTACAGGCTTTTACTCTGTGCTAGTAGTTTGATTTTAATAATCATGGATCTTTCTTAAGTATAACAGAACACTGGTGTGCCATAGATTTCCAAGATGTTCATTTTATGTATGCTATCAGCTTCCTGATCATACTCCATTTTTTACTGCAACAAGTTTTTTGGGCTATAGGACCATTTTCATATTCATAATCATACTGTTGCATAAAGGCATTTTTCATAAAGTTCATATGAAGTAGCCGAATACCATTATTTTTTAGCATTTTAATTTTTCCTTAAATCTAAATTCATCCATTAAATTGCAGGAGTGCAGCCATTGTGGGATCATGTTGTGGGCCATTTTCTTGAGGTGATCATAATGAATATATTTTGTAGCGCATTCTGTTATACTGCTCTGCATTTTTCGACAATGCTTCTACATGCTGCAGCTTGCTGATAATTCAAATCAGCATTTACGAAACATGGCACTTGATGCATTGGATCAATCAATATGTGCTGTTTTAGGTTCTGAACAGTTCCAGGATTACATGCCATCCAGACACCACGTGATATCTCATGAAGTGAGTAAATTAGTACCTTTTTTTCTCCACTTTTGCTTCACTGTAAGAGCCAATATTCTACAAAATGGGAGTTATCTCATGATTATTGACTTTTCCTCTAGATGGAAGCTGGGAATTCGGAGTTGAAATTACTCGAGTGTTCTGTCATATCACCTCTCAGGGTTCTTTATTCTTCCACTCAAAGCATTGATGTCCGTGCTAGATCCTTGAAAATTCTTCTGCATGTTTTGGAGGTACGCATCGTTGTTGATGTGTGTTAGAAAATAATATAAATTATATTCTGGAGCCTCACCTAAAAGCTCACCTAATAACTTAAGCTTTTAGGTGAGATGGTCCTTTGACGTGGTATTAGAGATTGGTTGACCTATTGGTCCTGATTTCAAGTCTCACCACCCCCACTTTCTCAAGTATTAAGCACAATACAATGTGGACTTGTGCAAGTTTCAAACCCAAATGTTGGGTTCACTTGAGGGGATGTGTTAGAAAATAATATAAATTATATTCTACTGCCTCACTTAATAGCTTAAGCTTTTAGGTGAGAGTGTCCTTTAATAATGTGGAAATAGGATATATTTTGTTTGCAGTCTTTTCAGTAGCTTGTGCATAAATTTTCTGGCTAACCCCCTTTTCTCTCAGAGACATGGAGAAAAACTATTCTACAGTTGGCTAAATATTCTCGAAATGTTAAGGTACGTCACTGTTTTTAATCAGTGATCCTTATTGGATTCTGTCTTCTTTGGTTGATCCATTTTTTGTTGCCCTGTTTCTATAAGGTCCGTTGCAGATGCATCAGAGAAAGATCTTGTAACCCTTGGCTTCCAGGTTAGTAACTATAAATGGGAGTTCCTTAATCTACCTTCTGATTATATTCTTTCCTTGAAGAAAATGTGTTGAAAATCTAATAAAACCCTCTTATTTTATATAAGAGAATTATATTGTTCCCTTCCTTCCAAAGCTTTTGACAAGGCATTAAATTTTCACTTAAACCAAAATTAACCCTTTGCGCAATATGGAAATTCTAAAGTGCTAGTATACTGTAGCACTTCAGGAAAGATTATGAAATCTTTCACTTCATATTGTAGATACCCAATCAGAGAGGAAAACACAATTCATGTTAAAACTTCAGAGTGTACATATTAAGTTCTACTAATAAATCAATTGTACTTCCTGTGGGTAAAATGTGGGAGAAATTTGCCTTTTCACACCCAAATTGTCTAAAATGGTGAATAATGAATGAATTTTGTTTACATGAATCTGGAAATAAACTTCCTGCATTTTCATGCATGAGTCCAACTTCCTACACTAGTTTTTTTTCCTGCTTAATCTTAGGACTGGTGAAAATGATTTGAGTTACTTATAATGACTAATCTCTTGCTCTTCTCATAACATAATCTGACAATTATGTTTCCTTGCAGAACCTGCGTGTCATCATGAATGATGGACTGTCCTCTATACCTGCAGACTGTCTCCATGTGTAAGATTCAAAACTCTCAGTGGTGATTCATTTTACAACTAATATCTATGCTTTATCCTATATGCATACTTGTGCATGTGTGCTGGTTGTGGATCTTAGATCAAGTCTGTAAATGTAAAACACATTCTACACTACCATAAGAATTCAAAACTTTTAAATAACATAATGATTATATCATATCTTCTGCATATTCGTCTTTTCATTGAATGGAAATCTTTAATGCATGGTTTAGTTGGTTTATTGGATGCATGCATCAGTGTAGTTGTTCATATCCTGGTTTTCAAGGTTTCTGCAAGCATGGTACCTTTGCTAAACTGTATTTCACCCTCAAGAAAGCTGCTTCATGATTTCATTTCCTGCTCGTTTTCAATTGTGACAAAATATAAATGAGTCATGAAAGCACATTGTTTGCAATTAGGAAGGTAGAAAAGGATACTTGTAAGGATTTAGTCTGATTAATTAGGTTTATCTAAAGAACAATGAAATTTTCGTATAGGGAAAATAAAGACAAAGTTAGGAACAACAATGGAAGGAGGATTTTTCAACTTTCTAAAATTGTGCACTCAAAATTTTGAAATCTTGATGTTTGTGTGGTCCTGTGGCCATTGTTTGTGATGGGGCAGGGCTATTTTCCTGCACATTTGATGATGAGAATTTAATACTTTGTTCATGACTTTTTGTTACAATTAATTCCACTTAAGGTTGATAGCTGTTGGTGCTTTGTCGTTGAAACATGGCAACCGTTTTTACTGTTTTCTAATGCGTGTTAACCTTACCGTTAAACATGTTGATCCTGCAGGTGTGTAGATGTTACTGGGGCATACAGTGCTCAAAAAACTGAGTTGAATATAAGCTTGACAGCGATAGGTCTCTTATGGACCACAACTGATTTCGTTGCCAAGGGACTTCTGCATGGACCTGCTGAAGGAAAGAAAACAAGTTGAGTTGCAATTGTAAACATTTATTTACATTGCATTCCTATTAGCTTGTCATTTTTCTGGACTTTAAATTTTTACAAATAAGCTTTGATCGTGCTACTTGTTGTCTCAAGGGAGGCAAGGTGAGGCCAATGCGCCTTGTAAGCCTTCAGGTGAGGTACTTCAACTAGTAGTCTAGGTGCTTGCCTGGAGTGAGGCCCTAGACAAAAGAGTGCTGTCTAGGTGCTTGCCTGGAGTGAGAACCTAGGCTAAAGAGGTGCTGCTTAGGTGCCTTATAGGGTATTGGATGCTCAAAAATTATTTTTGGGACTGACGTGACATTATTAACCCTTGTTTAGTGGCTGGCTGTAAAGATATAAGTAGGCACAAAATTCTAATTTAATAAATTCTTTTTTTCTAAGCGTTATTGAGACTAAATAAATTGCGTGAACAATTTTACATCAGGCACGTTATTATTATTATTATTATTATTTTTTTTATCTCCCTTTTTTCTGTAATTCTTTCTTCTCTTTTGTCTACCTTCATTTTATTCTCTCTTTTCAATGTTACTTTTTTAAGGTGTTCTGTTGCCAAAGCTTTCCGTTTTCCCCATTTTCTTAACCTATATCCTTTGTAGAATCATCCTCTGTTTCACAATTACTGCGCTACAATTAACTTATATTACACTGTCAATATCTTCCTTTATTGTTGCAACCTTTTCTGTTCACTTTTTCAATTTTATTTTAATTTGTTACTGTTTTTGTTAGAAGTTTGCTGAGTTTTTCATGAATTGTTGAACCTCAAAGATTTAGATACCTGAAATAGTTAAGAAGAAATGATTAATTATAGCTTTGGCTAATTGTTTTAACTTGAAATCATATATATATATATATATATATATATATATATATATTTGTGATTGATGTACACATTTGTACATTAGTGCCTCACTTCACTCGGGTGAGTTCCTTGGGCGTTTTTAGCCCATATCACACTGAATCACCTTTCGCCTTTGACAACGCTAGCTATAACATTACAGGTTTTCATGATGAGCATTCTGTTATGAAGCAAATGATTGGTGACTTGGGGGAGACACGGTCTTCTGGATTGCCTGATAAGGCGAATGATCGGGCTCCAACAATAAATATAATTGACCGCGACAAGTTGCTTTTCTCTGTTTTCTCCTTGCTTCAAACACTTGGAGCTGATGATAGGCCGGAGGTATTATAGCCTTGATAATGGACTCGTCCCTTTCCCTTTTGTTTTAGAATTGAAGCACAGCATGTAAACTACTCCTAACTGGCTAACTGAATTTGGCATTGAGTCATTGTCCTCGTCACTGATCAAGATTTGTAATTTGTGAATGTTAAGGTTCTTAATTGCTATACTCATTTTCTAGTTGAGATTATGTTGATTGATTTTCTTAACCCTGTTGTTTTACAATGGCTCCATTCTTTAAGGATATAGTATATTCATCCTGTGAGGAAATGATGTCCCTCGATGAATCACACATCTAGGCGCATTTGATATCAAAAGCAGATGCTATTTTACATAATCATAGGCAGAATGTACCTGTTATCATTAAAATTATGCATATTTCATTGTCTATCATGCTGAGAGCTTTTTGGTCGGAGGTTATTCTATTTAAGGCTGTGTGAGGATTCTTTTCACAATGACTCAGCATAAGCTATGTTGCAGGTCAGAAATGCAGCTGTCAGGACACTTTTTCAAACTCTTGGAAGTCATGGACAAAAACTTTCGAAAAGCATGTGGGAGGACTGTCTTTGGAATTATGTCTTCCCTGCCGTGGATCGTGCTTCTCACATGGTAACTGAAAATGCTTATAAAAATTTCTTATGAAGAACTTGTTTAATGCTTTAATGGGATTTTGTCCTTTTGTAGGCTGCAACTTCATCAAAAGATGAATGGCAAGGGAAAGAGTTAGGAACTCGAGGAGGGAAGGCAGTTCACATGTTGATTCATCATAGGTATAAAATCTGTTATGTTTTTGGTTTGCACATATATCTGAGTTCATTTCCACACTTGATGTGTTATTTCCTACGCCTGAATTTTCAGTCGCAACACGGTTCAGAAACAGTGGGATGAAACACTTGTGCTGGTCCTTGGTGGAATAGCACGTTTGTTACGTTCTTTCTTCCCTTTTCTCAGTAACTTGAGCAATTTCTGGTCAGGTGGGTCCATAGTTGTATCTTTCTGTGTCTGATATTGTTATCTTTTCCTCTTCTTATTGTGACAAATCCTCATAAATGATCTTTATCTGCAGGATGGGAATCTTTGTTGCTTCTGTTAAGAAATAGCATTTTAAATGGTAGTAAAGAGGTGGCCATAGCTGCAATAAATTGTTTACAGACAACTGTTCTTTCCCATTGTTCCAAGGTAATTATTTTTGTTTCAATTGAATTATTGTCTTAACACATCAAGTCTTCATGAACCACATGTGAATGTAAACATGGTGGGGATTACTGTTAATTAACAAAAATGAGGAGAGTTTTAGTTGTATATAGTTACATCTCAACTAAAATGATTGTTTGATTCAGGGGAACTTGCCACTCCTGTACCTTAACTCCATACTTGATGTTTATGGTCATATTCTTCAAAAATCTCCGAACTACAATGATAGTGCAGCTAGCAAGGTGAAGCAAGAGATTTTACATGGTCTTGGTAATGCTTTACTGCAATCTGAAGAATTTATTATTATTGTTATTGTTGTTATTATTTGGATCCTGGCTGCCATTGCATGTAGATAGCAAACATGTGAATATAATTAAACAGTTAAATTGTTTATCCTCTGCACTGTACTAATGCAATCCCAAAGGATTACATTCTCCTTCATCTTTTTTTAGTTTCTGATTTGATTCTCAGGATAAAATCAGTGTTGTCTTTATTACAATAGTTGGGCCTCTTCATCAATGGTACATTTCCGGGTGCTTATGTGTTCTTTTCTGGATTTCTTCAAACTTCTGACAGGAGAACTATATGTACAAGCACAGATGATGTTTGATGATAAGATGTTCTCTCAGTTGCTTGCAACAATAGACATGGCAGTTAAGGAAGCTATAATGACTAATGATAACTTTGAAAATGAATTTGTAAGTAGATTTCCTGTCTCAAAAACTTCTCCCTCCTACCCCTTTGGGTGTTCATAATTATATGCAATTGACTAGCTCAATTGATGTAATTGTTTTTCCTTAGGGACATGTTCCTCCCGTGTTACGCACTGTACTGGAAATCTTACCATTGCTATGCCCAACTGAATCTATTTCTTCGATGTGGCCAATCCTTCTTCGGGAGCTGTTGCAGTATCTCCCAAAATCAGATTCTTCTTTACAAAAAGAGGAAGATGATGCAAGGCAAGCCAGCTTTACTGACAATAGCCCAGGTATGGATCTGGCTAGACAGCGTTTAAACGGTATCTTTATTTTATCTTTAGAAAACATTAAAATCGATGAATCATTATGACAGATGATAACATTAGGAAGCAAAATGAAATTCCCAATGGTACTACTTATGTGTCTCCTGAGAAAGCTGAAGATCCTTCACGAGGTTCTGGATCACGCACAACTACAGTAATTGGTATTCCAAGTTATTTGTTTGCAGAAAAGCTTGTCCCTGTGCTGGTAGATCTTCTTCTACAGGCTCCAATAGTTGAAAAGCATATTATATTTCCTGAAATTATTCAAACCCTTGGAAGGTAAAGGTTTTATGTTTATCCTACGCTGTCTTTGTGTTGTTGCGCCTTCAATATTTTATTGATCTTTATGGAGAAACTGTCTTTTTATCTTTAATAAACTAGTTTAGTAAAGTTTCTGCTACTTTGTGTGAATTTAGAATGTGGGGATCAATCTACCATACTTTGCATCAGGTGAAAATCTAGGAGGGGATTCGGTTCGTATTATAATTTAGGGCGAAACTAGCCTATATCCTGCACATTGCTGCAGGGTGAGCCACTTAGCTTTCTCTTGTGTTCATCCATATAAAATGGAGAGTTCTAACAGCCCATGCAATAGCCATAATAAAACAGTTTAAAACAATATAGAAAGGGATTATTTCAAAAAATTTAGACAAATCTGCTTAATAGGAATTTAAAACAGGGACCAAAACTGAAAGAAAACTTTTACTGAAAGCCAAAAAGGGCTTAGGAATAGTAAAACTAAAAAACGTATTCTACATAAGGCAGGGACAAAAATTACTTCAATCACCAAAACAAAGTAATGGTCATAGCACAGGAACGAAAACCAAAAGAAAACTTTCACTAAAAGCCAAAAAGGGCTTAGGAACATTAAAACTAAAAAACCCATTATGCACAAGGCAGAGACAAAAATCACACATGATAAAACCTCAATGACCAAAACAAAGAAAGATCACAGAACAGGGATCAAAACGGAAACGAAACTTTCACTGAGAGCCAAAAAAGGGGCTTAGGAATGCTTAGGAGCAGGAAAACTACATTTGGTTTTAGTTCTTTTATAATATAATAATAATATAATAATAGCCAAGTGTGTTTGCTGAACGATGTTGTCGTTTTATGGTATGACCATAAATATGATTGGATTGTGACTGGAGTCAATATACTTGATTTTGTAGCATTGCGTATAATTCTTCATGTAGTGATACATTGCTGCCGATGTCTAATGATAGGGGACCTGGAGAAAATTTGGAAATTGTGATCAGTATTACCATGTCATTCATGTTTAATATGCCTTTCTCTTTTGCCATAGGATGAAATTGTGCAAGTTTATTTCATTATTGATCTTCTTCTTAGGTGTATGACAACAAGAAGAGACAACCCAGATGGTTCGCTGTGGCGAGTAGCTGTTGAAGGCTTTAACCGAATTATTGTTGATGATGTATGTGGATTCACCATGAACTGTGGAAAAGATTCAAAGATCAGCAAAACTGCAAGTATGCGCATCTGGAAAGAAGTAGCAGATGTTTATGAAATATTTCTTGTGGGATATTGTGGGCGTGCCATTCCTTCTAACTCTCTCTCATCTGAGGTACTCAAGGCCGATGAGGCACTTGAGATGACCATTTTGAACATTCTTGGTGACCAGATACTTAAGTCACCGATTGATGCACCGTCCGAGGTAATTTTCATACCAATTACAATAGCAGTAATAGTTGTATATTTTTTAGGTCATGACTGCTACATAGAGATGCTAGGTCTCTGGATGTGATTCAACTAGTCCTACCCCCTAATGTCTGATTCTCATGGTACCACCTGTTGTAGCAATAGCAGTGTAGTTGTAATCTGGAAATTGCTGCATCAGCCCACTTTATGGCTTTTGCCCAGATTCTACGATTACCTAGCAACACACTTACTGATTTGTTGATTTACTAGTTGATTTTTTTGTTGTTGTTATTTTGTTTTACAGATTCTGCTACGACTAATTTCCACCATGGACCGCTGTGCATCACGCACATGCTCTTTGCCGGTTGAGACTGTGGAACTTATGCCATCTCACTGTAGTAGATTTTCCCTGGCTTGCTTACAGAAGTTATTTTCCCTAAGCAGGTAATGTCTCTAAGAATTTAACACTTTCATGCTAAGTTTCGACCATGGACCAATCGTTGCATTTTTGCTTTTTTAAGTACGTGGACAAGATAAGTTAACATATTCATTCTAGAATGAATGGCATGAAATATAGATTCCCCAAGTTCTCATACAGCATACAAAATTGGTTCCAATGGCCAGATTCCCAGTGTTTTGCTTTTGTCAATACTGATGATGAGTGAACTTTCTTGTTCTGACACCAAAGCTATCCTTGGAACAAAATAAATATCTTGAGCAGTCAGTATGCTCATGTTTCCATTGGTTAGGCAAATTGAATTTCCTCCATTCATCAATCCTTCACCCATATTACAATAGTTTGCTTTAGCCCTTTCCACTAGTCTTTAGAGTTCTAGCCGTGACACAAGGATACATGTAGTTTCCTTTAAAAGTTGTAGGAGACATCAATCCACTTAGTTCAAAATATGGGGGACATAACTGATTTGTCAGGAACAGAAATGTGGATGAGAATAACAGATTATGCTAATTCAAAAAATACCAGAGGTTGTGGCCTTGTGGTTGCAAATCCAGCTCTGAAAATTGAGGGGTATAGATCCAATCAGGCCAATTTTTAAGAGGTGCTTTTGCAATATAGTCTGATAAAAAGTTTGTTTCTTTCAGAGATTTGATTTACCAATGATGTGTTTTCAGCTGTGAGGAGGCCAGTGACTGGAACATGACAAGATGTGAAGTCAGCAAAATCTCAATAGTGGTACTTTTGACCAGATGTGAATACATCTTTCAAAGATTTTTGATTGATGAAAATGACCTAGGTGTGTAGCTCCTGTCCATGCATATTTTCACCATATTAGATGTTTGCTCCACTTCTTTATGCTTGTTAAACTATGGAATTTTTCCTGTAGGTGAACGTCCACTGCCGACAACAAGGCTTGAAGAAATTATCTACGTCCTTCAAGAACTGACTCGTCTAATAATCCACTCAGAAACAGCATCTGTGCTACCATTGCATCCCTATTTGAGAAGCGGCTTATCAGATGATGAGAATCATGACAAACGTCCACATCTGTTCGCTTTATTTCCCTCTTTTTGTGAGCTCGTAATAACAAGGTGAGATATTCTTTACCATAATTTGGTTATTCACCTACTGGTAATGTCTGAAGCATTGAAATAGCATTATACTGGATCAGAGCATAGGAGCCATTTCTGCTTCTTTGGCATCTTTATGCTAATAAAATCTTATCACACTTACCATGGGTAGAGTAATGTTTTGATCTAAAAGCATTCAGTTAATGCAACCTTGTAAAATATTGACAATACTAAATATATAAAAACAATTTAGTGGCATGGGTTTGAGATAGAAGAAGGGTAGAAAGGCTTAAAGTCGAATGTCTGCGAATAGAATAAGAATCTGATTGAAGATTTAATCTTGTGAGAAGTGTGAAAACTCCTAGTAGGCAAAAAATAAATAAAGAAAGAACAGCCTGAAGCTATAAGAATCACTTGGTTGTAGTTTTGTAGGATTAAGTTTTGGTTTGAATGACTTACGGAAGCTGGAAAGCTTAATAGAATGTAGGTCAGAGCTATGAGGTATAGTTGGCATAACCTCTGAAAACATGACCTTTTGTAGTAAAATATGCTGATAATGAATTTGTGCTCCATAGCATAGCTACTGTAGATATTGAAACAGAACAAATGCAACGAGCAGAGCATAGATACAAATGCAAGGCCAATGCTCACGCAAACCTATATTTTTAGAATGATACAATATGAGATTTGGAATGCAACTGCACTCATGCACTTTGCTTGTATTAAATTTGTTCGTTGATTGGCAGGGAAGCAAGAGTACGAGAGTTGGTGCAAGTCTTACTGAGACTTATCACTAGAGAATTGGCACTAGAAAAGGTCAGCAGTGCTGGTTGATGTGAGGAAGAAACTGTTTTGACAGTTAAGGATTCACGGAATTTACATGAGGTTATTTGTTTATAGATTTGTATAGGTGAGGAATTTTTTTATACCTGTCCTCCATCGTCTGCTGTTGTATTATGTAGTTTCTGTACATTTTTTGTAATGTAAGTTTTGTTGTGTAATGAACTTACCAACCTCAGATTAAACAATTGTGGACCGCACTTGCCACTTTTAGCAGTGTCAAAGTGCATCAGTGATCGGTTAAAAAAATAAAAAATAAGAGAGGGTCTTATTCTAGACAGCTTGTGTGTATAGAACACTAATGTTTGATATTGTTAATGATCTTTGTGAAAATAATAATAATTATTATTACTGCCACAATTATGATGGTCAAGTTTATCAAGCGTTTTGCTTGAAATTCTTTTTAAAAACAACCTTAATAGTTGCATGCTCTCCCTGTAACAGTCACGCATGATGGTACTGGAAAGAGGGATGTAGATTGACAAATGTAGATTCAACCTTAATTGTTTGATTATTTCTGATTTTACCATTATGTCCTCTTGGCTGCTCTGTACCTTGAAAAACTATTATTTGATCGTTGATTAGATGACTAACCATACAAGATTAATATTGTAGGACTGACAAATCTTTAGTTTTATCAAAGACTAATCGCAATTGAATTTTATGCGATTCTGCCTCATGCGCCAACTAAAGATTCATACTATTCAATCTGAGGATCGTAGCTGGTATTGTTAGTGAGTGCCAACAAAGTGCATGTGTTGTTGGTTTTAATAAAAACACGAACTACTGATGTTGAAACATTTCTTTTGAATCCTTTGTCAGGAAGTGGGGAATAACATGAAACTTCGCCAAAAGTTCGTTTCACTATTTCTGTAGCCCATATATATTCACAATTTATTTGATGCGATCCTGTCTCATCTACAAGAGAACTACGGATTTACATTGTTCAAGAGATCAATGAGACAAAGTTGAGATAGCAGATGGCGGCATCTTTCACCGGTGATCATTTTGAGACGATTCTTTTGGAATATTTTGAATTCTCGCCCTATTTAGATATAGCATTATTCATTAGTACTGGTGCTAATTCACTGCTCAGATGTTATGAAGTATTCCATCCAATTTTCTTTTGGAGGAAGAACATCTAAATTCAGAGAGAAGCAGCTAGTGGACAACCTCATATAGCTGGAAAAGGTTGAAGTCAGGGCCACCAAAGAACCAACATATACTCAAAAGAACATAGCTAGTCAGTCGTATATAGTACAAAACGTAACAAAACTTGACACCGATCGACTCCAATTTATTTCATACTGGATCAGCAATTACAGACATGATACAGAGAGAGGGAGAGAAGACGGCAGGCCCTACAAACTAATTAGTTCAAAAAAAAAAAAAAAAAAAAAGCCCCAAATCTCCAGCTACTTAGGACTCTTTCTTAGTTTTAGTGCCATTCTGCTGGTTGAGCCTAGCAGCAGCAGCCAAAGAAGCAGCCACACCTGCGGGATGTGTCGTCAAGAGTGGATGGTTCCTCATTTCTGCTCCTGTCACCCCTTCAGCATCTTTTCTAGTCGCCGGCTTATCTGTTGGTAACTTTGAAGTTGCATCCTGCAACGAATATTATGTTAGTTGGGACTCCCTTGATCACAACAAGCTAAGTGACATGAATATCGAATAATATAATAAACTGGTTTAATACCCTCATCTATCCATATAGCCAACTTTTCAATCTGTCCTTTTAACCTATGCTTATATTTTTGAAAAGCTTACCATATGACTTATTATTTGCGTTAGTTTTTAATATGAAGATTAATTTTTGATGAATTGGTCGAAAATTTTGTACGAAAAGAATAAATTAAAAACCAGCACAAATAAATAAATAAATAAAACAAAACATATTGGAAGCGTTTTAAAATGTAGAAACAGATTGAAAAATTAGTCCATTATTATACAAGGATAGGTGAAGGTATTAATCCTACTAATAATAATACCATTTGCTTATGCACTTACTGCAAGAACATCAGCCAGTTTTTCTTCTCCTCGTCATTTGTCAATCTGGCATTGATGGTTGCTGCTGACTGGGCTGCGGCAGCAACACCACCAGGGATAATGGATGTCCGGCCAGTGGCTCTTACTTCAGCTGCTTGTATTGCTGCAGCATCACTCCATTCAACAGGCTTCTTTCCACATGACAGGACAGTGGCTTCAAGTGCTTCACCAATAGTGATCCCACCATCACCCTGTTGGAATGTTGGTGGTGGTGACTGCACTGATGGAGCCCTTTGATTAAATTCCCCAACGACCTGTTAATTACCAAAAAAAAAAAAAAAAAAAAAAAAAAAAAAAAGAGGTCATATGGCTGATAATATAATAACTGTGATTTAATTTCATTCTTGAATCCTCTAAAATATCATTTATTCATGATTTATTTTTTGCATTCACATCAGAGAATCCTGAAGGCTCTGAAGTATATTATATTTTCTAAGCTTCCAAGAATTTATTTTAGAATTTGAAAATAAAACCTCCAAATTATTCAATGAATTTTCACTTGCTACATAATCCTCTATCCAAGCGATGAAATCCTCGACAGAAGGAAGATATAACAAAAGTAAAAGCAAAAAACCAACCTGTCCACCAATTGCTTCTGTTATTATACGCCTCCCAGGCATCTCAGTCTCAGTGACACTCACTCCCTGATAACTAGCAACATCATTCACATCACTGTGACTAACAAAACCAGCTCTCTCATTTCTCATAGCAGCAGATTGCATCATTGAGGCAGCACCACCGCTCTTAGTCTGCCCCATTAATACATTCTCTGCTTTTTGCATCATTGCAGCATCTCCTGGTGCCACTGGCTTCTCAGCAAGCTCACCTCCCACGGAGAACACATCTCCATACTTGATGGGTTCTTGAGGCCTTTGTTGCTGTTGTTGGTTCATTTTCTTGGTTGGTAGTATATGATTAGCATTTGTGTTGAAGGTTTGTAGTAAGGCTTCTCAGATGCTTTCCTTGTTTTTTGTTGCAAATTGAGGCAAGTTATGAAGGGCTTTGTTATGCGTTCCTAGGAGCATGCAGGATTTGGACACGTTTGGGTAGGGAGTGAAACGTGGAGAGGTTTGGAGAGGATTTTCATGGTACAGCAACACTTGGCTGATTTTGAGATGAATTGCTAAATCTTTGTGTGCTTGTTCTGGATTGAAAGTAACTCGTGGAGGTGACGGAAGACACATGCCATTTACGTGCATGGATGGTGACTGGGTCCAATAGGTTATTTTCTTCTATTCGAGGGAAAGGATATTTTGAAGTCCATTTATACGTAAATTAAAACTATTTTTTAAAACAAATACTATTTTCAAAACAAATATTATGGTTATTGGATTTTAAGAATGTTATCTCAAATAACAAAAAAATGAATCTTTTCTTTATTTTAGATACTTCCTTGGAAGCATTCATGATAATATTTGTTAAACTACTAAATTTAAATAAAATTATTAAAAAAATACAAAATTTAACTTTATTTTTTAATATATATATATATAATTCACACACTCAAAACACATTCAAAACTCTTAACAAAATTAAACTCGTGATTATTTAGATATAAGAAAGAAAATGTTACCAATGAATTAGAAATTCATTGATAAATTCAACTCTAATATGACGATGGTTATTGATTTTTACGGATGTCCACATGAGCACTTATTATTAGTTATGCAGAAAATGTTTCGTGTGATGATAATAAACCTATTAACTATTTTCATTACTGTTTCTTTCGAAAGTATTTCAATTTTGAGATAACAATTGGACATAAAGGCAAAGGAGCAAGCACGAATTATGAAGAGAGAAACATTATATATCATATTTGTTTATTATTCAACTATAAACCTATATTATAAATCTGGTCAATTTTCAATATTTATTGTCTCATTTTTCTAATTTCATTCCATTATTACTAAATCCCAGTGTTAGTTTCTTTTTATTATTATTATTATGGACTAAATTCACCATCTCACTTGATGATATAATCTTACTAAATTATCAATCAAGTAAAACGGTAAAATTTAATAATTCGAGACAAAATATTGCTAAAAAGATTTTCAATTATATATATATATAGCAAAATATTTAACGGTGAAAAAATATTTTTAAAAAGTATCTTTATTTTATATATATATATATATATATATATATATATATATATATATATATATATATATATATATCAAAGATCCATCCTTTAGAAGTGGTTTAAAATTTTTCAATATTACTCTAATTTTTTTAAAAAAATTCAAATTTTACCTCTCTTTCAAAAATCTATCATATACGAGTTCATTTAACCACAAAATTATAATTCGCTAATAAACAAACATTTAGCTATATTCAGAAAAAAATTAATCTTAAAATACATAAAAATTGATCCGAAAACACTTCATTACAAAAAAAAAAAAAAAAAACGTGTTTTTCTTTCTTTTTCACCATACTTATTCCTTCCACTTGTCCGCGGCCGGAACAAATATGCCCCCAAAGCCAAACAAGCCCCTTCTCTCCAAATTAAAACCTACAAAAGACAATTAGGGTTTTACGCACTAACAACGATCTACCATGGAGAGTAGTAGCAGCAGCAACATAAATAGAGGGTTTTCCCAAGTTGGATTAGTAAAACAACTAACAACAGATTCAATTTCTCAATTCAGAGAAGGGATTTGGTTAATTCTCTCTAAATGGTCAGCTTTGCAACTCGCCGTTGAAAACGAATGGGGTGGTCGTGGTTCCCTCCTATTAGCTGAGCAACTAGCCTCTGATATCTTCTCTTGGTTCACTCAGTCTAAAGGTAGTTAACTCGTTCTTGACTCCGCTTAAAAAGTCTTGATTTTTTTCTTTTTTTATTTTGTTTCATTTTGGTTGTGTGTTTGAGCTGAAATTGAGGGTTTTTAGTTAGTAAAAATGAAACCCTGATATTGTAGAGGAAGAGGTAGGGGAATTGTTGGTTTTTTTTTTTTTAGAGGAGTGACTAGGAAACAATGATTGCGATTTTCAAAGAGCAGATTATGCGAGAGATAGAAAGGAGTGGCAGAAGGCTGCTAAGGGCTTTTAGCTGTCTCAATTTCGCTGCTTTAATCCTTGATTATGAGCATTGGTTTTCTGACTGACTTTCTTTTTGTGCGTGCCTGCTTCTGGATTATTGGAGTTTTTTTGCTCTCATAGTTTTTGGGATCCATCGTTAGCCTATGATGTATTCAGTTTTGCTTTTGAATCCCACTGCCTCACATTGGTTAGACGGCGAATGATGTACGATTTGATATTTAAAGCTTCTTCGTGTCTGTTTGAGAGATTGGAAGAGTCATGGGTTTGGCATTTCAGTTCTGCTTCTTCTGCTCTGCTGTTTATTTCTTCTTGCATCCTGCCCTTGCATTTTGTTCCTTCTCATTGTGGAATCTTGAGTATTAGCAAGTTTTGTGAGTTTTGGTGGTTTCATGTCAGGATCCAATGCGGTTTCTTGTTATGTTTGTCTGATTGTCGTGGGGTTTAATTGTTTTTGCAGGTTGCTGTTATCAGCTTTTTCTTGTGGGGCCATTTTCTGATTGGCTGGGTTTTTTTTTTTTGGCGCACTAATTTTTTCTAATAATTTTTTGAGCACATTCATGAAAAAAAAAAAGTGATCTTGATTGTCAAAATTTGTAATCTTGTTTCGTTTTTTATATTTGACAGAGTAAAATTGGACAAAATTTGTCCAAGATTTCCAACTTTTAAGACAATTGAGAAATTAGAAGTTATTTATTTATATTGTAGTTTATGAACTGCTGGTGTGATTGGTAATTGATTATTCTGTTTCTGATTTCTTTTTTAAAACCTATCGCGCAGATCCGCTTTATATTGATGATTTGGAAAGTATCTTGGATGAAGCTATGCTTTCTCTCAATACCATGATTGACGATGGCAGCATTGAAGAGGTAATCCCTTATTCCTTACACTGCAGTCCATTTTTTTCAGTACATGTATTGTTATGGTGAGTAAAATGTTTGCAGATGATTCTTGTATATGAATGGATATCACTAAGCACTCGAGCTTCAAAAACTCATCCCTCTGCTTTTGATATTGGTTTTGAACCTCATTTAATTGAATTTCGATGGGATTTGTTCTGATATCAATTTAATGAAGCTTTAACCATAAAGGCAGGGGCAATGAATTTCTTTGCCTTATCTTGCTTAAATGAAACTGGTTTTGTATATCAGGGTTTCAATTTGTTCTTTTTTCAGGTAGCAGAAAAATTAATGATTATGCATGAAGAATGTTTAGAAGGCAATTATAGTTCTATTCAAAAGTTGAGGGAAGCAGGTCCTAGAACAGGAGCTCATCAACATGTCAAACAGGTAATTATGGTGTGAATTCTCCATCTGCAAGGTTTATGTTCCATAATGAAGTTAGTGTGACTTATCAGCTTTGGGAAATATCACACAAGCTTATGGATTTCAATTTTGTTGTCACGTGATTCTTACTGATACTGTCGAGAAGGGTACTGTGCAGTCCATCTTCTAGTTGATGATACAATTGGAAATTCGATCTGGTTGTGAAGTAGTGCTGCTTATTTATTTAGTTTGCTCTATTGTACCCAAGAGTCCTTAAAAATGTTGCCTTATTATGTTGTTTGCTAAGAGAAAGATCATCATGGAAATCAGATATTTAGAAATGTGTCACCAATTACATGCAAGAACAAAATTAAAATGATTTCAATTAGCTTAATTTTTATTTCTCTCCATCTAATTGTTCTTTCCTTTTGTTTCCTAGGCTGTGGATGATGATGATGATTCTGAGGACAGCGACAGTGATGATAAAATGGGTGATGTTGGATCAAACATGATGGTGGATACACCAGAATTCCAATCAAAGTCGAATCCATTAAACAAGCCAGTCAGTGAGCCTAGGGCCAAGGAGGCTCAATCAGAAGATGGATGGACAGTTGTTTCATCTAGGCGAAACAAGGGTAAAAGGAACTAGGCTAAAATGTTTTGTAGTCTACCTTTTTTGGGTTTCTCCTCCCCCTCCGCTTTCTCTTCAATACAATAAATGTTTGTATTGGCAATTTTGGTGTTCTAATTATTGAATAGCACGGGTTCTGTCTGGTTGGACAAAGTTGTGGATTGCCAGAGTACAAGGAACCACTGATTGGATTTCTTCGCAGTATCATGATGTTATAATATGTTGGTTGAGTTCAATCAAACACCATTCAATGTGAGGCTTTGGGGTTTTGTTGTTGAGTTCGCTGATTGAATTCCATGTCAGACTTGCATTATCATGACTCCACGTGCGATTAGGTATTCGGGATCTGTAAAATGAGTTGTGCTTTGTTCGCTTAGATGTTTGCTGACGACCTTTTTTCAATAGATTTTATAATATAATGTTTAAATTTTAAATAGCTGATTAAGTTGACAAAAAATTGTTATTTGGAATTCCTTGCTGTGTCATGTCAAGACTGGTAAATGAAATGCAAGAGATGAATCCTGACTTGTTCTGAATCCTGACAAAAGTGTGTACATCACAAAGATAATGGAGCAATATTCTTTTTAATGGATAGGATATGCACAGCTTGCTGGTGTCTTATCATGGTAGTTCCCGAATCATTATTAAAAAAAAAAACCGAAACATAAGATTATTATTTATTGCACTTTCAAATACTATCTTTTTCATACTCATATATACTGTGCTTGGATTTTGATGCACTATTCTTTTTATCGTGCAATGATTTGTAATTTTTAAATATTTTAAATATATTTTTTATGAAAGCTTTTATAATATTATTCTTCTATTGTTTGTTAAAATATTATTTTTTAGTCTATAAATATTTTTTATTTGATTTTAATTTAATTTTTTTGTTTCATTTTGATCTTTGTGTTTTTTTAATTTTTTTAATTAAAAAATTTAAGACAAAAAGATGTTTAGGAAAAAAATTCATAAAATAAGTTTTTTAGCTAAAAATGTGGACAAAGATAAATACAATAATTTTTTTAATACAAAATTTATGAAAATATAAAAAATAATTAGTTAAATACAAAATTTTAATTAAAAATAATAAAATTAAATAATTTTTTATTTAGTTTTAATTTGATATATTTTAATAGACGCACAATATAACACCGGACATCAAAATGAAATAATTTTTTAAAAATAAATTTATATATTTTGATGGACAAAAAGATGTTATTGCATTTAGACAAGAGCACTCCTGGGGATGCCTTAAACGGCAGCCCTGCATCTTCTAACTAGCGAAGAAAATGAGGCCGATTTGTTTTGGTCTAGACCAATTTGATACATGCAATAACATATTTGTTGGCCATACCATTCAAGAAACACACCCTTTTAGTTCGTGTGGCTCGTGAGGCTGTCCCAAGATTATTTCCCTGATCAGTTTCCTGTTCTTTAGTACAGCATATATTAGCATAGAAGTTTGGTTTTATCAACTTCATTTCACCTACTTCCTGTCTTACTCTCACAGAAATGTCACCCACAGCCACTCCAACCACAATGGCTATTAACATGATCAAATTCCTCCTACTTTCACCCTCATTCTTCATCCTTTATCCTTCAGTAATATCCCAGACCATACCTTCATCTGCTGGCAGCCAGGGGGATGGGATCTTTTGCATGCAAATGTAGGCATATCAGCTATGCACATGCAACTTATGCACGATAACAAAGTCGTCATTTTCGATCGCACAGATTTTGGCCCCTCCAACATCTCCCTCCCTGCTGGTCGCTGCCGTTTTGACCCCAACGACGAAGCCCTTGAAATAGATTGCACTGCACACTCCATCGTTTACGATACTATCACTGACACCTACCGTCCCCTAATGGTCCAAACGGACACTTGGTGTTCCTCTGGGGCAGTTTTACCCAACGGAACCCTAGTCCAAACTGGGGGATACCATGATGGTGACAATGTAACACGCATGTTTACTCCATGCGCAAATGACATTTGTGATTGGGTTGAGTTTCCAAACTATCTATCAAGGAGAAGATGGTATGCAACTAATCAAATCTTACCTGATGGACGGATTATCATTATCGGCGGTCGAAGGCAATTTAGCTACGAGTTCTTCCCTCGCCCTTCTCCTCGTCGCCAAACTTTTCAGCTCCGTTTTCTGATAGAAACAAGGGAGGGTAACGTTGAAAACAATTTGTACCCGTTCGTCCACCTCTTGCCGGATGGGAACTTGTTCATTTTTGCTAATACACGATCGATATTGTTTGACTACAATCAAAATCGTGTGGTTAGAGAATTTCCCCAGATCCCAGGAGATGATCCTCGCAATTATCCCAGTACCGGATCATCAGTTCTCTTGCCTTTAGATGAAAATGAATACAGGATAGACCCTGAAGTTATGGTTTGTGGAGGTGCGCCAAGAGGTGCATTCCAACAAGCTGTACATGGAACCTTTGTACGTGCAATTTCCACATGCGGACGACTCAGGGTCACTGATCAAAACGCTAGCTGGGCCATGGAAACCATGCCGATTCCACGAGTAATGGGCGATATGCTACTTCTTCCCACCGGGGACATCATTATAATCAATGGAGCTCAATTAGGCACTGCAGGGTGGGAATATGGGCGCCAGGCAGTAACCAGACCTGTCATGTACCATCCATCCCGTCCGTCCGACCAGCGTTTCTCAGTCATGGCACCATCACCACGTCCAAGAATGTATCATTCAGCAGCAATTCTACTAACTGATGGTCGAGTTTTAGTTGGTGGTAGTAACCCTCACATTACCTATAACTTCACCGACGTATTCTATCCAACGGACCTAAGCCTGGAGACCTTTTCGCCACCATATTTATCAACTCACTATGCGTCAATAAGACCAGTGATTTGTTCTGTAGATGAGACTGTAAGTCCTGGGCAGAGATTTTGGGTAAGTTTCTCGGTGGAAGAGTATTTAAAAGAAAGTTTATTATCAGTAAGAATAGTTGCACCATCGTTTACAACACACTCATATTCCATGAATCAAAGGATGGTGGTGCTGAAGATTGATGGCATTATTGATAACGATACATCATCATACACTTTGAGTGTAGTTGGACCATCATCAGTTGAGATTGCTCCACCAGGGTACTATTTGCTGTACGTCGTGCATTCTGGTATACCTAGTTCTGGTGTGTGGGTGAGGATCATACAGTGATGTGGTTGGAAGGTCGTGTTAAATTAGTTTGATCAAGAGTTGTTGTCCTATCACGTGCCTAACAAAATGATTGGTTTGCAATTAAGAACTTGGAACTTGAAAGTGCAAGTTCTGCACTCCTCAATTAATCAAAAAGATTAATCTGTTGTAATTTCCTTAGACTGAGCCACTTTTGTTGAATCTGTTGGTCTTAATCTAGGATTTGATTCGTTCTCTCTTTTATTCTTGGCTAGGTTTCCAATTTATCTATAAACTTTTGGGCTTAGCCTCTTATGCCCTTTAAATTTATAATACATGCTATTTTTTAATTAAAAAGGAAAATGCTTCTATAACCCAATTAGCCTCTAAAACAAATAAATTTATTTTTTTCAGCCAAATTCATAAATTAAAAAAAAATTAGAAATTATTATTATTATTATTATTCCATATAGAAGATATGACTAATCTTATTCAGGACAAGAGCAACAAGATTTAACTTCTTTTAACAAATATAATTTCAGAATTCAAACATTATATATTAGTAGAAAATTCATTTGATAATAAGTTCCTTTACTACTGAATCAAATAATTTATTAGTGAAATTATATTTTCAAAAAAATAAAAAAGATTTTCAAATTCAAGAAGGGAACATTAATGTCTGTTAAGCTAAGACTTAATGACTTTACAATGAAAACAAAGTGGGAGTAACAAATGCTTTTCGAGTATTATTATTAATAGACTTAAAATCAAATCTTCTTTGTTAAGAAAAACTCAAAATTTACTCACAATATTTATATACAAGGTCTACAGTAAAAGAGAAGAGTAACTACTGTGTTTTTTTTTTTAAAGGATATTTCAAAAAAAAAGATTTAGATTAATTTTTTATTATTTTATGGAAGGCGCAAGATAAAAATAATTACAAAAAAAATTTATATATATAAAAATTTAAATTCAAAACGCTTATTTAATCAAATACAGTTGTTTTCATTCCCGTCAGCCTTCTTGGATTCTCCCGTTTATTCTTTTCATAGAAAGCAAAAACACGTTGATATTTTTTAAAAGGTTAAAAACCATGATTGGCCGAGTTTTATGGATATACTCTACCGTCTTAAGGTCTCTCGGCTGTCGTGGAAACTACCTTTCCATGATGATTAATTTAAGGACTTTAACAGCATGTTGTCAAATCAATAGAAAACTTCCTTTCCAGATTCATTCTTCAATTAGTCTGTTTTTTTAGGACTTTGTTGAACAATCATACTTCCACATCCAGAATACTAGAATCACAAAATGACTTCTCCTTTATCTTAAATTAATGATGTGCCAATATTTTACATGATTTTGTCTGAAGTTCTAGATTTTTCTGCAAGTACTTTTTGACATTGAAGAAATTAAGGATCGGAGAACACTACCTCCATCCAATTCCCTATGCAGTGAAAAAAATGAAATTGTTATTTTTAATTTTTCATATAAATTAATTAGGTTATTAATTATTATGCTATATCAGTGTTTATTTTAAGAGAATATATCATTTAAAATTTTAACCAAACAAATATTTTGAAATAAATATAAATATAAAAATAAACAATTTTTTTAAAACCAAAAAAATAATATGATTACTTTTCTATATCATATTAAAAAGATAAACTTAATTTTCGTATATAAATTGATTGGAGATATTATTTGATTGTGAAACTAAAAATAAAGAAATCAACAAGTTGTTGATCCAGTAGTAAATGAGCTAGGTCTCTAGGTGAATTTTTTTATCAATATGCATGTTCGAATTCTTAAGTTGCACTTGTTGGAAGAGATTAAATTTTATTGTTCTCATCCCGAATAGGATTAGTCATATTTTCAATGTGAGATTAAGATACTTGAATAAATAAAATAAAATAAAGAAAAAAAATGATGAAGCATTCTTCCTATTTGAACTGCCTTTATTTTCCAATAAACCCAATTCTCTCAAATAATGATTTTTGGGACACCAAAGTTAGGCTTATTGAATAAAAAAAGCACAAACTTTATAATTTTTTTAATCATATTTTAATTTTAGATAGAAAATACACAAACTAAACTTCTGTTTACCATATTAGCATGAATGAATTTTTCTCTCAAAATTCTGTTATTAGCTGCGAAAATAAATATTGATAGCAAAAACTAAATACCACTTAAGATCTCATGTGACTTAATTCATAATTATCCTTTTCTATTCAGACAACATGTCGCCCAATTCTCTTTTTTTTTTTTTTTTTCAAATCCTCAAATCTAAATCTGATTAAAATTCTAAAAATCCCTAAATCCAAAAGGCAATCAATAATATTGACTCTAACAAACTGAAAAACAAGAAGAAGATCTTCAAAAAATAATAATCTTTACACTACCTCCTGTCTATTCACTCATTGGCGAAGAACCTTTCGATCCAACAAATTCTTCTTCTTGAAAGCCTATGGCTCACAACTACCTCTACTCCAGTTCTTGTCCACTCACTCTAAATCCATAAAAGCCATCCTTTCCTCTAGAGGTGCACCCATCAACATCAACATCCTCTAACTGCTTTTGAAAGTTGGTCTGACTGTTACCACCAATGTTGGTCTTAACTAGATTGACATCCCTGAGTGTCTTCGTCGTGGTATCAAAATTGCTAAGTGAGGCAACTTCTATTCCAATGATGTGGCTGATTTGATAGTTGGTTTGTTGATTGATGTTGTGAGAAAGGTTTCGGCTAGTGATCGTTACATGAGTCAAGGGTTTTGAACTACCAAAGGGGACTATCCTCTTGGTTTTAAGGTTTTGATTCTTGAATATCTTTATTTCAGTTGAGGCTTTGTTAGTTTTTGATCACTTAAAGAATGATAAGTTAGTATTTCTGGTTTGGATAACTAACTATGTCTAATTGTTGAAGTGAAATATTGCTCTAAACACATAAATTGATTTGATTTGCTCCGTAACTATTTCATTTATTATTGAAAAGTTTGCAGATTTTTAAGATTTCAATTAGTTTTGGGTTTAGGGATTAATTGAGTGATTTGTCGTTGAGAGTTTTGGGAGAAGATAATTATGAATTAAATCATATGAGATCTTACGTGACATTTAGTTTTTAGCATCACCCTATCTCTTTTAACATGTCAACCATGTTAATATAATTAACAAAAACTTAATTTATATATTTTATGTTCAATTATAAAAGAATGTGATAATATAATTAAAAACCATTAAATTTATGACTTTTGGTTCGATGAGCCCCAAAATTATGTTGTTCGAAGGAAAAATGGGCAAATCTCAAAAGTTCCCAACTTATATGATGGATCTCGATTAGATCCTCAACCTATTTTCTATCTCGATTGAGTCCTCGACATAACAATATTTCTCAACAAAATCATTTGTTAGTTTTAATGAATAAAAATTTTAATTAATTTTTAAGAAACTTATAGTTTTTTATTTCTTAAATTTTTCATTTATGCTTTTTTGATTTTTTTTATAAAAGAATTATTAAATGTTTTCAGACTTTTAATAATCGAGAGTATTTTTTGAAAAAAATATATACAAGTTTTGTATTGTTTTTATTCCTTTAAAAAATAATATGACCTAAAATTCATGTGATTTCTCTTTTTTCGTACAAATTTTAGTCAATTCAACTCAATTGAACTACATTACATTGAATTGTAAACATGTAAATAAATAAATAAACATGCAAAATTTTCTTAAATACTTCTGAATTTTTTTTTTAATTCAAAACTTTAATTGTTTTCTTAAAATTTTAATAGTGAAGTACTATTGTTTGATTTTCCTTGTCATTTTTGAAATGAACATGTAAATAAATAAATAATTTTTTTTTGACAAAAACTTAAATTTTTGAAGATTTTTAAGGAATAAAACAATCAAAAACTTAGATAATGTTTTAAAAATTGCTCTTGGTCATTAAAAGTTTCAAATGTTTAATGATTTTATATAAAAAAAATCAGAAAATTATAAATAAAAATATCTAAGAAATAAAAACTTGGAAGTTTTCAAAAATTAATTGAAATTTTTTTTCAAACGATTACTTAACAAATTTTGTTCACTAAAACCAATTAATAGAAACATCTTGTTGAGAAACATTGATACATTAGAGATTTAATCGAAATAAAAAAAGAAAAGAAAAAAGAATAGAAATCTAATCAAGATCGATCATATATGTTAGGGTCTTTTACGCGGTTTGGCGGTTTGCCCAAGAAAAATTTAGTCAAATTGACTTAGAGACCATAATGGTGCTATAAGATTTCTTCAAATAAGGGCATTATCGTGATGAAAAAAATGGACAGGTCCTTAATTGAGTTTATATATAGAAGAATATGGACCTTAATTAATATTAATTTTATGATTCTTCTGTTGTTTTAAGTGACTTCTAACCCACCTTTCATGTCATCATTACATGATGACAAATGACATGATCGCCTAGCACCTTGATCAAAATAAATAAAACATTTTTAGGAATACAGAAGGAATTAGGTGAGGAAAAACAACGCAAAAATGTCTTGATTTGGATCGAGCAACCAACGATTGAGAGGTCCTACTGCTCTTAATTATATGAAAACAAAAGATTTTAAGGATAAAAAATGAGAAAAAAATTAGAAGAATTTAATAAGGTAAAAAAGAAAAAAAGTAATAAGTAATTAGATGCAATTTTTTATATAAAACATTACATTTTATTTCTCCTTCTGCGCAATGAGGTAAATTAACCTTTTCTTTTTATTTTTTAAACTAAAAGAGCTAAGTTTTTATCCAAAACATTTAGATGCAATTTTTTGAAATATAATTATTGTTGATTGTTTTTATTTAGATCAAACTCAATAAATTAATTAAGAGAATAAATCTTCTAAACTACCAAAACAATTCCTTAAATTTTGAAGAGTCTATCAACAACTAAAACGTAATAAAAAAACTGATCAAATATGTAATGATGATCACATGAATGATTTGAAACACCCATCCATTTGTTTAAAATAAACAATTAACACATGTAAACCATGACATCAATAACCTAAAGCTTTATTAACTTATCACTTTTTTCTTGTCCTAAAGCAACACACGTGCATAGACAAATCTCTCTGGAATTCATCCTTAAACATTTTTGTTAAATAATAATTTCAATTTGAAAATTTAAAATATTAAGTTAAACTTATGAGTGATTTTATTATTTTTTGATATATTTTTTCAAGTTAAAGCTTTTTAGACTTAAAACTTATACAGAACTACAACTATATTATCTTTAATTATTTAATTAAAAAAAATAAAATAAAATTCAAATTTATAATTATTTAATAATTAATGATATCATATCAAAAAATTATTTTAATATAAAAATTTAAATTTCATCGTACTGATGAGATTTAAAAATAAGTTTTATTATTCTCTAATACTTCCCTCCTTTCAAAGCTCCTCAAGGACCTCAACACTCCTAAACTTGGTATCTCCTTTCTTCTATACGCATAATTTTCGTGTGCATACTCTAATTCTTATAACTGCTATGAACTCTCCTCATCCTCATATACGGGAAAAAAGTTCCATCAACTCCAGAAAGTACCAAATAATTTATTCTTATTTACTCCATCTCAATACCTATAAAATATTTTTCAGAGAAGAAAGGGAAGAGGAAACCCGCGACAAAACTTTTTATTGATTTGGAGCAGGAAATGATTCAAATGATGTAGCAATTGAATGAATAACCCCACACGTTCCAAAGCAAAATCTAGTAATTCTTCCCTCACCTGGGTCCCGCCACCAACGCGCCCCGTCGCCTTCTCAATTCACATTCCGCGTTAATCCTTCGCCGGTTTGTCTCCGTCCGCCAAACCATATTTAATATCCAATGGCAAAATCTAGTAATTAAAGTAAACTCCATACCCTTTTAATTTACTGGCTAACATTACATATGGAAAGATCAATTGGCAAAGAGATAATCACTTATCTAGTCCCTGTATGTCATAAAAACTTGTATTTTAGTTACCACTAGTTTTTTTTACATACGTGTTGGATAAAATAAGTAAAATTATTTTATTTTGATATCTTATGTTATATTGTATGTTTATTAAAATATATCTAATCAAAATTGAATAAAAATTCATTCAATTTTATTATTTTTTAATTAAAATTTTGTATTTGACTAATTATTTTTTATATTTTCATAATTTTTTTATTAAAAAACATTATTAATTTATTCTATCTACATTTTTTGCTAAAATCTTATTTTGTAAATTATTTTTTAAAACGTCTTTTTGCCTTAAAATTTTTAATTAAAAAATCAGAGAAAAAAGCAATGACCAAAGTGACCAAAATAAAATAAAAATAGAACCAAAATCAAATAAAAAATATTTATGCAACAAAAAAATAATATTTAAAAAAGAGGAATCAAAGTATAATATTACAAAAACTTTTATAATAAACGTCTTAATAATGTTTGAAAACTAAGAAAAATATTATTACATAGTGAAAGGAATAATGCATGTGAGTCTAAATGAATAATGCGAATGTATTTTTGTGAATAGTGTTTCGGATAGTATAATAACTAGTAAGCAATGGTTTTAGTTTAATTTTATTTTAATTGTAATACTTAATTTCTTATTTTTCTTCCCATATAGTTTTGACGTTGATCCATTAATAGCATTTATTCTGAAAATAACTATTACAAGGAAAAATTTAAGGATTAACCTTAAAACATATACCAAGAATTAACTTAATACATTTATTAGACTCTGGTTTATTTTAATTGAGTTATATGTAACATAAAAATCTATGTTTAAATAAAAATGAATTGTATTAGTTAATGATGTTAAATTAGTACCATCTATGCGGTGACTTTTTTAATCATTTTTCAATTAAAAAAAAAAACCGGAGATCCATTAACAAAGTTGGAACCGATTTTATTCAAGAAATTATTTCATTTCTGAAAGTAAAATTAATTTGAATTGTTTATTAATTAAATTTTAAATTTTGTATGAATTCTGAAATGACATAATATAGTTTTTATTAATTATATTAGTTAAAGATCTCGTTTCTATGCATTCTCAACATGATTTTATCCCCCTCTGATATAAAGTTCCTTGAAACTTCCACAATCTGAGAAGATTTCATTAATTTGATTTAATACTACTATGTTTAAGGCAATTATCCTGTTAATCCAGACAACATCGAGTAAAAAAAAAATGCCATGCAAAGATAATCGACATAATATTTCAAGATAAATTTGTTCATTACAAATTACTTCTGTCAAATTATATATATATGACAAAAAAAAAAAAAATTGAGACATGGGAGAAAATATAAACGATAAACACTTTTATTAGTGAAATAAATAATGAAACAATCAATTTCACGAAGAAATTCATCTTTAAAAAAGGGAAAGAATACATCGAAAATGTCTTAAGCAACACTATAGACTAAAGAATCACTTCACACCAGAAGTGTCTTGAACAAATAAAACCCAAGATAATTGAATTAAAAACTAAACTCAAAGGATTATTTTTTGAAATCAATATCATCACACACTGCGTAAAGAGAAAAACAAATAGCGTTTTGCAAAAAACATTTAGTAGGCCATGAAAAATAAAAAGAGAGGAGATTTTTGTGAAGCAAACCCAATAAAGACAGAGAGAAAAAGTGATATTTTTTAATGTGATAAATAGTTTTGCTAATCTTTTAAAAGTTAGAACCAACAAATCATACCATTCGAGAGCAATTTCAAATCATAATTTTAATACAATTTTTAAAGGTTGTGAATTCAATTCTTTCGGTAATTTTTTTTTCAAATATAAGATTTGAATAAATTAAAGTCAATTCTTGCTAAATCTAGATGTTTCAAACGAACTGTAAGAGCTTTAAAAATTATTTAACAAGTGATCTAACAACACCTATTGGACAGGCTCGTGTCGAGTGTACGGGAACTAGTGTACTCCGATACAGGAAATGAAACAAAAAAAAAAAAAAAAAGAGTTTTAGTATAAGAACTCAAATAGAAATTTCAATAAAGTAAAAGCACCAAAAATCATGTTATCGGAATGGCAAATCTAGTAATTAAGAGAAACCCCGTACCCTTTTGACCTCCCGTCCACATTATACTACTTCATTTAGTTTTTCCCTCCCTCGGGTAAGCAAACTCCATTTTCTTTTCTCTCTCTAAAAGTCTTTGTTGAGTCTTGGCTCTCAAAAAAAATAAAAAATAAAAAATAAAAAAAAGAGTAAGATAGTAAAAATTCGAAGATACAAGGAGGGGAGTAAAGAAAGAAAGAAAGCGAGAGAAAATTTAGCCAACAGAAAGAAATAGAAAACGAGAGAGAGAGAGAAACAGTAAAGTAAAGATAGAAATGAAGCACATTTTCAAGAAGTTACACCTAGGAAGCAACCACGAGTCATCGCCAAATCGAACAACAATTAACGAAACAGCCACGAGCGCATCAACACCACCACCGCCACCATCATGTTCCTCCGATCAAAACGCCGCCGCCTCCGGAAATTCACCGGCGAGTCCTCCATCAACATCTCCTTCACCGGCGGCGACAGTGCAACCGTCGGCGATTAGTAATCGGACGGATTACTTTACGTCGGAGGAGGAGTTTCAGGTGCAATTAGCGTTGGCGATTAGCGCGTCGAATTCGGAGTTTAGAGATGATAAGGAAAAGGATCAGATCCGTGCAGCGACGTTGTTGAGTTTAGGAGGAGTGAATAATCGAATTGATGCCGATAGAGAGAAAGGAGAGGAAAAAGTAGAGGATTTGTCGAGGTATTATTGGGTGAGTTCTTTCTGAGATAATGAATTCTTGATTTTCTTGTTACATGATTGAAGTTCTTAGTGAGAGGTTGAATTAGGGTTTTAATTGCTTTTTTTTGGTGGTTAAAATTAGTTGTTGCAGGAATGTTCAGTGTTTGAAATTTGTTAACTTAGTATTCAATTAAGTGGAAATGAAGAAATCTAACTGTTGTTGAGTCTGGTTATCGCAAGTAATTAAGTTCTGAGCTTAGTTGAATTAGGAAATCTAGCCAATTTGAGCTTTTTTTAGGTCTTCAATTTGGATAATTGTAGTGGATGAGCTTGGCAGTTGCTAAATTCCTTCTGCTGATAGTAGGTTACTAAGTGTCAAGTTCAGCTAATTATGGAAATTTAGACGATTTGAGCTTTTTTTGAGTCTTCAATGTGGTGAATTGTAGCGGATGAGTTTTGCGTTTATTGAATCTGTGGGAAGAAATATTAAAGTGTGAAATCTGAAGGTGAAGTGTTCAGTCAGTATTGAATACCATGAATTTTTAGTGAATGAGCTTGAAGTTGGAGTCGTTTTATTTGTTTTTGGGTTGCTGATTGTGAGTGTGCACCGCGGATTTTATTTTGAAGGTTACATGATAGTGTTTTTTTAGTTTACTGTTAAGCTAGGGAAAATCTGGCTGGATGAACTATGCATGAGTTATCCACATGCTCGTTGTATGTTAGGCTTGATCATCATGTTTTCCTGCATCCCTGCTAGCTTACATGCTGTTCATGCTCACATTATGCCTCATTGAAGTGTCAAGGAAAATTGCCTATAAGTTTTTTTTTTAGTTGATTTTTTTTTTTTTTTTAATAACAATTAGTTTGTAGTTTATCTGGCATACATTGATTCAAACATGCAAAAGCTTCTAAAATATTTTTATATATATATTTTTTTTGGTTGAACTTTAAATGATGTATCTCATTTATTAAACTATATTGGAAAACTTATCGAGGCAAAAAGTAAAAACTTGGCACTTTTTTGTTCTAAAGATAAAAATAACAATTCTCCCGGAGATGTTGTTGGCAACAATAAAATGGTTTGGCTCTGTTAGTTATAAAATAATTTGGTTCTATTAAATTAGCTATAATTCTGTGCAAAATATAAAAAAATTCATGTTGTGCTAAATGCTGGAACATTTTCCATAAAAGCTTTCTTAAGTTCAAGAGATTTTGAAGGTTTATCATTGAAAGAGTAAATTGGCAAAGGAATGAGGTTTGTTTCCAATTGCAATGTAGAGGAGCAATGCTGCTGTTTGCAATACTCTTGTTATACATGATGCAGTTGAGGAAGGGTGTGTAGGTGCTTCATAAAAGATACATGTGTAGCACACTGGAACTTTTCCAACTTCATTTAAGGTTACTGTGAATATTTGTATCAAATAATGCATTCCCAGCTTTATTTTCCTTGACATGAGTTGGATTGCTTCACCAGGAATATAATGTGCTTGATTATGGGGAGAAAGTGATGGATGGTTTCTATGATGTGTTCTGCACAAGTTCAGCAGTCCAAGGAAAAATGCCATCCCTCACGGATCTGGAAACAAACGCTAGCAGTTCTGGTTTTGAAGCAGTAATGGTTAATCGAAAAATTGATCCTGCCTTGGAAGAGCTGATGCAAATTGTACAATGTATTGCATTAGATTGCCCTGCTACCAGTGTTGATATTTTGGTACAGCAGCTGGCTGAACTTGTTACAGCACACATGGGTGGGCCAGTAAAGGATGCCAATGTGATATTAGCAAAGTGGATGGAGAGAAGCACAGAGTTAAGAACTTCTCTTCACACAAGTGCATTGCCTATTGGGTCCATAAATATTGGTCTGTCTCGACATCGTGCTTTGCTTTTCAAGGTTAGTGTCATATTTTCATTACTGATTGCCTGAGGGTTTTGTTGTTGCAGCAATCTTGTATATCATAAGTTATGCTGCTGTAATAGCTATATTCATAATTTTGTTAACCTGGATTTAGGTGTTGGCTGATACCATAAAGTTACCATGTCGACTGGTGAAAGGTAGTCATTACACTGGCATTGAGGATGATGCTGTCAACATAATAAAGTTGGAGGATGAAAGGTTGTGGCTTGTCCTTGCTGTATGTTTTTTAATCTATTAGCTAATAATTTATCTCTTCTGTGGCTGCCTATAAATTTTAATTTTCGAGATGAGCATCTTCTCTGCATATGCAAGTAGGTTTCATTTAGTGTTTTATTATCCGCAATTCTTTACTGCTTGTGTTTAGGTTTAGTCCAAAATACGTAATCAAATCTTTCTGTGTTTTGTATTTAAGTCATTCTTTGAACGGAAACTTCAAACTGCAATAGCGTTATAGGAAATAAGTTGCTGCGACTGACTGACTGGGAAGAGCATCCCCCAGAAGTATCTAATGTCCCTTGCTGACTGTAGTATCCTGTGTAGAAGTAAAATGGTGGAAAAAATTACATGTTTTATTTAGTTCTTTTCCCTGGCCACATCTTAGACATTGATTGAATGTTCTGTTACACGTTGCAGATTTTTCTTGTATATGTGCTATGTTTCTTAAGATCTTTATCAGTTTCTGGAATGAGTTTCTTTTGCTCTGGTTGGGTTGAGGAGGAACCTGCTATTTTTTGTTGGCTGGTCATTAGTTGCTCTCTTAAGCAGGAAGGGGGATCAGGCTGTTGATAAACATTTGAAATGATGCAAAACATGCTTTTGTAGACTAAGATAATTGAGATTTTTGTCACTTGATGCCTATTTGAAATAATAGTCTGATCCACAACGTAAAGGCTTGGATGCCTATATGAAAGGTGATGGCAAAGTACTTGTCTTTGTTAATGTGCATACACGTGCACACACAAGCAGGGGTGTATATATGGGCCCTTTCTGGCCGCTGCAACTCTTCCTCGTTTATGCTTAATTGTTGTCTGCAACTTATCGTTTTCTTCTTTTAGTTTCTTCTGTGGCCTTTCTGTTTCTAAAGGTGGAGTTTGGCTCCCTTGTGACTGCATAACTTAAAATCTAGATAACCGAATCCAAGTAATATCTTGCACAAGGATTTTGTAGGAGACACTTGAGCTATTCGTTCATGTTCTTGATGAACTTGTACGAATGCTCACCTGCATTTCTGTGTCCTGTCTCAGTATGGTAGATGAAACATATTTTTGTTTGTTTCACTTGTAACTATATTTTTTCTGCCCTCAGAGAGTTTTTGGTCGATCTCATGGCTGCTCCTGGAACACTTATACCAGCTGATGCACCAAGTGCAAAAGACACTACCTTTAAGATCCCTGCTCTTCACTCCTCTAATGACACTGGAGTGGTTTTTGCGAGGCCAAAGCGATCTCCTGGTGAGGGCACTAGTCAGAACTCTTCAGTGGATGGTATAAGTTCTGAAAATGCAGAATCCCTGCCTTCTTTCTCTGGTTCAAATAGTGACACTGGTGTTGGTTCTTCTGGAGTACCTAATAAAGCAGCTCCTACTAATCAGCTTGGTAATATATCTTCCACAGCCATTGGGACTTCTGTATACAAGGGGAATCGTGGGGCCCATGCAGTTGGCGATGGTGTGCGGATGAATGTTAATGTAGTTCCATATGGTCCTAATAACTCGGAGGATTCTAAAAACCTTTTTGCAGATCTTAATCCATTCCAGATCAAGGGAACTGGAAAAAGTTTCATGCACAACAAACCCGCAGACAATAAAATTAATGAGTTTCAAGGAAGGAATAATAACCCTGTTCCCTGTCCGCCTGCAGCATTGGTGTGGAAGAATCGATATGCGTACAATGAGGTGCCTAGAAGAAAAGAGAATGATCATGTTGAGGGCCTCTATCCAAGAATTAATCGGGAACCAAATAATTATAATCAGCCCTCAGCGTCCACCAGTTCTTCTGAAAAAGTTTATCCACATGGTTTCAAGTCCTCCAGTAATTTTAATCCATCCAATAGAGAAAGTGACACCAGGAATTCTGTAAGTGGTGCCAGTTCAGCATTGTCATCAGATACTAATCAATGCTACAGTTCACCTTCTGTTGAAGAAGTAAACTCAAAACTTAAAGAAGAAAAACTCTGGGATGCGAAGAATTCGCAAAATGACTCAGAAGCCGTGGTTAAAGAACATGAAGACTGCGAAATTGGTTTTCATGACCGTAGAAAGTGCATGTATGACAGATTTATGGGGACCAATCTAAAATCGAAGGATCTAGAAAGTCCTAGTGCATCAGTTGGTTCCAGAATCCACAGGGTTGATCAAATATTGGATGATGTAGATGTAGGTTATGAAATTTGCTGGGAAGAATTGGTTATTGGTGAAAGGATTGGACTAGGTAATGCAAATGGATGGTCAGATTTTGTATTGGAATTGATCATTGATTCACAATTGCTGAGTTGGTTCTACATAAATGTGTGCATCCATGCAAGTGTGTGTGAGCATGCACATGCAACATGCAAAATGCACATGCACACACACCACGAACATGCATTATGAAATATGCATCTACTTATCTAAACATAAAACATTCTTTAGAATCTTTTCCATGTTTTCATGATAATTCGCTTCATCTTCTATTCACTTGAGAACTTCTTTTTAAATCAAAAAATAGTAAGGCCTTGATTTTCATGTGGAGGTCATAAACTCTTTGCTTTCTTTTTCCTTTGAGTCTTATGCTGGCATAATTATATGGAGGATCAATATCTGAAGATAATCTCTCACATATGTTTTCTTGTTAATAGGTTCATACGGGGAGGTCTATCATGCTGATTTGAATGGCACGGTGAGCTTGACTTTCCTTCATTTAGTTGTTTGTTACTTTTGTATTTTGTTGTTATAGCTCAAATTTGATTCATTAGAAATGTGGAAAACCGGTCTCATTTTTCTCTTGATATCCTGGTATATCTTAATCAATTGATGTCTAGATTTTATTGTTTACTGTTTCCGATTATTCTCTTTACATTATCTCAAGCGGGCTGCCATTTGGGAGTTTACAGTGAAAGATAACTAGAGGTAGATGTAGCACCAGAAATGCTTGTCTAATTTGGAAAATCAACATTTACTTGAAACTAAAAAATGTCAGTCCACATTTACTTGGAACTGAAACATTTGTTTTACACTAATCTGGATATGTGGTTAGAGAAGAACATTTTTCATTGATGTTTGAGTATAGAGGTTAACTCCTGTTATACTAATTACTAGCATCAATGCTTTTTGTTGAATTCTTGGGCTGAATTTTGGAAGGAGAAATAGACTTGTAATTTCTAATCTTCTAGTTGGTGGATTGTTGTTAAATCACAGGAGGTTGCTGTGAAGAAGTTCTTAGATCAGGATTTCTCAGGTGCCGCTTTGGATGAATTCAAAAGAGAAGTAAGCAACAATTCAACCTTCCTAATATTCATTTAATAAATCTGTTTCTGCTCTATTTGAAAAAAATAAAAAATAAAAAATAAAAAATAAATTTGGCATTTTATCATTACCATTTAGCCGCACGAAACTGAAAGTTACAAAACATAAAAGAACTGACATAGTAAATAGCTTGGCCATGTCATGTATTGCCATGCGCATGGCTACGAACTTCTCTTGGTAGTGGCATTATTCTGTTGGCTTCTACCTAAAGTTTTTGAATTCAACAGCACTTTGTAATCATTCAGTTTCCCACTTTCTAATCCTGAGAAATATGTGACCTATAAAAATTAATTTAGTGTTGTTTCAACTGTCTTCATCATTTGGCACATGTACAGATCTAAAGGAATCTGAGTGTGTCATAGATCATGTTCATCTCTTTTTAGTTCAAAATCATTGACTGAATCTTTGGTTTCCGTTCTGTGATGTAAGGTGCGAATAATGCGTAGATTGCGTCATCCAAACGTTGTTCTTTTTATGGGTGCTGTTACTCGTCCTCCAAACCTTTCTATCATCACGGAGTTTCTTCCAAGGTGTATAATTCTGTACTTCATTTTCTTGTTTCATCTTAATTAGATACACTTTCTTTTAAGCAACGGCAAAGGGTAGCTGTCTTTGTGATTTCACCTGTGTGGGGTATTGATACTTGTTGGCATGGTTATGTATACTTCAGCTGACAGTTTTTTGAATGGTATTTTGGCTTGCTAGAGGAAGCTTATACCGGATTCTTCATCGTCCTCAATGTCAAATTGATGAGAAGCGTAGAATAAAGATGGCTCTCGATGTGGTATGAGATTATTGGACCTTTTGTTCTTTAGAATTTGTACTTTACACCCTTGAGTCAGATTTCAAATACCTTCTTGCACTGCAGGCAAGGGGCATGAATTGCTTGCATGCCAGTACACCAACGATAGTTCACCGGGATTTGAAGTCACCAAACCTTTTGGTTGATAAAAACTGGAACGTCAAGGTATGGAACACTTTCACTATGGAACTTTATTCGCACCTTACTCCCTTTTGTTTATTGTTGTTTTAAGGTATCTTCTCATAATAATTAGTGCTACAAGAACTGTCACGCACACCTTGTAGTTGTATTTGTTTTTCTGTCAACTAGGTATATCTATTTCGTTGATCTCTGAGACAGTTTTTAGTTATCTTGTGACAAAGTGCTTTCAGCTTATTTATCCTTTGGTGGCTGTTGATACAAGTTTAAAGAATGGGGGTGAATTGTTAGAGTAATTTTTTAGGGTGCAAAAAGTGGGTGTAAAAATTATTTTTTCAAGATTGTTTGTTATGAGGTTAAAAACCATGTTTACTAGTCATTCAATTATAATTAAATTCGAAAAAAATATGAAATGATGTAATTTTAGAAGGTACCCTTAACTAGTTGTAAGTAAAAGAGAGAAGGATGAGCTATAAATTTGAGGAAGAGAGAGAAAAGGCATAATAGACAACTCTCCCCCTTAAAAAATCTTTGACTCTATCACCAAGGATAAAATTTACCCTCCATTCTGTGCCATTTGGGGTTTAATTTTTAACCTTATTTTACAGTTACCCTCTCCGCTTTTTTTGCACCAGAAAACATTAACAATTACTCTTGTAAAATTTAAACCCATACAAAACATACCATTACTTGTAGTGTCACTACTTGCTCTCATAGTACTTCAATCTGTGTTATAATTGTATTGGCTATATATTTTCTGAGCCGTCATGGAAAAGGGTGTGACTCAATGGTGGGGCCATGGGAGGGAGTGATATAGATTTACTCTTTAGCCTTAAAGCTCTGGACTGGAGCCAGTCTAATATCCCTATGATTTTCGTGAACATGGCCTGGTATACTTGGTATTAATTATGAACTCTTAGTGGCACCAAAACTTAAGAGTTACTCCTAGATTACTCCTAATCTTGAGTCCAAGTCTGTATACCTTCAATCTTAAACTTCAAATTTTTGCTTCTCTAGAGAGTGAAGAAGCACCCTAGGGCTGCTGTGGCTCTGCTACCGCTCTATCCCCAAATGTTGCACGTGCATGCGCATGCTTGCTGATAACTGTGTTTAATTTAGACTGCAATCTTGTAGCTCTTGAATCTTGAAAACCTGGATTAAATCATATGAAAATGAGAAATAAGTTCACTAGAGGGGATGGGGTGTAATTGAAGGGAAAATACCATAGAAGCTCTATGGGTAAATTCAAATCTTATCCTGCCTTTTGTTGTTTGTTCTAGCTAGTTTTAAGGAGGATAATGTCGCTTGAGCTGTACTACACCTACTGATTCTTGTTCACCCAGCCGTGTCACTTGCAGCTTGTAATTGGTCAAGAAAGTCCAACAAGATGGTTTATATGTTGAACTTGTGTTTTCTTCAATAATTTCATTTTTTATAAGAGACTACATGTGACAGGTTACTCAAAAGTTGAAGATACAAATCACGAAGAAGCAAATAATAGTCTGCCATTAGAATTGGTTTTGGCTGTAGTTTTTTACAGATTGTACCGTTTCACTGGCAGGTTGGTGATTTTGGGCTTTCACGCTTGAAGCATAACACCTTTCTGTCCTCGAAATCAACCGCAGGAACGGTGAGAACCTGATTTTTCAGCCAAAATTCTGAAAAAAAAAAAAAAAAATTAGCTTTTATGGCTGCATTTTGTCTTTTCTTTTTCTGATTGAGTTGCCTTTAACGTGTTAGCCTGAGTGGATGGCACCCGAAGTTCTCCGTAATGAACCCTCAAATGAGAAGTGAGTTGGTGATTTTTCCTCTTTATCATTTTCAGATTTACTTTACTCTACTCGCACTCACACCACCTTGAAGCTGGGTGTTTCATTCAGTTTTTTAATACTCTGTTTTGTTGATAAGAACATGTTTTTCTGGGCTCAAAATATATGTTTCTGCTCGTGAATGATGCCTAAATCGCGGTCTGCTGGTGCCTCCAAATGTCACATCTTTGTGATTGCTTACAATTATTAATTGCATTTATGTTCTTTGGATTCCCCTTTGTAGTTGGAAATTCCAATTGTTACATGCAGCATTAGTCTAAAACTAACTTTGGAATGACTATGAAAATGGAAAACCTACTTTTATCATCTGTTGCCTTGGAGAAAGGATTTCACTCATCATGTATAAATTTTTGGACCACTGTACTAAATAGGTTATTTTTTTCTTCTGTTGAGTGTACAGATGTGATATATATAGCTTTGGAGTCATTCTCTGGGAGCTCGCAACGCTAAGAATGCCATGGAGTGGGATGAACCCAATGCAAGTGGTGGGTGCTGTTGGTTTCCAGAACCGTCGCCTTGAAATCCCCAAGGAAGTTGATCCCTTAGTTGCAAGGATAATTTGGGAATGTTGGCAGACGTAAGTTGAAAGGAAAAATTGTAAAATTAATTGCTAATATCATCCCTTTACTACATTCAGTCGCTGATGGTCCTCTTTGTTGTGTTATTCTCCAGCGATCCAAACTTGCGTCCTTCATTTGCACAGCTCGCAGTTGCTCTCAAGCCTTTGCAGCGGCTGGCCATACCTTCACATCTGGACCAGCCTAGCCCACCTCTGCAACAAGAGATTTCAGTAAATTCTACACCTTGAAATGTCTCAATTTTGCAATTGTGAATATGGAGACATTATTCTGTCATTGGCCTTTGGTGCTATTGTATGAAATTCCAAAAAAAGGGGAAAACAAGGAGAAAAGAATAGAAAAAATATTGTAGGCAGTGTTTTGTGTAAGTAATGTAACGCAAGTTGCTGCCGCCGCCGCCAAAAGATTATAGCAGCACTTTGTACAGTTGGGTGTCCACTTTCCATGAATTTGCAAGTAAGGAATTTAAACTGTAACGTGTTATCCTTTAGGAAATTGTCAATTTAAAATAAAACTGCAAATGTGAGAGGAATACATATTCCAAATTGTTGTTCACGTCATCTTTAAGTTATTTTTTTATTACAAAGGATAAAAAATGACCTCTTATATTGACATCCATATCCAGGCAACTGCTGACTGGATGTGAGATGTACCGTTGTTTATTGTAACTGAACATATCATTTTATTGGGTGATATGGGATTGTTCCCCTCAAACCAGCTTCTTTTTATTACCATAAAGGCTTTTCCCCTCAATCGAGCAAGTTTACCATTTATTTGAGTACACAATTCAGAGAAGATTAAAGATGACATGCTGGTTTTGTTGCCTGAAGTCTCTTCACATCAGACTTTTATACATCCATAAAAGGCTGCAGAAATCTAATTGGGGGAAACCAAAAAAAAAAAGAAAAAAGAGGGGTGTTTTGGAGACTTCCATGTTACCAAGGAAATATTAAATTAAGAAATCAACTGATGGTTCTATGGTAAAGAAATACGATTTAAATTGAATTCCATAATAGGCCTGGTTCTATGGTAAAGAAATACGAATTAAATTGAACTTCATAATAGGCCTGATATTGCTTGACATTTCCTGCAGACGTATCATCCTTTAGCGTTCATGAGAGTCTAGAAAAATAAAATCAAATAAGAATGTTCAACTTGTATTGGATAGGTAGGGGCCGCGACTTGCGCAGCCCCCTCTGCCACAAATTTTGACGTAGGCTCTCCCAACTTGGGGAGACCTTAAGCCAGCACCCATCCTCAGTGCAATGGATGTCACTGACCTAGGCCATGGACCTTCTTGATCGCCCATTGACCCCGTCCAGGTAAGTATGTTGCAAGAGATATCGAGCTTTGTATTTATATGCACAGAGAATTGTCTCTTCTACTGTTTATACAATGTGGGATATTGTTCGAACAAACTTGAGCCGGCATTAAGTTGAACTCCAACAACCTTTCTATTGGTCTTGTTTTAGCATATGCTATGTATAATCATGACTAAAGGGATGTTGGATAACTTAATTAAGTAGCTTAAAAAATTAAGTTGTATTACTTAATATAAAAATCTTGTTTGATAATTTAAATGATCTCATATTAAAACTTTAAGTTCGAGTTAAAATCTACTTAATCGGATAAGTTAAAATTTTTAACTTATCTGATTAAGTCAAACTATCTAAAACATACTCTCTCTCTCTCTCTCTCTCTCTCTCTCTCTATATATATATATATATATATAAGAATTTATAAATTATAATAATATATTTTAAAAAAATAAAACATCAACATTATAAAATTTTATTCCAAAATTCATATATTAAAAAATCAAATTTATTAACAAATAAAATTATATCAAAAATTAATTTGCTGAGAATTTTAGTAAGAAAAAAATAATTGAAAAAATAAAATTTAAACAATAAGAGTAATATAATCGGATACATATGTTCAAATTAAAATCTTAAAAAATATCATATATATTCTATCATCTTCAAACAAGCTTATTATATTCGATACTTAATTTTCGATAAATACCAAACGACTTGTCATGAACATATTCAATACTTACATGATTCGAGTACTTAATTTTCAGTTTTATCAAACACCACCTAAGTCGTGTTTTAGCATATGCTATGTATTATCGTAACTAAGTCGTGAACTAATTCACTAATTAGAGATCGAAACCGTTTCTGTCCATATCCAAATTGATAAAGTAGAGAAGTGACTGTTTACGGAATCAAAACCAAGAAATGGTAGAACTCCATGAAGCAAACGTTAAAAAAAATAAAAAATAAATAAAATTAATGTCTGTGATGCATAGAATTTACCTTAATTGTTATAAGCCAGTGATCAGACTTCCATAACATCTGCCCTTTACTAATTGCCTTCTGAATTACTGAGAAAAAAGGCCGCAGAGTGCTTACTCCCACGTTAGGACTCTTGCTCATGTTCATCTCTATCTTATGTTTGTGCATCCGCTTGCTTTTGTTTGGCTGTCAATTCTTGCATTATTTCCTTTTTTTCCTGAACTGAAATATTAGTCATTTTTATATTCTGCTAATCCTTGCTAAAATATGCAGTGTTGTACCGTTCCCACTAAAGGTTGTGGTTTGTTGGTTTTCTTGTTTACTGCTCTCTTTCTGTTCTGTTCTTTTGTTAGCTATTAAATTTTGGTCTTCCTTCTACAAATTCAGCTTTTTAGAGTTCTACATGATAAGGAAAAGCTTTGAACAACAATTGTAAGAGCTCTCCTCCCTAGAAGGAGAACCCTCCAAAAATTGGCCTATGCCACTTTTTTTAAGCAGTTAGTTCCCCAGCTTTTTTTTTTTTTTTTTTTGTTTTTTGATGAAGGAATATTTCATTGAACAAAATCAATTGAAGCAAATACCGTATAAGGTTTGTACAACATACAAACACCACTACACAAACGAAAGAGAAATTAATGGAAATTCCAGTTCCTATAGAATGCATCACATCTGGTATTTAAAAGAGCGTCTTGCCAAATTCTTGTTTTGTGGAATCTTACGGAGAACAAAGCTGGCAGAGCACCGAGAAAGTCCTGGCAGAACAGAAACAAAACACTTATTTTGCAGAAAAGAAATAGCCCAAGCAAACTCTTCTTTCCAATCTCCAACCTGTTTCGAAAATTCCACTTTTCTGCAAAATACACTGCCATATCTTCTTTGTAAAGCTGCAAGAGAAGAAAAAGCCATCCGTCCTTTAGAACTTGCTGTCTATTTAAGCAAGTTATATAAATATTTCTCCCCCATCGCCGCTGCCTTCGTGTTTGACAATCTGTTCAGAATGGAAAGCCAACCAATAAAGTTGCATCTAGGTATATGCAGTGATCACCAAATGAGCTTATGCCGGGAAACATATTTCTCACCAGCTTCCAAGCACTTCGACATCAAGACTTCCCATCAGCAGTTTCTCTCCATGTACTACAATGGTCATCATCATAAACGTGGGAGAATATTACCACGAATGATACTTTGAAAATCAACCAAAACATTTGACCTTAAGGAGGCCAAACCCAGAAATCACGCTGAATAACATTAACACTGTAGCATTTAGCCAACTATTTGCTCTTGCTTTTGGTTGTGTTCGATTTAAAATTCAACTAATTGATGCTGCAACTGGTAGCATTGGCATTGGATTGTTTTTCATTGGTTCATCAAAGAGTTGCAAAATTATTAGTTATCCTCATCATGCCTGCTTCGATGAGTCTTGAGGGAGGAATTGTTCTCGTAGCTGAGGTGTACTTAACAGATCCTGCCAAGGGCTCCTATGGGGTTCTTGAGAAGTCTGAGGAGATACCAATTACCAAGGAACACACCAAATGCTTATATATTGCCACAATTCGACAATCCAACAGATATTCATGTTAATTAACACTGAATTAGGTGTTTACAATGGCTCACTACTCGTTTTCTGGTCATATTTGTAGACTCATTGCAAAACCACCACTCCAGAATTATGGATGAACTCATGCAGGGAAAATTGACGCCATACTTGCAGGGAGGATAGGTCTAACTAAGGTGCAAAACCAATTATAAAAATTATTGATTCAGTACAATACTATAATTTTAGTTTAAACTGCAGTTGTGGGGGCTCCCCTCTTAAGGTAGATAACCCTCCAAAAATAGGCGTATGCTGCTATGTGCGGAAGATACTGCTAACAACCTGTTCAGAAGATACTGCTAACTGTAAACAAAATTAAGAGCCCAATATGCGTGACTCCTCTAACTAAAAAATTAATCAAAATCTGCAGGTTGCCAATCGGGACCGCAAATCTTTTCTCCATTCTTTTGCAAACATGGGAGGCCTTGAGACGGCTGAGTCCACACTTCAGGCCTGCCACCAGAGACACTGCTTAAGAGAGACATAAGGAGACAAAGAAAGAGAGCAGGAGGAGCTGTATTTAACTTGTTCGTAGCAACAATCACAAACACGCAGCCAGTGATCTAAACCTAAAAGAAACTGCATTAATGGGATTCGATCAATACCATGTGCATTGAAAAGCATGTATATGACCAATGCTAATGCAGTATATTCTAGCTGCTTCAGAAGCCTGTCTGCAACCCATCCACCTTCCAGCATCATGTGGTCAGTAAATTCACCTATGTATGATGAAGAAATAACTGAATTAGGTTGCCCAACACCAACAATTTAATGATGTCAATATACCTACAAGTATTTTCAGACAAGAATGAGACTTCAGCATTGTAGAACTGAGAGGTATGGTAGAACTGAAAGCATTTGAATATAAAAATGATCATGTGTGTCTATGAGCAAACATGCATCATTACGATCAATTGCAACAAGAGATCTGTTCAAATGACAATATGCTATTCTCTGGAAATACACAGAAAAAAACTCACCAAAATTTCACACACAGCTCTTTTCATCTATCTTGACCATCTAGATCACCATTGTGTCGACACACATAATCGAGATACTGGTAATCGATATACATCAAGGGAGAAACTGCAGCAAACCTCATCGAAGAGAAATGTGCACGGTGAACAAGCTCTTGGACAATGGAATAACCTCAAATGTATATACTCAGCTCTTGATAACCACAAATCAGCCATGATGATGGCAACCAAGGTTTCTTCCACAATTCCTGCATGTGTATGTAGATTCTCTAGATAGATGAGATTCTCTGCTAAGCAATTCTCTCTATAGAAAGATTACCGGCCTTATCAACAACGCATCCAAATCAGCTCCAATAAAACCTTTTGTAACTAGGCTAATTGCACAAGATCAAGAGAACCCTCAAGTTCACTTTTTTAAATAATTCCTTCGTTAGGATTATTGATAACTCACAAGAGATACTGCTACAACAGCACTTGATAGGAAACTTTCACTTCATATTTCAAACTTGAGAACTTTCATGCATAAATCTACTTAAGATTTCTCATCAGATACCAATCCAATAACAGCCCAAATGTTGATGGATCTGCAGAGAAACCTCTACCAACCATTTCATCAATAGGTTGTACAGCAGTTGATGAGTCATGATTCTGAAGAAATTCTTGGATTATACTGCTATAGGTGCAACCATTCCACAAGCAGCCCTCATCTTCCATTTTTAAAAACAAGCGAAGGAAGAACCGGTTATTATGAAAAGCAAGAATTGATCATTTGTTAGTAAGAGATGAATTTTGAAAGCCAAAACCTGCTATTATGGGATGCAGTCAAGCATCGAACTGTTCATTTGGTCCGGAAATTTTAAGGCCAAATTTTAACTAATGCTGCAAATGGTAACCACCGGTCCCCACTCCACTTACAAGACTCACTCATGGTTACTTTTTCTTATGTTTACCATTTAGGCTAGCTAAGAAAACTTTATACTAGACTTGTGTGGGTCCTCCTCCTAAGGAAGAGATCCCTCCAAAAATAAGCGTATGCCGCTGTTTGCGGCGGGCACACGGTATTCTTTAGTAAAAGGCGAAAGAATAGTTCGCTTTGTGCTCACCGCGCGGCTGCGTGCTTTTCCAAGGTTTTTTGTTTAGGTTTTTATAAGGACTTGCTGACAGTTCATTGCTTTTTTTGCGATGTGGGATATCTGTTAATCTTGTCTCTACACGTCCCAGATCAGATCATTTCATGAAGAAACCAAGAAATAGAGTAGGAAATGCAGGATCAGTAAGAATGATTTTCGTGAATATCAAACCACTGACAGAATCGAAGTATGTCTGATCAGATTTCAAAACTAGTGATCTGAACACCAACAGATTTCCCCCTATATGGCCCCTCATTGGCCTTGGTTTACCCATCCAACTTCTTGTTTATGTTCCCAGAGGTAGCACAGAAGAAGATCCTTAAGTTAATTTTTGCTCCCATTACCATTTAGGTATCGAGGAAGCTATAGAAACTGCTTTCTTTGAATGAAACCTATTTTAGGATCCATCCCTATTGGCTTAAAGCCCAAAAAAAAAAAAAAAAAAAGGAAGAAAAACAGAGTCTAGAGATGTAATTCTTCTTTTCCCTCAATTCTTAAAAGAGTTCTTCGTATGCCTTGAGCGCTCTTCCCCACATTTAGGGATATCATCTGGTGCTACAGCAGCTGCCGCGATAAGACTAGCAAATAGGCCAGCAAATGCGTTGGCCAAATAATGATTTGTCTGTTTACTTTGTAAGGACAATAAACTCTTTATTACCTTCTAATTTGAGTCAAATCACTCAGATTTCAACTTATAACCTCCAATCAGAGTCCAATCACTAACATCATCTGGCAGAAATCTCTAATCTCTTCACGTAACTATGACACATCAAACTTGAAAGCTGCTTCTCGTTTTTCAACCCAAGCTCAGATTTTAAACTAGAATTGGGTAGAGGCGCGACTTGCGCAGCCCACTCGATCACAAATTGAAAACTGAAAAGATTTAAGTATCTCTGCTACGAAGTTTGGAGCCATGACAACCTTGATAAGAGGTAATACAAAACGGAAAAAGAGAAACATTATGGTGGACTTCATGCCATTGCGAGGCTTCCCGTTTATAAGTTGCTACAGCCATTTTTAATCCAGAAAAAGCCACTTGATGTTGCAAGCAAAACGGGTTCATGTCATCATATATGCAAGGAACAAAAAACTAGAGATGATTCTTCTATAACAACACATCTTACGAGTTAGGACCAACACACTTTCTCAGTCTTGTGAAATAGCACACCTTTCAAATGGAAGGTCACAACAGCATTAATTGCTCACAAACAAGTGGCAAAGCCATGTTCGAAAGAAAAGAAAAAAAAACATTTCTGGCAATCTGCAGGGTACATGATTATGAAAGAAAAAAAATAAGCTCACTTTTTTGCATAATTACAAAAATGGAGCTGGTTTATAATAGCCATTCCTGGCAATCTGCAGGCTATGCTTCTCAACACCTGTAACAACCCCTCAATTCAGAAAGAAAAAACATCAACGAACATGTCATATGACCGAGCAAAAGCAGAGTTAGGTAACAAAAGTCATGCAAAGAACAATCAGTTTGTGTAATGCAACAAAACACAATTGTTGAAACTGGCGAGCTACATAAAAAAAGTTCTAAACAAACCTGAAAACACAGAATAAACTAGCACCATTAATTTCTTTGGTGAACAATGTACGGCATATCGACTACTTACCTTCATGAATTCCCTACCTCCATCTTACCTCTTTAGGATCCATGTTCATGTGATGCAAACAATATGCTTGTGTTGTTCCTCAATCTTTGCATTCCTCATGCATGACAGATTTCTTGCAGAGGTAATTACTGTTAAACCTGCAAGTGGGTCAGGTACAGAAAAATAGAAAGCCAAAGGAACAACATTTGTCATCCACTTTCATTACAAGGGTCACCATGCAGAGAAAAAACACAGTTGAAGAAGTTAAAAGGTATCTGCATATTCAATGATAGATTATCAAGACATTCAATATGCAAAAGAGGGGCGGGGTTGAGTGGAAGAAGCTAGATTGATTATATATGTATAAAAAAGCCTGATTCAATTAATTTGATTATGCCTTCAATCTAATCTATCACCGCAATGCTCTCAATTAGAACTGAAGCTAAATTATACTTCTTTATACACTTTAACTTCTCAGATAAATTCTCTCCTGCCAAAATGGGTATGAGATTTAGCTATCACTCCAGCATAGATTTACAGAATCAAGGAGAGATCACATAAACTGAAGCATGGCAACCTAAAGCGCATGAAGTACAGTGAAAATCAATCAAGAAGGAAAGAAATCCATTAGAGTAGAACAGAGTGCAGATTATTAAATGGGAAAAGCAAGCAGTTAGTGCAGGACATCAATGCATAAAACTGCAGATAACCAGCAATGGCAATTATTGATGGAAGAGTGGCATTCTGGTTTATAATTGAAATAAAATTTAGGTATGTGCCAGTTCCTACAGATAACCAACAATGCCAACAAATCTCCTTAAGGGTGATGGACTGGAGAAAGCAACTTCCCTTAGGGATGTCAATCTAATGTGCATGTATGCACCACAAACTAGAGAAATCATCATGAAAGAGGATTTTACTTCATGCAATAGTCTATCATTAGAAGAGTAATCAATTCAAACAAAATTAAATCTGCAGAGTCCCTTAAATAAAGTAGGTTAAGATTTCAACTGTTCGGTCTTTTATCTAAGCCTGAAGGTTATTCAGTACAGTTTTTTCTCAATGACAGAAAAAAAGAACACAGGGAAGACTTTAACATAATACATGGAATCATGAGCAGAAAAGAAAAGTAAGCAAGTATACAAACAGACACAATGCATGCATAACATGTTGGCAAATAAATCAACATCAATTATATTTCATGTTGTAAATTGGTATGCTAAATTAAGAATCATCTCCAAAGGAGAACCTTCAGACAATGCAAGCAGAGCAAGGAAAGGAGTATTTATCAACACCATTTTATGCATCTGCACTAAAAGATGCTAACAATATCTGCGGACATTCATTCATAAAAAAAAATAATAACTAAAAACTCTCCCTCTTTCACAGGACTGGTGCTGAAAACCTCTGAATTAGAAGCTCCTTATGCCAATGGGTCAAACTAATGGGAAACGAGTGAACCCAATAAAATTCCATTAACATTACCAATGACTATTAGTAAGTGTATGAAAAACTACAGTGCAGTGTGTTCACCATTTTCCATTTCATACATCAGATTGACTTCTCTATCGCCAATTTGTATGACCAAAGCAACAGAGTCAGTTAAATCAATCAAGCTACAAAGCAGAATCATTGGTGCTTAATTCCCACTCTTATCTAGTTAGATACAAAAACCATGGAATTGCTCACCGCTGTTCACAACCAAGAGGATAATAGCCTGTGCCACAATCCATGATTAATAGAATTCCAATCATTCACAAGCATTCTCCCAAAATAACCTGAACATTTTTTATTCATTCAAAGCAAACACTATAGGATGAAATCTGAATGACAGGTGATCCATGATCTTATCAAACAGAAATCAGACTAAAACAGACCAGTTTATTTAATATTTATTCAGAACATCTCTAGGAATTCAATGCCTATGACATCCTCATGAAATCGAATGAGTGAAAAGAGTGCGACAACATACATAAGAATCTCAAAAGAGAAACAAAAAGATAGAAAATCCACTCTCTCCCCACTCTTGGATTTAGGACAGTTAATGTCCATGGCCATCATCATGGTCATCAACATCAGCAGAAGAACAACCTCCAGCTGGGTTAGTCATAGAAGGATTGACGACTCCAGCAAAATTTGCAGAGGATGAAGGAGGATTTTCAGTGTGGACTGAAACCTTCTCAATTTGCTTCAATAAGTTTTCCTTGAGTTCTCCCAAGGACTTCTGTAGTATTTCCAGCTCCTGCAAATTGAGGTCATCAATTGGTGCATCCAAAAGAGAATTGCCATGGGTTACCTTCTCGAGCTCCTCAAGTTCCTTTCCTCGCAGCTTTTGGGCTTCCAATTGTTTGAGGATATCACAGTACTGCTTGTTAAGATTACCCAGCATGGCCTCATGTTCAGCCATGTGCGTATCAAACTCTGAGTTCCCAGGGTCAGCAAGCCTTTTCATGATTGCATCAACACAGTGATGACAAAGAGAGGATTGGTTACCACCAAGGGACAACATAATGAGCAGAGTCTCAACAGCACATAAGGTTTGAACTTCATTGACAGCCTTGGAGGCACTAGATCGGCACTTCGGAAATGAAAGTTGAGCATCCACTCCCTTATTCTTCTTTGTTCGAGTCTTCTTACAACCCATGCTAGTGATTCCTGGAATACAAACAACTAATGGAGAGTGATTTTCCTTCAATGAGATTGAGAAATGGTGAGGAGAATCACATTGATTTATAGACGTGTGGCCCCCATCTAGCACACAACCATACGATTTTGTAAATGGTAACCTCCACATCCTTCCATATATTTTCTAAGCAGTAACGGAAAAATGAGTAAATCTTATCTCTAAAGCAATCTAGCTACACAAAATGGAAAATTGTAATTAAAGAATACCCTAAAATAGCACACTGCAGGTATTTGACTGTTACTAATTTGAATAGAAATGGGGATAAATTCCAATAAGCCTACTAATAGTTCAGGTCTCAATTAATGACATTGAATTTTACTGTTATTTCAAGTAAAACTAAACATAGAGAAAAATAGTAGCCGTATGATTGTTAGATTATAAATTCATGTCATATTCCTTTTCAATGATTCAGTGCTTGCACTTGAATTGCATAGACCCCAGTCATTTGAAAATTTTCCAACATAAGAACTATAAAAAAATTGCTTACTGAAAGTTGTCAGATGACACCAGCAGTTTTAAGTTCATGTTAATTTCTAGAAGGACAAAAGTTTATATTTTAAACTATAAGAACTACAAGGATAAAAGGGTTTTTTTTTTTTTTCCTGATGTAAATTCAAGTTACTAGCACATAAAATCAAACATATGACGTTCATTGAAATGCAATCACAAAATTGTAGATCCGTCGCATTAAATTTCATTTCTTCCCTTTTGTAAAACTAAGTCTCTAATACAACCAACAGAGTCAAAGATATCCCTACTAGTTTTTTATTATAGATAAATATCATAGTCATTTATGACTAATTTACGAGCTTGAAGTGCATATAATAGAAATAACAAACAAGAACAGGTTGAGATGGTAGACTGCAGAACTTCTAGAAATGAAAAATCTCAATCCAACTTTGTTGTTCTCACAATGCTTTTACTGATAGTATGCATTATAAAGAATTACTAAAGAAACCTAATTTCCTAAAACAATGCACTTGCAAGTAGATAACTACCATAAATCCACAACATAGAGTCCATTTGTGTGGCAGGGTCAACAGTAAATTGTATGTTGTTCTATGAAAAGCTCCAAGAGAGCCCTGAACTAATAATACAACTAGAAAGTAAGAGAATCCAATCCTATTAGTTTAAATATCTGACTCATACATTAACAAAGCTGATTAAGATATTTTTCTTTTGGGAAGGAATATTGAACAACTAGAAAGTAAGAGAGCCAAAGAAACTAATGATTTCTAATTGATGCTCAGCTTGCTAATGGCACGCACATAGAACAGGGAAAAATGCATCACAAATCACAATTTTAAAACACAAAAACATTGAAGCACCAACACATTAAGGTTCTGCGAGTACCTTCAGCCAAGTCATGAAATAAAATATCATGTCAGGTTCATAGTTTCTCCAAATGATTTCTGCAAAATAAAAAAAAAACATAAAAAGAATTTTCACAACTCATGCAAAATTAAACAAAATAACTTGATAAATATCTTCACAAATGTGCTCCAATTGTTTCGAATGAACATATGAACCGAACTCAACAAAACCTTTAAAAATTCGGATACTTCATGCATGAATTCGAACTTGACATTCCTCTAAACAACGATATAGCAAGCCAATCAAAAAAGAAAGACAGGGGTTGGATTGACAATCAAACATGAACTTGTAATAACCAAAAAAATCAAACATTAACCCAATACACAAAAAGGGAAAGAAATCAAGAAGAGAGTGGAAGAGCTTACATTACATTATCGAGTGACACAAAGCTGCAAAGAACCAGTCATAGGAACCATGGAAGAGTGGCATTCATTCTGGCTGGTTATTGGAAAAACAGGACTTGGGCATGAGCCCCCCAACCCGAGAATAAACTCGGGCGGGTATCTCACATCTGTACAGTTAAAAGCCTGCAATTTAATCCAGCGTCACCTCCTGGCTCCTTTAATGTATAATTTGTTTTTAAGTACCTAAAGCTTTTATCAAACTAAGCATTAGTCCCTATACTTCTAAAACTATAATAATTGGAGGTGCGGAATTTTTTTTTTTTTTTTTTTTTTATTGGCTACCAAAATATCCCTTGTCTATATCTATTTACAATATTTCCCTTGACCAATTTTGTCATTACTATTATCTAATATTTTTTATGTCATCTTTTAATCCAATCTGTATTAAAATAATAATTGTAGAATTAATTGTATTGTGTTCGTCGAAAAAAAGTGTTTGTTATCTTTCCCGTTCTTTTTGTCAAGAATGAACTTCCAATCTTTTTTATTGTGCTTGTCGTGCCGGGACTGCTCCTCCTTTTCATTTCTCCTCCCTTGGTACACTCCTCCAGCTACTTGTACTGATAAAGCTGGACTAATTGGACTCAAGCTGAATTCTCTTCTACTAATTGCCTTTCTTCAGGCACAATCATTCCTTCTTTTAGTTAGATAATGAAATCAATCACATAACTTATAATATAAAGGAGGATATTAATAATATCATTAAGGCTGGTAACAATCATTGTGTTTCACCATCCTCGTGCCTTTCTCTAGACTAGTCCAATATCGGAAAATTTTATAATACATAAGGAATAACTAAGTAACACGTACAATAGTTACTCCTCGTATCCACTTTGAGGAGAGAGAGATAGACACATAAAAAAAAGAGAAATTACATCTATACCCACCTAAAGTGATAAGAAGATTTCCACGTCTCCTCAAATTTTTTTATTTTCTCTCTCTCTTTATGTGTCTATCTATCTTCTCAAAGTGAGCCCGATAAGTAACTACTGTATACGTCACTAGTTACTCTTTATATATTATAAAATTTCTCGTTTAATATCGACGTGATAAAAATGGGATGAGTTAGTAACTTGGACAAGACGTGGCATGTGAGTAGCCCTTCACCCATGTGATTTTTATTTTTTATTTTTTATTTTTTATTTTTATTTTTATTTTGACAGCGTGATGACATGTACGTCCTAACGGGATATCTTATAGCGATACATGATCTATGATCTAACTCCCTCGGTAGAACCTCGCTGGCTACAATGTGAAGGGCTCTACCTTTCTCAACTCAATTTTGAGATAACATGTAGATATGTTTATTAAATTATGAAATTAGGGAAGGAAAGCCCGTCAGAGTTACCCACTTTATCAATAAAGACTAGAAAACCAACATTGGTAAACCTGGTGATTTTGAGCATTTTCTTCGAAATCCGTACATGGCATGTGAATAACTTGACTCTTCTTGTTAATAAACATTGAAAATATTTAGCAGTGTTAAAGGTCAATTGATAAAGAGTAATATTGCAACAAATTAATAGGCGAGGAGTATTTTGGTAGTTTAATTTTTTTTTTTAAGGATAAGGTTTTTATTAATTATTGAAACAAGACATGGTTTTTGTTTTAAGAGAAAACTAACATATATCCCGCGCGTTGCCGCGGGAGGAATTATATATCATTCTTATGCATTCATTAATATAAAATTTAACATTTACAAATCATTATCCGACAATATCATGCAAAAATAATTTTTAAAAAACTAAAACATATATTTCATAATTTGCTATAGGGTTAGCTAATGAAAATTTTGTAAAGTTGAGTAATATAATATTGCTAATTAGATATTTTTTATATAAACATATATTTTATTAATAGCTGATAATTAAAATAATAATGTGGTAGTTTTTTGAATTTTCGATGATTAATTTTTATCATATATTATTCATCCGTAACTTATTAATGAGACGAGAGAGACCACTCAAAACAAAAAGATAAAAAAGCTCTATCAAATTGAGAACTTGACAAAGAAAATAGAGATAAAATTACACATGATAAAAATTAAATGATTAAAATAAAGTAAAGATTATAAAAGGATAAAAAAAAAAAAACTTTCACTAAAGGCATAAAAAAATACTTATAAATAATAAGACTAAAAAAATTTCATTATGCATAAGGCAAGAACAAAAGTAAACATTATAGAATTTTAATGACTGAAATAAAAAAATTAATAACATAAGAATCAAAACAGAAAATTTTTCACTAAAAATTAAAAAAAAAAACTCGGGATAGTTAAAATGTATTTATTTTTAATGTAATGTAAAATGATTAATAATTAAATATAATAAAATTTTAATTATCAAAATAAATGAAAGATCATAAAACAAAAACCAAAATATAAAAAAAATTTATTAAAAGTAAAAAATAATTCCTTGTAGGAAAAAAATTTAATTATCAAAATAAAAAACAATTACAAAACAAAGGCTAAAATTTTTTTTTTTACTAAATTTAATGACGAAAAGAAAGAAAAAATAACAAAACAGAAATTAGAATAGAAAGAAAATTTCAATAAAAAAAAAAACCTTAGGACGAGTAAATTTTTTTAGTTTTAGCATAGTAAGGATAAAAATCAAATATGAGAAAATTTTCATCACTAAAATAAAAACATATTAAAAAACAGAAAAAAAACATAAATTTTTACTAAAAGTTAAAAAAATTTTTGATTATAAGGATTAAAATCACATATAATAAAATTTTAATATTTTTGATACGGATCAAAATCAAAGATCGGAAAATTTGAATGACCAAAATTAAAAAAAAAAAAAGAATGAAGGACCAAAATAGATAACAATTTCCTAAGCCGAAACGAAAGGAAAAAAAAAAGAAAAAAAAACATCCGGGCATGCGCGTCAAGCCCGCTGCAAAAAAAAAAAAAAAAAAAAACGAGGGCTGCAACTTCGACGATCGAGGTTGCCAAAATCTTCATCGGAAAGTCGGGGTTCAAGTTTTAGATCCCTAGAAATTGAATTTCGACATCATTTTTTTCCTCAAACACCTCTAAATAACCGAAATAAAGCCAATAAACATATCTAAAACCTTAAAAATCATTTTAATGCATAGCAAAAAAAAACAAATTACATAATCAAATCGGAACTTTGTTTCTTTTTTGGCTGTGATTTACCTCCTTTAATTGTTTAATGGCTTGAAATAACCATAGAAAAACTCATCTCTCAAAGATAAACAAATCTAGTGGATTTTCGCCGACCAAAGCGGCCTAAATAAGGTTGGTCGACGATTTTCTCTCTCCTCCCGTCTCTCCCTTCTCTCTCATCCAGGGATCAAAATGGATGAACAAATGAAGATGTGGACTCGAAAGATTAGTTGGCAAAGATCAAGGACCAAAGTGCAAAAAACCAATAAATAGTGAATTTGTGAGTGTGTGAACAGTGTTTGGAACAAGTAAACCGATGTTTTGTTTTAGTTTATTTAGTTAATTTCATAAAAGGTTTTCGACCCTGTTTTATTCTATATCGGTCATAAAAATTTTTTTATTTTTTTGGAGAGCACCCTAAACTATCAAGTTGATAATTAAAAAAAAAAAATTAATTAGTTATAAAGTACTCCGAAATATATGTTGATCAACATAGAAAAAAACTAACATTTTTTTATTTGGATTCTCAACCTTTTTTTTTAGTTTATAATTAAGTTTTTTTTAATCTTATTGATTAATTTCAAGTCACATTAGATAAGCGTGAGAGACGTGTAAAACTATAAAATAACGACATTTGTCTTATGTCTAGAGCTTTCAAAACAAATGTCGTTATTTTAATTACTTGACATGTCTTTTATATCGTTTAAAATTGGTTAACAAAATAGAAAGATTTAATTGTGGATTAAAAAAATATTAGGGTCTTAAATTAAAAAAAAAAGTTAATTACTTTTTTCTTTTTAACTAATAATTCAATTACTTTATGATCAATTAGCCTTTTAAAAAATTAATGGTTAAGCAAATTACCCAAGATAAATTATATCCCACATGGCATAAAAACGAGAAGGCACAAAAGGGTTAGGCATATAAATAAGAAACGTGAAGCATCGTTTAAAATTACTTACCTCGATGGGATCAATGGGCGATCAACGAGGTTCATGGTGTAGATTAGTGACTTCCATTGCACTTAGGAGGGGTGCTAGTCTAAGGTCTCCCTAAGTTGGGAGAGTCTACGTTATAATTTGTGGCAGTGGGGGCTGCGCAAGTCGCGGCCCCTGTCAATTCAAGTCTCTAATTTTATTTCTGGAGAATTTGATTGTTTTCTTTATAATAGTTAATTATCAAAACCTCGAAAACAGATGACATCCCTACCGGTAAGGAACAAGGCATGCAAAAGAACTCTAGGAACTACTCTTAAAGCAGGCGTTGAAGTACGAACTACCAGGAACAAGAAATTAACCAAGGACCTTCTTGGCTGCCTTAGGAAGCATAGCAAGAAGAATTTGCATCATAATTTATATTCCTAACGAAAGAAGATGAAGCTTGTTTATGTTCATTGTTCAGATATATTCATTAGTTTTGAACACTGACCAACATACATGACTTGATAAAATTGTTACTAGAATTATGTTCATGAATCATTCTTAATCTATTTTTGGTTTCATCAATGGTCATGTATTGAAGTGTGGTTCGCCTAATACTAAAGGAGAGGCCCTGGCAAATTATTGTTCAAAGTTTTGCTGGCTGTGGAATTTCTGTTCCTATGGAGGAGAGCCCTAACAATTGTTGTTCTGTCGTTCAAAGTTTTTCTGTTCCTATTGAGGAGAGGACTCTAAAATGCAGAATCTGTAAAAGGAAGACCAAAATCTCAACAGCAACAAAAGAACAGAACAAAAAGCAGAGTAATAAACAAGAATGACAACTAACCAGTACCAGTATTGGAAACAGTACAATAATGCAGATTTAAGCAACTATTAGCTGAATATCAACAAACCATCAACACAAACAAAACAAAACGACAGTTCTCCCTGACAGGCTTAACAGCTCTTTAAAAGACCATCTTTTGTCTGAGTCTCTCTCAAAATCAAGAAATCATTATTTCATCAATGGCTTAACAAGATAACAATCAAATTGATCAGGAAATTCAGATTCTGTTTAACAAACTGAATAAGTGCATCGCAAACTTTGATTGAAAGAAGCAAGTTTTAGAGAATGCAATTGGGGCAGAAATTGAAGCATTGGATGAAGATGATGAGGGCAAGGAACTAAGTTTGAGTCTTCTTCGATGAAGCAAGCCGGAAGACTGCAAACGTGAAGCAAAGGCTGAATCAGAAAGCACTGATTATTGGTGAACCAGAGGGGTGGTATATGTCAAAATTTGTTGAAAATGATATCAATGAATGTGATGGGCTAAAGATCCACTCATTCAGCTGGAAAATGTACTTAAATTGACCGTTTCGTCAATCACCACAAGCTGGAGATTTCAAGTAGAAGGCATATAATTAAATAGTTTCATCACAAGTAAAGTAGTTAGAAACAAATCTGTTTTTACTTAGTTTCACTACCTAACTAATCAAAGGACATTTATTTAAAGTTGACCTTTTCCCCTTATATTAAGTAAAACTCGTCCCTTTTTTCAAGTTAAAAATATTATCATAAATTGTTCAGAAACAAAATTATTCACTTAAATAGATGATTGGTTCGCTACATACTTTTTTTCCCAATAGTTTTCTACAAAAGTAAGAATTGTTTATTTGTCAGTAAGAGATGGGTTTTGAAAGCAAAAACCTGCCATTATGTGATGCCATCTAATTGTTCATTTAGTCTCGAAATTATAATATATATTAAAACAGAATGAGGTTCATTGTAGCTAAGTCCCTGTCATAGTAAAACTAAAATGGTGCTGTTTTGGGTCTTCTAGACCCAAAACGACATCGTTTATAAAAAAAAAAAAGTAATTTTTTGTTAATTTTTTCAATATTTTATACTTTTATCTTCTAACTTATTACTTTATATAAAAAAATTTCTAATTTTAATTAATATTAAAAAAAGATATCTATAATTTTTTTGTTGGACTGGGTTGTTTTTTCATTAATTATTATTTAATCAAAATAATTTTTTTTCATAATTAATGGTTATTTTTTTATTTTTATAAATATTCATTAATTAAAATTAAATATTCTTCTAATATTAATTGAGGTGCTACCTCCTAATTTGATTTTTTAAATAAATAATTAATTGCATGAATTTTTTATTATCAAAATAAAAAATATTTCAAAGATATATATATATTAAATAATTTTTTTACAGCAAATGATAATTAATTTTTATTTTACGTTTATATTTTTAAATTATTTTAACAATTTAAAAATATTAAAGCATAGATACAATAAACTTACGAACGGTAGGAACAAGTACCACATTCCACTGAAGACTCGCTTGTTGCTCACTTTCCTTCCGTTTCACATCTTTATACTAGACTTGTGTGGGGTCTCCTCCAGTGGAAGAGATCCCTCCAAAAATAAGCGTATGCCACTATCTGCGGCGGGCACACGGTATTCTTTAGTAAAAGGCGAAAGAATAGTTCGCTCTGTGCTCACCGCGCGGCTGCGTGAATTTATAAGTACTTTGCTTAGAATTTTATATCCACTTGCTGACACCTCATTTCATTTGTGTACGATGTGGGATATCTGATAACCCTATCCCAACACACTATCCCTCAAAGCCGACCCTTGATGAGCGCAACAACTAGAGAGTTCTTATGAAATCTAAAACTCAGAAAAGGAAAAGAATTAAAGTAAGAAATGTAATATCTAGTGAAAATCAAAGTACTAAGAGAATGTTATCAATTCATGTCTTGGTTCAGTGTTCGAAACTAATGAATATCTGAACACCACCAAATTTCTTCATCATTGGACTAATGGGTCTGGTTTATATAAAACTGAACCATCGATTTCTTACATTATTATGTTTCCAGAGGCAGCACAAAAGATCTTTTACTAATCTCTCACTCGTGTTATGAAGTGAGGAAGCTATAGAAACTGCTAAACTGTTTCCTTGGAGATTGTTTGCTGGTATGTACTGCCAACACCTATTTCAAGATATATATATACCTCTCCATGGACATGAAGCCAAAAAAATCCTAGTCTTGCTATAGTTCTTTTCCCCTAATTCTTAGGGTTCTTCCGTATGCCTGATGTGCTCTGCCCCACAAAATGCCTGGAAACTAATCATAGGAAGGTCAATCAAACAAGGATGTCTGTTTCATTTCTTTAAAAGTGGCTCCAGTCATTTAGACCAATTGTTATTGCTCAGGCTTTCCCAGACTAACTTCGAACAAACCATTATACCGTTTCTCCGCAAGACTCATGAGCTGTAGACAAACAATAATCTTACAAACTAGAATTGAGTAGGGGCCGCGACTCGCGCAGCCCCCTCTATCACAAATTATGACGTAGGCTCTCCCTCTTGGGGAGACCTTAGGCCAGCACCCATCCTCAGTGCAATGGATGTCACTAACCTAGGCCATGGACCTTTTTGATCATCCATTGACCCCGTCCAGGTAAGTATGTTGCAAGATGTTTCGAGCTTCTTATTTATACCAACATGCCTTCTATTGTGGTTTATGCTTTGCGATGTGGGATTTTTCAATTTGTCATATACATCCATCCTTGTCATCGTCTAGATCTTACAAATTCAATGGAGCATGTCAAACATTGAAAAGTAACTCTTTTTGTTCAAACTATCAGTCTATTGTTTGTTAACAAGTTTGGCTGTGGTTGGCCAGTAAGCCATGAAAAAATTGATACAAGGAAGTGTAGCAGTAGAAATTCGCAAAAGATATACATTTTGTGGACTTTAACAACCATTTTAAATCCATAAAACCACTAAGGTTATTTAAGATAAATCAATGAAGGTAACCTTGAAATTGAAGAAATTCTTATCATGACAAGGTTTGGCAACTTTCCGTTGATGATGGTTTTCTCCTTGTTCTTGGGAATAGCATTCATGATCTAACCAATTGTACTTGCCAATCAATAAACATCTATGATGATCCCCCTGTACCAAGCAGTGCCCTAGAGTTTTATGAAGGCATCCCTGGTATCCACCAGAAAATCGAGTTTTTGCCGTACTTGAAAGAATTTGCAGGAAAATCTTACACCAGAATGTGGAAAAGAGGTGGTGGCAGCCATATTTGAGGTGGGAAATAAGATCATCACTGCTGTATTGAGCTCTTAACATATGTCAGTAGAACTTGTCGTGATAGTTTAGTGAAACAGATGATTTAAGGATAAAAAGAGAGCATTTTATCTTACCTCTTTCTCCCGGAGAGAGAGAGAAAAAAAACCGGTTTAGATTTAAGAAATATGAACCTTTTCCTTTCCTATCCATTCTTTTCAATGGACAAGATAGCCCAGCAATCCCCTCCCTCTTTCCTGCACCTCAACTTCTTTTTCAAATTCAATGCGCTGTCCTGCATTTTCATTACATTTACAGCTAAATAGATACATGCTGACAGAACATCTAAAAGTTAATGCAAGCCTAGAAGATGCAACTCTTTTCATAAAAAAAAATAAAAGGAATTTATAAACATATATAGATGAAACCATACTTGAATTCTTTATATATTACCATATTAGGCAGTTTGCAATATGTTCAGACAAGAGGTAAGTAAAGGTGATGAGAAAGGTGCTAAATGATTATGAAAGAAAAATCTGCAAGCTTCCTTTTCTGTATTATTACAAAATGGGTTCTGGTTTTATTATAATAACCATTCTTGGCTAATTGCAAAATGCATCTCACTTGTCCCCCAAATTGCCTGCTGATGTTTATGTTTAAATACTACTTAAAAAAAAAAGACATGGAAAAGGAAGTCCTAATAAAACTGAGCAAATTTACTTGCAGAAATGGGACCCCTCAACTGCATCAGTAATTTGCAGAACCTCTTCTTAAAGTGATGCAACCCATTCCCTGACTTTGGAATGGCGGGAATCCTCTAGTTCACTAGTTGAATTTCTTTCTGGGATAGGAGGCTCTTCACATGCAGAGGATTGCCTTTCAGGTAGAGGGCAGCCCTTGTAGGAGTCATTGTCAGCACAAAACCACAAAAGCTTTTCCCAGTAAGGGTCCTTCAAAACAAGAATTCGATTGTCATTTAATTTTGTAACATTACAAGCTCAAAAAAATACAAATGTTATTGGCAACTACATAAATCGGTTCCTAACATGCTCGACTATAGACGAGGAGTATATTCAACAATGTGTGTTGCTCACGTATGTGTAATGTTCCGATGACCTGTGAGTAACATATCGCATAAATGCCATAAAGAGCTTACAACATGCATAGGCTGCATCAAACACGATGAACTAATTTGATTAGTGTGTCCTAATGTGAGCCTGTGGACATGCAATACAAAAGAAAAGATTGACACGATGACACTTCTGGCATGCAGCAAAGAACAATTAGAGGCCAGAATATAAGATAGGAAAGTTCATACCTAAACAGAAAGGAGCTTGAACCAACATAAAAAGATGGATAAAAATGCATTGGACTCAAACTATGAGTGGAGAAGAATGAGTACCTTACTGACTATGTGTGGATTCCCAACAATGACAAGCAAGGATCTGGCACGGGTAATTGCAACATTAAATCTCTTTGGATTACTAAGAAACCCCAGACAATAAGTTCTGTCAAAGTCATTGTGCTTTATAGTTGACCTTACGGTAGATACGATAATTACCTCTCTCTCTTGTCCCTGAAACTGTTCAACACTCCCAACCTTAACATCTGACATTTCCCAATTTTCAAGTACCTTTTTTATCTTAAGGACCTGCTGCCGATAAGGAGTTATTACTCCTATATCTGTCTCATCTATATCTGCACTTGCTCTGAGCTTGTTGATAATTTCAACAACCTTGCTGGCCTCAATTCTGTTAAACCATGAAGGATTGTTTCCTTCTCTCTCATCGATGCCTTGAATTCCAAAGAAAAAAACAGGAAATTCTTTATTAGGAAGAAAATCCACACCAGAAATTATGGAAGAAGAGGTATCTTCTTTACATGCAAGCAACTCCCCTTTGTAGAAAAACTTTGATGGGAGGTCTAAAATTGCAGCATGACATCGGTAATTCCTCACTAATTTCATTACAAAACCTTCATCTTCATTTCGGTAAGATTCACATTCAAACAGCCTTTCAAGATAAGATTTTCCCAAACCAAAAGCCTCAGCATCTTTTGAATATACGACAGGACCTAGTTGCTGTGGGTCGCCTGCTAGAACAACAACAGTTTTCCTGCTGCAAAAGTTAGCTATAGGAACCATGCTTTCTGGTTCTGAAGCCTGGCCAGATTCATCTAAGAAAATATGAGAGAAATGGCCACTATCAACACCCTCTGCGTATAGTAGCGATGAACTCATATACGTACAAATGATGATCCTGTAACGTACCAAGGCCCCGAGTGGAGGACATTTGAAAATGGATTCATCAAAATAGCAAAAGCCAATATGATCTGGGTGAACATCTTCATAAGGACGGCTAGTTGCATTTAACCTGAAGATCTCATTCTCTTTAACTTTAGCAACCTCATTGCTAATGAGTTTTTCTAGTATGTGATCTGCAGCACTGTTTGAAGCAGCACACACAAGAATGCTACCATTCTTTCTTGTCACACATATTTGCAGCATTGCTTCCACCAAGGTCATTGTTTTACCGGTGCCTGGAGGCCCATAAATCATATAGGGAGGAGCACCTTCACAGCCAAGGATCATCTCAACAGAACGTATCTGCTCCTCATTGAGAGTATTAGTAAAAGGCACAAATCCAGATTTCTTAATCAGTCTCCTTTTGGTTGATTCAGATGGAAATAGAAGATCAGGCTCTAAGCTCTCTGCTGCTTGTACAGCTTGATACAACCTCCTCTTATTCACCCTATTATAAGTAAATCGAACATTATATAAGTTTCCATTCTGATGACGGAAATGAAGATCATTGGCAAATTTCAAAAGCACTTCATCAGCCTCAACTCGGTAAATGTATCCCTGAAACAGAAAGGTAAAAACTATTTTAAATGTAACGATATAGACAAAACACTGGTTTTTCAGGAGAAAATCAATCCTCTTCCTCCCAGTGAAGAAATTAGTAATATAACCAGCCCTGATAAGGGAAAAATCACTATGTGGGGTGTTAGTAGACTCATTCCATCTTAAAGACTGATAGGGTGAGGCTGGCCTGTCAGCTCAATTACAGGTTTCACAGGGCAAGATAAAGCATGAAATAAATATACACAGAAGAAATAGATATAGATTCAGCTTATATTTTGCTTCCTTCATGGTCAAAAAGGTACCCCATCATCTGACATTCGAAATAGATTGCAAGAAAACCTCTTCAGCTAGATATCCCACCACACTAGATGAAGTTAGCTGGTAAGTATCTATTAAAGAATTCACATTGAACAACAAAGTGTAATGTGAACTGTCAAGCAAGGGGTTCTTGAGCATCTGGTAAATGCATATCTGAAAAATTAACAGGGAATCTCATTACAGGTGTACAAAGTGGATTACCAACTTAACCTTTTCTAATTTCTATAACTTGTAATTTTGAGTAAGTGTGAAGAGGGGTAAACTAAGTCAGGCTCAAAGCTTCCTGCTAAGAAGCACTCTATAATTCTCAAGCTTAAATAACCTACTCCCAAGTTACACATCAACTAACCAACTCACCCTCCCAAACAAATTACTTACGAGAATAAAATGACTCGTTACAACGAGAACTACAACAAATTCATAACTTTTTCACAGCTCAGAGCACATCACATGCACCGGATGTAAATTTGTAAGCGTGAACTTGTACATCATATTGAGTTATTTACCTTTTGTTGTTTGATATGTACTTAATCTGTTATTTATGCACTATTCTACAACACATGTTTAATGCACTTCCTATATTTGGTGATCTAATTTGCATCCTTCCATGAATAGCCAACATTTCATCTTGCATGTATACTACTTCTATAAGATAAGATCTGTCTTCCAAAATAGGAACAAACCCGATATACATTGCTGTCAGGTGCATTTTCAAGCTTCACAAAAACATGATCGCCATGTACAAGCGAAGGCCTTCGTTCAGCCAGCCCGGGGACCTCGAGAGCAAAAAACTGAGACCCTTTCCTTCTAATGTTAACGCACTCCATGTTATGGCGCCCCATTTCTTTCTGAAACAAATATGACCAATGTTAGAGCCAAAACACGTTGAATATTTGCATATACCTGCAATAACCATTCATTCATGATTACCTCTAAATGTAGCTCTTCCATTACAAGCAATGTACTGAAGAATGCAGCATAACTCTCCATACTCAAATCTTCCACAATAACATCAGGGACTTGCTTATTCTGCAATAACTCTCTGAGATCCCATGGGATTGGAAACTCAGGAAGTTTATACTTAAATTCTCGAGTTGTTGCCCTGGCAGGACGAGAGGAAACCACATACTCATCAACTGCATATTGTTTTCTTCTTGGTGTTCTTGAATATGTTCTGTTGGGAGCCAGAGAACAGGAGACATTGTCTTCAGCCAAAAGAAAAACAAGGCGTTCAATCCTATCATCACCTGCATCAAAATATACCACAGATGTGTGCAATCCCAATTCCTTTGGTTTGCAAGATAACCAAATGGTAAGTGTATCATGCGGCTGAAGTACTCTGTCCTCGAGGGAATATCCCTCCAAGAAGCCATAGAATGTTTCTGCATTTGAATTGGCAGGTGGAGGTTCTTTCAAAGACAAAGTAAACGAGTCAGCAGGATTTGAGCAGTATATCCTAACTCCCCAAAGTTCCATAGGATCTCCAGTGGTGTTTGCTATCGTAATTGCACATTTTGAAGTTTCACCAACAAGAATGGACTGAGGCTTCCCTTGCACAAAAGGAAATGGGACAGATATAACAATCGGTCCTTCAACGGCAGGATCATAGTTACAGACAGATTTGTCATCCTCAAAATCGATGAACCCAATCTCGCCCTTGTCCCCAATGACAGAGTATTCATCATCCCAATTATCCTTTCTGATTGTACCCATCCTAGCATTAAAGCACCAACTATTAGTAAAGAAACGACAGCTTCTAATAAAAAATATCCAGATGGTAACTAGTTGCTGAAACAGTAATTATACAGCAGACTCTTTAAGTAAACGATGGAACGGATTAAAATCTCCATGCGCAGGCAGATGTATACAGCCATATATTGAACTTGGAGTTAATGTGAACTTCAAACATTATTCACGCAGCCAAACACATTTAAATCGAAAAACCACGGAAGCTGTGTAACTATCCATACAAGCAAAAAAAAAAAAAAAAAAAAAGACTACAACACACTCATGACCTAGGAAATATATCACAAAATCATCATAGAACCAGTCTTTACGCACCGCAACACAATTTGATTCAGATGCCATAAATTGCAAACCTAGTTTTTCCATTCTCAGCCATTTTTTTTAAACTGCACTGGTCACGAAACTAATAACTTCAAATCATTCATAGGCTGATCTTAATAAAAATTACCTCTTTTCATCAAATTATACAAGAACCCTTGACAGTGATTCCTTTTATAAGAATTTTGATCAGAATCGGCAGCACCTCTTAACTAAACAGATAATTTACCCGCCATAGTGAATTTTTTTGTCAGCATACAACATAATCCAAACAGAACAACTGACGAGGAAAATAATCCAAAAAGAAAAGCTGGCCATAAAGTACACTGTAGATGGCAACACATATCATCCATTCCAAGTCTCAGCCATTAATACAAGTAACCAAAATTCACTAAAATGACTGGCATTTCTTTTCTCAAATTATGAGCAATCCCAAAATTTAAAAATGGACAACAAAGAGAGATTATCAGAATAAAAGGCACATGCACACGGAGTTAAATTGTGCAAATGCAGATCAAAATGACAACAACATAAGACAAGATTATAAACACAAAATGCATTCTTGTTTTCATGAATAATTTAATCGAAGTTTTCATAGTCTAAAACCTTAACAGAGGTGACAAGTACCAACCTTTCGATCAAAAGACAACAAAAACGGCCAGATATTCAGAATTCGGACTTTCCAATTGAACCCTGGTTAAAACAAAGAGAACTCAGATCACCCAGCTGTATATAGTTAGAGAACTGAACTGAAAAGAGAATTTTAAGGTTTGTTGATAAACCAAGAACCAGACAGTAGGGAAAGTGAAAGTAAGATGCGACTCTTTACTTAGTTCATTATCTGCTTTCCCATGAACTAAACTCTGAAATTATTCCAAAAAGTCTCTTGTTTTGTTTATTCAAAAGAGAGATTAAGACAGGAATGCTCATGCCATGAACAGACAGCCAACTTAGCAAGGAAGTTACTTGTGCATACAAAAACCGTGTCTTGCTGCAATGAAATGAAGAAAATTCTAAATCATGCAATTCCGCCATTCATATCTCACCAAGTCAGCTATTTGTCAATCTTACAGTGATTGTGGGTCCCATTTCTTACACCTTAAAAAGGTCAAAAAAATCAACAGACATAAAAGAGACCCACTCCTCTAAGGAGTTGTTAGAAGCTTTAATGGCAAAAATTATTCCTAAATTATTAGGATTTAACAAATTCAGATCTTTACGATACATTTAGATTAATTAGACTCTAAATTATTTTTTAAAAATATGATTTTTATCGGTTATCTTTACATTCTATTTTTTAAAAATAAATATTTAATTTAGTCAAAATAGGATCTATATAAAATTATATAATGACTATTCGTTAGGTTTCAAAATTAATAACACTCATTAAATTTATTTTTTTTGAAAATAAAAATAATTAAATAAAATAAAAAATCGTAATTAAAAATAAAATAAAATATGCATGTTCTTGTGGTGGACAAATAAGTATGTTAAATTTAATTGTTATATCGGTATAAATTTAATAAAAATACTTGACTAAAAAAAATTAAAAACTTACATTAACGATAATTTAGTTAATACTAGATTTAAATATTTTATTTTATTTTATTTCTAATCTAGTTAATTTAATAATTATGTGAGCATGAATTAGAAAAAAATGCTTGATTAGTAAAAAATTAAATATTTATATTAACAACAATCAAATTAATATTAAATTTAAATATTTTATTTTATCTCTAATCTAATCAATCTAACGTTTATGTCAGAATGAATTTAATAGAAATACTTGATTAGGAAAAAAAATATTTTTTTATTTAAATATATGTACTTTTATTTTTTTTCTATTTGATTATTTGTATTTTACATTTTTTTATGAGTGCTAAAACCGAACCGAAAATTATTTATTATTCTATAATCATCATTAGTTTATTTTTATTAATAACGTTATCCTAATACTATTCCATGACCATTATAGCACTTCCGTTCTTAAAGTTGTAGTTCTTAAAATGTTAATTTTGTTCCATAATAGCAAATAAGAGAGAGGAACTTCATTTATTGTTAGAAAACCACACGAATAGGGTTTGGTTTCAAATAAGCTCCTAGCCTCCTACTCTTCTTTGGGCCCATCTGGCCAGGATATTCGAGGGCCGGGGGTTGTTGAAGAAGTGAATAGCTTTCTTTTCTTTTTTGGGCCTTAGGCCCCATTTTTTAAACAAAACAAAGCTTGAGGAGTGGGATATTTGCCCCCAACCCACATAATTCTACGGTCTACAGAAGGGCAAAACATATATATATATATATAAGGGTAAAATCGAACCTTTACAAATACTACTGAGGTAATATAGGAAAATTATAAATTATAAGGGTAGAAGTTAAGAATTTATGAGACTACTTTTCTTCTCATGTGCTTTGCACGTGTAATATTCAACTATACATTGATTTTTTTTCATATTTAATAAACTATTTTAATAAAAATAAAAATAAAAAATTAAATTATTTATTGAATTAAATTAAATTTTTGATATTATAAAATTAAAAAATTTTATATAAAGTTTGATATCTGCTCATTGAAATAGTTAATTTTTTATGTTTTCGGATTATACAATTGTACTAAAATACGATAAATAACGTAATATTGAATTGTCGTCACCATTTAGCGGATACGAACTAATACAAAAAATTTTCTAAAATGCTTATTGTTAAAAAACTTTCATAATTTTTTTTAAATAAACACAATTAAAAACTGAAACAATATTTCTTATTTTACTAAAAAAAAAAGTTAATGTTTTTCTTTCACAAATAAAAAAATAAAAATAAAATAAAGAATGAGAGCTTCATTTTTATTGCACTGCATATGATTATTTATTTTAATTAAAAAAATAATAGAAGTTGTTTGGAATTTTTATTTTAAAAAATAAATTTAATTTCATTATAAAATGAAAAGAGTTATTTTAAGTGTTCAAACTTGTTATTGTTTTTCTATTTAAGTGTGTATTCTTTGATCTCTATTGAATGACCTAATTAATTTATATTTTTTTTTATAGAGATTTTGTTACTTTTTGTTGATGTGTCTGTTAAATACACACATGACATGGTAATATGGATTCAACTGTCAGACACGTGACAAGCATAAAAAAATTAAAAATTAAAAAAAAAAATTCAAGATTTGATTTCAGAATTTAAAAATTGAAGATTTTGAAATCACACCAAAATCGGTGCGATTTACTTGGAATTTCCAACCGAGAGCCTTCGCAATATTTATAACTACACAATGACCCAGCAGTTGTCATGTGTAAACTTTATATCCTTATCAAAATATCTTGGTTTCCCTTGCGCCTATATTCCCGCTCTAATCCCGTCGCTTGTGGTTCAACACAACTATGATCAATTAAACCAATATCACCGGTTTCCTTCATAATTGAAGAGTGCACACACACACGTGTGTGTGTATATATATATATATATATATATGACTCATATTTCTTCAAGTAATGTAAATAGAGTAAAGTATTTAGTAAAAATTCTTTATCTATCAAAGATTTCTAGTTCGCTAAGGATTTTAACTATCATAAATAAGTGATTAAGTGTATGATTTTAGTGTGTGCAAAAATACAAAGATTGAGAGGTTTTTTTTTAGTGCAAAGGTGGGTGTACAATGAGCTTTGAGATTTTATTTTAGAGTATAAATTAATCATTTTTTGTCCTAATTTTCTTTTATAGTAAAGAGTTGCTATCAGATTGTACAATAGGTAGAATTCTTGTTTATCCACTCTTTATTTATCTATGTTATTTTTCTTTTTATTAATTTGGATTGTTCATGATAGTATGTTGAATTTTTGGTTTTTTAAATTTTGCATAATCTAGTACAAGAGCTTTGGTTTTTGAGAGATTCAACTTTTGATCGCGAACAAAGTCTGCGAACAACATACTTCAATTTACGCTGGAACAATTTAACAAGAATAGAAGTTTTACTTTTTGCCAACGAAGGAGGGAAAGAAATCCTTGTTCCACATGCCTTGGTTAAAGTGTTGAACGAAAAGGATGGAAAGTCAAAAGAGATGGAGGTGCACAAGCGGAAGGAGTTGGAATCAAGGTGTGTGAGCATGATTTGATTCTATATTGCTTATAACATTGTGCATAATGTTATGGATAAAATTCAATATCCGCAATATGAAAAAAAAATTTGAAAAATCTCTATCTAGCAAAGAGTTTAACAAACAAATTACATCTTGAGCGATAACTTTACAAGCTAGAGATCAAAGAAGGAGAAAATCTCATAAAGCATTTGATTGTGTTTATTGGTATACTCGATTAACTCGTGAAGAGTTGATGTCAAGATAGAGGAAGAAGATAAAGTCATATTGTTTCTTATCTCTTTTTTTTATCCGTTTGAAAATCCGGTGATGATGTAGCTATATAGTAAGGATACCATGAATTTAGATTAAGCAAATGTTGCATGTTTATCGCATGGGATACAAAGAAAGTCAAATCAATAAAAGAATTATAAAATTGTACTAGTGACTAAAAGAGAGTCAAAAAGGAAGATCTACTAAAAGGAAATTTTAGAATGTCAAGTTTAAGTCTAATTCCAATGAAAAGGCCACTCAATGTTACCTATGCAAAAACTTTTGTCACACGAACCTATAGTGTCTTTGAAAAAAGAGAATGGATAAATGTAATAATGGCAGTGAAGATGTCCTCGAGTCCCGAAGATATTGACATTTTTTTTTTATGATAATTGTATTGTAATCGATATCATATATTAAATAGTTATATAAAAGATGATTGACATATAAAATTATGAATGGACCCATCTATCATAATATTTAAGTTTTTTGAATGGAACTTAATTTCAATTATCTAATTCTATATAGTATTAGAGCTTCAAAAACGATTAACGACCCAACAAAGATTAGAGATCTTAAAAGATAGACGGTAAGAGAACATATCTCATATTGAATAATTAAATCGAATATAATTAATATATAATTTTTTATGAGAAATATTAAATGATTGTTTTGCTCATTAACACCATTGAAATCGGAATACATGGACAGATGTAAATAAGTAGTCATCATTGTATAGAAAATTAAAAATCAACACCCAAAACTCATATGCTCATAGCCATGCCCATATAATTTGTAGTAACAATTTATGGGACTCATTATCAACTGAATATACTGAGTTATCCTCTCCGCTCACCAATGCGATGCCATTAAGCTAGACAACAATGCGACCTAAACGAGCTTAGCTTAATAAATTTGCAAAATATATATTCTCAATTTTGAACAATTTCTTTTGGTTCATTAAGATTTTTTATAAACCTCGAACTTGTAGAGTTACTGTCCCCTTCTATGAATTCCTCGTATTTGATATGAGCATATTTAGCACCACACCAACTAATTAATTTTTTCCACCTGTATTATTTAAAAAAAAAAACAAAGAATAAATAGTTCAATTTGTTTTTATATAATAATTTTATTTTTTATTTTTTAATTACATTTATTATGTTCTTGAACAATGTTTAAATTTCTAATTTATCTTCCGATAAAAATTTCGATCATGAGCAAATTTTTAATCGAAATAGTGCAGATTGAAATGCGCAAAAAAAAAAAAATCTAAAAACTTTAAAAATTAAACATACAAATCATATGATTTTACGTGATTTTATTTCAATTAAGAGTATTTCAATCAAAAAATATGTTTAATAGTAAAAAAAAATTGATTGGAAAGACACATGATGGATGCAATTACTAAGGTAAGAATAAATTGAAGACTTTGGGACAAATTGAACTATTTACCCAAAAAAAATAAGACTATATCAAGCTGTGATTCCTTGCCATATATTTTTTAATTTTTAGTTTGTATCTGACTACCTTTCGCACGCTAAGATATAAAACCTTCCTTCATCTATGCAATATTTCTGATTTCTTACCATATAAATATAAACAGTATTTCAAATCAAAATATCTTACTCCTTTTATTTTGTGTACCACTAAGGGCTTTGATAGCTAAAACAATTCAACAATCCATGCGGGCAGACAACCACAAGGCTTTGCTAATTAAGTATTTTAAGATCGCTCGTCTAAATTAACGAGAGAGGCCGGCCTTGCCTTTGCCGTACATCGATGTGAACATAAACATTGCACTGCACCAGCGGAGTCAGCACAGACTCCTACTCCATTGTATAGGCTTCTACAATCTAAACGACAACGATCTTCTCCTTGGCATTCCCAAGCAGAGATGCAATCATCTGCTTTTGCCTTGAGCACCATTTTCTCATCTGTACAACATTAAACTCACAACATATATATTAGGTTTCTTCACTATCAAAAACTCAAGCAATTCTAGGACTCCTTTATTGCTGATATTGTATCTTGGAAACTAGAGATTGATAGACGAGGAAGAGGCAATAATACATTCCGATATTTATTGACAAAACTATTCAAGATATACAGTAAATAATGGGGCAGAGAAAGTTTTACCAGAAGAGAAAACGAGGAGGATAAGAAGGAAGCACAAGGTAGTAGCAAGTTTCCCCATCTTCAACGAAGGAGTTGTTGTGCTCTATTGTTTTCTTTCTCAAGGATGATCTCTTGTATATGCTTCTAGTTAGGCTTTCAGAAATCCTGTAGGCACAAGGTGTGTGTATATATATATATATATATATATATATAAGGTTTTTCTAAAGGAAATAAGATCGATTAACATTAATTTCGTATCAACTGATAACAGATTTAATGAGATTTTATTTTATTGTTTTAAAATTTTTCCTTTTCAAACAAGTCAATTTTTTCATTTCTAGTTTTCTACTTATGATAAGGTGGCGTTTGGTAAGAGATTTTAAAATGAGGGTGAATTATTGTTATTACTATTATTTTTTTATCGATGGTAAGGATATTTAGATTTAGATTTTATCCAATTTGCTGGCTACTTGTTCCTATTAGCTAGAGGAGCAATTTTATAATAGAGTGCAATGCAATATGTTATTGCTATATCTACTATAAAAGCTAAGTTTGTGGCATGCTTTGCGGTCATCGTTCATATATTATAATTGCATAACTTCATTTCAAGACTTGGGTTTGCCAATTGTATTATAAGGTGGTTGAAAATTTATTGCGATAATTTCACGGTAATTTTCTTTTTAAATGACAAATAGTCTAAAGGTGCTACATATAGAAATTTTATGAACGATGAGCATTATTAGACATCATTATTGATATTGTATTATGTTTGTATTAAGTTTATATATTTGGTACTCGAATTTCAATTATATCTTTGTGATATTTCTTATTTTCTATTTGGTCTACATAATTGCAATTATTAGAATAATATTGACAGAAATAATCTTATAGTAAAAACATTAAAGTTGGATCATTATTATTCTCATTAAAGATCATATTAACTTGACACTTAGTATACGTTCGGTATATAGGAAAAAAAAAACAAAAAAGAAGAGATTGTGTTTAGGAAATGACATACAATCAATATGACTCGCATTAATATTTTAATTTAATAATGATATAATATTATAGTCGATGGTCATTGGTTTTACACAAATTTGCTTTTCTTATGAAATCAAAAAGGCAATATAATATAGACCAAAAGAGAGAATGTAAAATTAATTATGGTCCACGTAATACATGTATTAAAATTGTAAAACTAATTGTAATCATATGACAATCTCCAACATTTTGATATTCAAATTATACAATTTGATATTGTAAATCCGAAATTATCAAATCGCAATAAAATGAAAGCACAAATTGCCTTTAAATTGTTTTGATTTCAATATTTATACCGATTTGTTGGGATAAAATCTCTCTCTCTCTCTCTCTCTATGTATATATATAGAAACATCAAATATAGTCTTTTCATGATCAAAATGACCTTTTTTTGGGTTCAAGAAACTTAATTCATCAAAGGAGAGACTTTGTCGTCGTAATTTTTAAATATTAGTAATGTTATTCTATTATTTTTTAAAATGAACAGTGGTGATGGTACATGATAAGTTGATTTGTTTTCCAATGTATTATTCAGCATTATAATTCAATAAGAGAATATTGTGAAAAAGAATTTCTTATGATCCATCCATTTTATGATATAAATAATCTAATTAAGATTATAGAATTCTATAGTATCGTGACGGTAAAAAAAAAAACGCAAGTGTTGCTGCACACATGCATGGTCTATGCGTTGCAGCCCAAAGTGTGCCAACTTTAATCATCTGGTCACTCCTATCTTAAGGCTCAAAAACCTTTCTATAACGACAGGTATAGAATTCACTTGTAAGTACCAGCTTTAAACATCTGGTCATCAACTTGAATAAACAAAAGAGTAGAATAAATAAATCCCGTTTGAGAAGTCTTGCTCCTCCATATATATTTTCTTTCTTAAGGAAGAAAGATTGTAATTTTATTAAATATTAAATTAATACAAAATAAATCACTTTCTTAACATTTTTTAAGATAAAAAAAATTTGACAAAAAGTTTTGATGAATCGTTTTCGTTCAGACAATGTTGGGCATTTCATAAATAAAAAATAGAAATCTTTAAATTTTTCAAACTAGAGTTTTTTAAAACATGATTTTTTTTTTCATATCATTCATGCAAACAAGTCTTTTATTACTATAAATTAACGAAAGAACAAGCCGTACTATTAGGTCTACTTAATGGAAGATTTTAACCGTTTAGCACTGTTAACAATTGTCAATGCCTTTCAAATAAGAAGATAGAATCTCAAATCTTTATTCCAATAACCTAATCTTCCAAATTTAAAAACATAAAACTCTTATTCAAAGGAAAAAAAAAAAAAATCAGACCAATAAATATGCAACAAAAGATGAAAAAAAAATCTCATAAGAAAAAATCAATAAAACAGGAGTTGTTACTGGCTAAAAGTAGCCGACAACAACTTAAATTAGGGTAAAAAAAAAAAAAGGAAAAAAAAGGTGTTTTGTTGAGAGAAAGAGAAAGAAGACTCCTCCCTGTATTCCTAATGTGACCAACTTGAACAAAATTGTGTCCATTAACCATCTTTTTAAGTACTCTTAGACAATATTTATAATCAGTTTCAGTTTTTTAATACATTTATATCGGTGCATGAATTCTAAAGCCCATTGCTCCGCATCACTTTTGAGAACTGCATATCATGAAAACTGTGAAAGGTTATCATTTATTCATTCAAGTCTTGATTAGCTGACTACATGATGCTTAAAAGTCAGATCAGCATTTATATGCACAAAAGCATTGCTTTGGAACAGGGGGTGCGGTGTACAAATCGCAGAGACCCGTTCCGCTGTGCCGATTTTTACAGTCTTCCCAGCAACGATTTTCTCCTTTGCAGGTCCAGACTTTGTGGCAGTCTCTTGTCTCTGCCTTGAGCACTAGTTTCTCATCTGTAAGACACAAAGATATAAATAAATTATAGACCCATCTATCAAATGGTTTGCATAAATCAAATTACCATTTTATGTGTTTAATTTACACACAAAGAATACTGTGATGTGGTCCAAGGAAGAATGATACACCTCCTTTGTCTTCTCTTGGTTAACTGTAAGAATCCAATTCCAAAGTTAAATCGTCAAAATCATACAAGATATGAAGAATAGGCCATTACCAAAGGCAAAGAGGAGGAGGACAAACAAGCAACAGAAAGTAGACAGTTTCACCATCTTCAAGATTGTAGTCAAATTCTCTATTAAGCTCATACAACTATAAAAGGGCGTTTGGGCACTTTCGCTATTTATAGGACTTACTTCTGCCCTTCCGTTTACGTTAAGGATAAGCATGCGAAAGTCCTTCATAATGCAATAAGATTCAGTTTACTTTATCATGCCATTTGCATAATCTTCCAATTAGAATGTTAAAGAATAGAAGTAATAACAGAGTTGGGTCATTAAAGTCTATTGGATCTGGACCTCTTTAGTTTCTTCTAGAAAAGGGAATGTTAAAGATACTCTAATATATTGCTGCATCCTGAAATTATTAGTCAGTCGGTCTATAACTTATTCGAAAGTAAGCATCACTTTATAGTTTGTGCCAAACTAAAATTCGCCTCCCAGACAGCACAGCCTTAAGTTTTGTCCTTTCTGCAGGCCAATTGTAACACCTTGAAACCAAGGCTTGTTACATGTTCAAACAAGCACCAGTGAATCGACAAATTGAAATCCAGCCCCACTTTGACATCACATCATACAACTTTGTTGTGGTAAGAGAAGGATTTATTGGTAAGCCAATCTACTAACTTTGCAGTAAGCTCATGTATGCGTGTGACCAAATAGAGGAGGATGTAAACCACACTCAAGCACTTTTTCCTAGCCTAACTGCAATCGACTTTCTGAGATGCCTTAAAATTTATGGAAATGATTTAGGAACAGTATCTCCACCAAGCAACATGGAATAAATCCTAGAACAATGTAATTCAAACCTTTAGCACATGTAATCGGACATCTGAAATTAAAACTTACATGAACCCAAAAACTGTGTTGGAACACACGTTGTGCAGCTAGAACACAGTGTCCTGTGCATTGAATTGGTTTTTACTGTATTCCCAGCATCAATCATCACCTTCTGCTACAGATATCACTTTCTCATCAACTTAGCAACTCCCAAGTCTGGCAGCAACCTGCTTCCACCATAGCACCATCTTCTTGTCTCTGCTATCATATTTAGCCATTAGAGCACAGCTGGAGAAACTCCATCGACAATTGCTTACAAATAAACAAGCATTGATATAATCACACACACGCCCCATCTATGCCTTCAATTTGAGAATTTTCTAGTTTCAAAAAAAGGTAAAGGGAGGAATATGATGTACAAGATAGAAATCAAAAAGTCAAGTCAGAAACAGATACAGGAGACAGAGGTAACCAATTCGTCCACCATTATGCCTATAACCTCTAGAGTTTAAATAAATTAATGGAACAATCAATCTATTACATTAATTATCTCATTATAAATAATAAAAAACCATATGTAATTTCACTGTAGCTAACCAGTGAACCAAAACAGTGTTGTTTTCGCTTAAAATGACCCCGGTTTTACAAAAAAAAATTTATGTTAATTTTTCCAATTTTTTACACATTCATCCTTAAATTTATATTTATATTCAAATCAATTCCTTAAATAAATATTTATTGCATATAAGTCCCTACCAATCAATCATAACAATAATATACCACTTATAGTAATTAATGATGCTAATCTGTCCATACCAATCAATCATAGCAATAATATACCACTTATATTTTAGGGGGAAAATGTAAACAAATCTAATCATTGATCGACTTTCACCATGTTTAATGTCCAGTTGAACCTATAGAGTGATCTAATAAAAAAAATGAGTCACCATATAAAGTAAATAGCAAGAAATAGGGAATTGTTTCCTTAAGGCAGAATATATATAATTTTTTTTTAATGAATAAATTAAGGCAGAAAAAATTGGGTATTGCAATAACTTACGTGAGAATATCAGCAAACTGATTTGAAGAAAGATGAACATATCAAGACATTACTTGACATTTCCACCTGGAGAATCTCCACATAGAAATCTACGAATAATTTCATCATCAGATATCCGATTCAGCAACTTTTCCACCGTGGACGCATCTGCAGAGAATCCTTTAGTACGCATTTCTTGAAGAAGTTGTACTGCAATTGATGTGTGGCTGTTTTGAAGAAACCCTTGGATGATAATATTGTAAGACCAACTGTCCGGCAAGCAGCCATTGTCTGCCATTTTCCTAAACAGTTCATATGCTTCATCAGACAGCCCTTGTTTGAGAAGTCCATTGATCATGACATTATATGTCCTTACATTTGGTCGTTTTTCTGAAACAAGAAGATTGGAGAACAGTTCCCTGGCAGTTTCAAGATTCCCAACATTGCACATCCCTTCAATAAGGATAGTATAAATGACAATATCAGGTTCTATGCTGCTCTTCTGCATTGCCTCGAACAGTTTTAATGCCTCATCAAGATGGCCATGTTTACAAAAGCCATCAACCAAAATTGAGTATGTCATCAAATCTGGAAGCAAACCATAAGAACACATCTCATTTAAAAGCTTTAGGGCATCATGAGGTCTTCCTAGCTGGCAGAAACCTTTCATAAGAGTGTTGTAGGTGACAGTATCAGGAGTCAATGCTTTATGAGACATTTCAGCAAGGAGTCTTTTTGCCTCATCCATCCTTCTACTCTTGCAATATCCGTTGATCAAGATGTTATAACTATGAACATCAGGTGCGCAACCCTTCCCCACCATGATATCAAACACCTTTTGAGCCTCATCCATTTGTCTCTGCAAACAGTATCTATCCATTAAAGCATTGTAAGTGTAAACATCCGGCTCTGCACCTTTTTCAATCATCATTTTAAAGACACACCAGGCTTCTGAAATCATCCCTTCTTTGCATAGTCCATCAACCAAAATATTGAATGTCAACATATCTGGCATAATCTTCCTGTCGACCATTTCTTTGAACAATCTTGTTGCTTCATTCAATTGACCCAAATTGCAAAAATATTGTAGTATTGTGTTGTATGTAACAACATCCGGCGGAATGCCCCGATCCACCATTTCAGATAACAAGTTCATAGCTTGAGTCATCAGTCTATCTTTGCAAAGACTATCTATGATTGTGTTATACACCACCGTGTTTGGCCTGCAACCATTTTCTTCCATCTTCTTGTGCAAATGAAGCGCCATGGTCGTGTTGCCAATTTTGCATAAACCATTTATGACAGCACCATAAGTAATAACATTAGGTTCATACCCTTTCTTTATCATAACATCAAGCAATTTTACAGCATCAATGATTTTTCCCATAGAGCAAAGGCCGTTAACGAGCGTAGTGAAAGTGACAAGAGTGGGTTGAATACCAAGTTTGAACATTCTACCCAAAACAGAGAAAGCAAAAGGAACATGGTTGGAGTGGCAGAGACAGTTAATCAATATGTTTAGAGTATAAACATCAGGTCTGATTCTTAACAAATCCATTTGCTTGCAGAAAGAAAGGACAGTAGAGTAACGTTTCATTTTCCCAACGGAACCTATTAATTTGTTAAATTCCACAACATGTGGCCTTGGGTGCAAGCTAACCAAGTGATTGAAAGAAACATGGGCATCGGAAACAGTATTAAGAATGCTATAAGAATTATGCTTTTTCCCTGGCGAACAACTTTTAGCTTCACAAGTAGTGTAGAAGCACAACATTAGGGTATGGGTATGAGAATGGGGAAACTTACAAATACCCATTTGTGGTTGAAGCTGAAAAGCAGAAGCAGAAGCTGCGAAAGCACTTTTCCGCATCATCATCGTCTTCGAACACTGCTTTCTGTCTCAGTCTCTCTCAACATACTCAACAGTCAGCAGCCGTTCTTAACCTCAGTGTTATCTAGCATTTAACGAAGAAGGAGGAGAACGAAAGGAAAAGTGGGTGAATTCAGAAATGCCCAAACCACAATTTTCAATTCGGCAAATTAGCCCTTGTAGAAGGTATTCTATCAAACTTTACTCCGTGTTTGTAAACTTTAGTCAATTCAATTCAATTAGATTAAATTGCATTCCATTGAAAGATGAATACCAATTTAAATTTCGGAAAAATGATTTTTATTTTGAAAAAGTTAATCATTTGGGAAAAAACTCCATCCTAAAATTTTTAAATTTGTTAAGAAAAAGTAATTCATTTTTCAAAAATATAAAAGTTCTATAATGCTTTCCAGATTCGAAATCTAAAGTTTTTTAAAATAAAAAATTTTCAAAATCTTCGACTACTAAAATATTAAAGAATCTTCGAAGATGATCAATTTCCAAAATGTTTAAGAATTTTTTTTCAAAAAATTAAATGGCTAAGAATTTTGAAATGTTTTCAAATTTTTATTTTTATTTTTTTCTAAATATTAATTGAGAAATTCATAAAGTAACATAGTTATTGAATATTATAAAAATTTATAGTTTTTTATTTTTTTTTGTAATTTTATTAAACATATTTAAAAATTTTAATGACTTAGTATTTTATAAAAAAAATAATTCATTTTTCAGAAAAACATAAAATTTTTTATAATGTTTACGAAATTAGAAATCTAAATTTTTTTAAAATAAAAAATTTCCAAAATCCTCATCCATTAAAATATTTAAGAATTTTTTTTCTAAAAATTAAATGCCTAATAATTATGAAATGTTTTCAAACCTTTTTTTTATTAATTTTTTTGAAAATTTTAGTTGTGGAGAAATTCATAAATTGTTTGCTTATTGAATATTTTAATTTTATTAAACATATTAAAAAAATTAACAAATCAATATTTTTAAAAACTTTTTTCTCGAGTATATCGTTTTTTTTATTCGTTAAATATTTCAAAAGTTCAACTTTTTTGTCATATTTTAATTTCTTAAATAATTTTAAAAATTTAAATACAGAATACTGTTAGAATCTCTTTATTTTTAAAATATTAATTTTTTTAATTCCTAAAGCATTGCCAAAACTTTTCAGTTTTTGAATTTTTGTTTCTTAATCTTTTTTTTTAAAAAAATAATGGGTATCCATCTTATAATTTTATGCAATCTAATCTAATTGGGTTGAATTGACTAGGTTTTACAAACAGATAGTAAATTTGGACCAAATTTTTTAATAAGGGTTTATTTGTTTACTTGATACAAATACAAGATGCCTTATGGGCTGGCAGTAGCGGGAGTGGAATAAGAGAAGTGCGGTTGTTTCCTTAATTAATGATGAATGAATGATTTGTCTCCACCAGAATGAACGACCTATCACCTGGGAATCGGGTCAAATCGGTTGAGTAGTTGGTTCAGGTCCGATTTGATCGATTCTATTATTTTAACGATCTAATTAGAAAACCAAACCGGCTTAGTGGTTGGTTTACTATTAGGACCGGACGGTCCAGTCTAGTTATCATAACATTGGTTGAAAGCGATAGGAGTCAGCAGATACACAGAGACAGTTTCAAACGCTTTTCTCTCTCTCTTTGTTTGACACTAATTTTTTTTGAAAGCCTGTCGTTGTTCTTTGACACAACATAAAAAAATTAGAGCGCGACCGAAGAATATAGGAAAAGCGACGTTTAGACGCAATCAAACATCAAAAAATGTTTTCCTGCTTATTTTCATGACATGATAAATTTTGAAAAATATTTAATCCATTTTATTAGATTTTTTTAAATTTATTATAAATTAACAAGTATTTGCACTTATTCCATATAAAATATTATTTTGTTATTTCGTAAACGTAAACGCACTGTAATTATAATGCATTGTTTATTGAATAGAATTTTTCAAAGAATATTTCAAAAGAAAGCGAGAAAAATGGTTAGGGTGGCAGCTCGAGTTTTGATTTCTATAACCTGCATTAGATTAAGACAACATACACATAAAGTGAATATATAATGGGCCGGTCTAGTTACAAAATAAAAAACATCTGGACAAGCCCAGTTCTTCTTGCGAAAACAATCGCTAATAAACGGTTAATGACAGTTACGTTTGGAGGTTGGCTTGGTTCAATTAATATGGCCTCAACTTATTTCTAAAGTGATGTTATTTTCCACTTTTTTCTTTTTGTTCAAACGTACTTACAACAAAAAAAAACCTTACTAAAACAGAAAATCAGAATAACTCTTTGTAGACTATAAAATCTTATCTATCGAAAAATAAATAAATAAAAACTAGCTTTATGATTTATAATAATATTAAATAAAGATTAGAATTTTTTGACTCGAAATCAGTCAAATATAGTAATAGTAAAAATAAGTAATATAATGATTTTAAATTATATTTACATTAGAAGTTTAGATTAGAATAGAAATAAAGTCTTTCTATTTTATTTAAACTTCTTAATGATATTGATGCTCTAACCGCATTTCCACTTATGTTCTCTTAATTTAATTAAAATAAATTTAAAAATATTATTATAAAAAATATTAACTGTTAACAGTATCAAGTTTTGTTATTACTTTCTGCATACCCATTAGTTAAATAAATATGTTAAAATTGACAATTATATATATATATATCTATATATATATATATATATTTTGCACTAGAAATAAGTGTCAAACTCAAAGTTATAATAAAAAATTGATTGTATACTTAACTAAATTCCAAGACAAATGTGAAATCTATAAGATAAAAATTTGAATTATATTCTTTTGAATTGAAAAGAGTACATTATGACTACACAACGGTTCTTATGTTTAAAGAGTATTCATTATTATTTTTTTTCAAAATAGTTTTACTTTAAATAGAAAGTTTAAAATAATTTGGGTTCGTCGAAATGATGCCATTTAGTACCTTAATTTTAGTTGATGGTCAAAATTTATCCTTTAGATTTAAGGATGGACAAAATTTATACAATTTTTTTTTTTTTGGTTTTCTATAAGAGGTTGATCAGGTATCAATTGATATATGCAATGGGAATATCTTTCTCTAACACTTTTAATTTCACTCCATCTTAAATTCAGAACCTCCAAATAAAAGTTAAATATTCAAAACTCAAACTTAAGGTAATGAGTTGTGAAAAAAAAAATTGGTGGAACAAAATCATGCATAATGATAATAATGATGGTAATGAGTTGGATTAAACCAGGTTCTTGGCTCTTTGACATTGATCATATCCACCTTTCACTGGATTTGATTTTATGTAATCCATTCAATTTCAGATCTTCACTAGGTTGGGGACAAAGAGGAGTTTTTTTATTTGATAATAGTTTCAATATATTTATATAAAGATTACTATTTGTACCAACTATATATGTTTCTATCAATGTACTAATTTTACTTTCTTTCTCTTCTCTTTCTCTAACAACAACAACAATAATAAGAATCATAAACCCTAGTTCTAACAACCCTCTTTTTATTTGATTTTTTTTTTCGTTTTTTTAATATGAATGTGATTTTTTTATCTGTTTGTTTATTTTCTATAGTGACCTGATCTTTTCAAACATGATTTATGGACATGATTCTCATTTTGAATGATAGTTTTATGTAGTCAGATTTAAATGATTAGGTCTTTAATTTGAATAAAGATTTTGAGATTCTATTTTATTTTTTAAAAAAATGATTGTATCTATTGAAAGTATTTGAAGACTTAAATCTTCCATCAATGAAGTTTGATAATGCGGTCCATTCTCCATCAATCTATTTTAGAAAGAGATTAATTTGTCTATGTGTTTGATTTGGATAAAAAGTCATGTTTTAAAAAAACCCTAGTTTGTAAAGTTCATAGACGTCTATTTTATTCACCAAAGTAGTGAAGATTTTTGTCACATTTTCTCCCTCTTAATTTTAGTTAACATTGTAATTTATTTTGTATGAATTTGATATTAATAAAATTTATGTCTCTTCTAAATAATAATAATAAATAAATAAATAAATCTAAATGAATAAATTAAAAAAATCCAAATGAGAATTTTTGTAAATTGTTTGGAGACTCGTTCAAGAATCCCTATATAGTTGGGGGGACTTGTTCATATTTGCCCAAACAAATGACAAATTAGTGCCAATGAGTTTAGTTGGCAAGTTAATTGGTATTTAGTTTTGAAGACTTGAGAATCAAATCTCATTTACACTTAGCCTGGTTGGGAGAGATACTCGTAAAAAATGTTAGTATTTCTTTAACAGAAGAAAAACTTATTGAGTAATTGTAGACAGCAAACTGTCGTTGGATGGTCAGAAAAGAGTTCAAAAGATTGGATAAGCTTTTGGCTGGTCATTAACAGTGAAAGGTGGAAAGAAGAAGATGAACAAGGAAGGGAAAGAATATATACTGGTTTCCTTTTTCAAAAGGAAATTGCCTATGATGATTTCACCTAACCAAAGCACTAGACAGCTAGCTGTTCTGCCCTTTGCAACAAAGTGGTTGCCCCTGCAGCAAGCAATAACCCAAAGTAATAGGGTTCTTTCCTGATTTTCCTTTTTTTTTAAAAAAAACAGCAGATTAACAATGCTTGAATATGCGAAGAGTAATTTGATAGTCTTTTGTTATATGTTTGAGAACAAAACCATATGGTTATAGATGCATGATGAATCAGTGAAATACCCTTCAAATAAAACAAGAAATTCTACATTAATTTATTGCAACTGGTTACAGAGAAAGCTTATTCATGGAGTAATGATATAGGAAACATCAAACCCATGTCTAGGACGACTTAGCTGCAACACCAGACTATACTAGGTAAATGGAAGGCAAAGTAGACACTCGTAGAGTAGATAATAATCCAGCCCCAAGAAACTTGTAAAGTCATCTCAGGAAGCTGTAGAAGGCCTGAACAATGGCTCATAGACAGTCAATCATTCTGGATTTGGATTTCACACTTCCGAGCCACGGTATTTCCTTGCAGCCTCTCTGCTGTCAATGGTTGGTGTGAAACTATCATCTCTTGCATATGGTCTGGATGAAAAGTTGAAGTTGCCATATCGCCTTGCAGCTTCCTTGCTGTCAATGGCGTCTTTATAGGCTGGTTCTCTATACCGGTATTGTGGAGAAGTAGTGACAGAAGGTTTTGCAACTTCTTTCAGTAAAGCCGCAGCTGCACCGATATCATTTGTTGCTCCAGAGAGGGAAGCATTAGGTGGTGCTGCCCATGTTGAGTGACTTGGCCTCCCCCATCCACCACCGGTGTTCATGTTTGGTTCCATGTTGCTACCTTGTCTGCGGTAATAATCATCGTAATTGTCATTCCGATGTGCACGACCATTGGACTTTCGGAAGCGTTGGTTGTGGAAACCGTTGTGTTCATCATAGCCATCAGTGTAGCCATCATAGCCTTTGAATTTAGGGCTCTGGCGCCGGTGTGAAGCATCCCACGGGTCGGCCTTGGCTCGGCTAGCGTCAGCTTGCACTTTGGTGATGAATTCCTCAACAATTGGCGGGCGGCCATTAACTGAAGTCAGAGGCCTACGGAACTTATTCTCAGCTCCATAAGGATCCTCTGTCGAGTGAGAAACATGCTTGTATTCAGACTCCAGAGGTGAAACATGCTGTTGGAAAATCGTCTCAGTTTTTGTAAAATAGTGCTCTGGATTCTGATTAGCACCATAGGAAATAATAGGCCTTTTCCTCCCATCAGCATCAATGAGGACTGGCCGGCACACATGATCAGGAGCATAGCTTGTTTCGCTCCAATTATCATCAGAGCTCGGTGTGTTGTAGGTGGAGTAGCCCCTATCTCCGTCACCATACCCAGCCATAACTCGGCTTTTTGTAGTAACTTCTTCCCTTAAAGGACTCTTAGCAGTTGGATACTTGGATTCCTTTTCTTGTTTATGAAAGATGTTAGAAGTTAGAACTTCTTCTTTTATAGAAATCTGGGCCTCTCCTGTTCACCTGTTCATGTAAATGATGTAAGATTCAACTATACAACGCGTGAAAGGATCCTATGCTGCCTTTTGCTTTGCACTTTGAGATTCGCTTGAAGTTCAATCCACCGGGAAACTTGCTAAAGAATCATATTCTAAGCATTTCATGATAGTGAGTACCAATGCTTTCACTTGGGCAAACTTGTTTTGATAGGAGGATCCTCCTTGAGGATGAAGATTGCAGAATATATGGTGTCCCCCAACAAGAATAAAGGAGAAAGAGAGAGGATGAGAGAATCACCTTTAACCATCTGGGAAATTACTGTAAACCATTTTAACCGGCAAGCAAGAAAGAGAAAAGAACAGCCTTCTGGTGAGACAGAGACGTGGAAAATACCCTTAAAGTGGCAATATCCATAACTTACAAAACTGAAACTAAGGTATAGGAGGCAAGAGCTACAGCTACAGAGCAAACTGAAAAATTCAGTGCAATCTGCTGGCATTGAGCAGCTTCTGCTGAGAATGTTTTTGTCTAATAAATTTTTTTATAATACTAAAAAAGTAACAATAGACATATATAATAATTATTTCGTGAATCTATTTTTTTTTTTTAAAATAGACACATTAAAAAAAAAATCATATCTTGACCCAGTAAAAATAAAAAGATTTTTACTTTGGTTGAATTTTTTTATTTTTTCTCTTTTTTTTATTTATATTTATCTCTTTACGAAGTAACTTATACTTGTTATTACTTTAGTATTATAAAGTTTCTATCATCGACAGGACAGGACCGAACGAAGTTCCTCCAACTTTGGTTTTTCATATGTTTTCTAGACATATGGCATAACTCTATACACCAAAATATATATGTACCGCTAAATAGAAGTCTGAAGAATCACGTTCGGCATATCCTGGACTGTGACCTCCATTTCTTGCAAGACCCTTGAAATCCTGCTCTAGTTTCCATTTCAGACGAAATTGTCTTCTTCATTTGCTCCAACTTGTGGAGAATCCCGAATATCTCTCTGCACTGAAATTGCTGTTCCCTCATCATGCTTTCAGCAATAGCATCGACACAATTAGGCAATGGCAGTTTTCCAACAAGTGTCTTACTCGAGGGCATGTTTTTACTTGTTAAGCATAATTAGGGAAAATACATTTTTATAATTTATTTAATTAAAGCAGCATTTACTTTGCTGCCTATGAATTTATGCATGCAAGACAAACAAAGTAGAATAATAAAAGATTAATCATATATTAATCCTTCTAGTTTTAATAAATGAATTAATTAATTTTTAATATTTTAAAAATTAATTATTTATTTATTTAATCAGTATTGATCATGTTTAATATGTTATATTTTATTCTATAAAATATTTTTTTATCAATCATTTTTATGGTATAAATTTATTTTTTCCTTTTTCTATTTGTTAAAAAAAAGAAAAATAAATTAAAAAATATAAAATGAACAAAATAAATAAGTTGTTGGTTTTTGAAATAGAAGGTCTAACTAAGTTATTGTTTCAAAATAAGAAGACTAATTTATAATTTATTCAATCAAAACCTGCGAATGCCTCTTGCTTTCAAAACTAAAAGTCTCCTCTTATTATTCACGTGTCTCTTGCTTTCCAAAATAAAAGTCTACTCTCATCTGATATTCTCTCCCTCTCTGCCTTTGCCCTCTCGTCTCCCTCTCTGCCTCTCTTCTCTGCGTGCCTCCCATCTTTGCCTCTCATCCTCTCTCCCTCTACCACTCATCACTGCCTGAATTTCAGCAGTTGAAACTCCAGATTTTTCTTTTTTAACGCTGTTATTCATGTAAAACGACGTTGAGTCATCCATAATATAATGCCGAATAATGATAATAGGGTGCTTCATTATCGTTATATAACGTCCGTTACGTAAACATCTAAGAACATTTGCTTCTGCTGCTGACATGAAACCATTGTTTTGTACCTGGAATCACAAGATTATAGTTCAATTGTATCTCTAAAATTTGTGATTTCTTCCAATAATTTGTTTTAATTTTCCTGATTTTTTTTATTTAGGTTTTTTCCTCTGTGATTTATTCTTTGTAATTTTTCATACATTACAGTTGGTAGTCTGAATGCCAAGATCACGTAAACACAATCTGAATTGTTAGAAATGAAATTTGTCATGATCTGATGTCAATTTTTTTTTCTATAAGAATCAATAAGCTTAAATTAAAAGCCAGCAAAAGAGTAACCAAAAAAAAAAACCAAAGTCAGAAAAATTAGAACCACCCTAGAAATTCCTCTTGCCTGTTAACACTATGCTTGCTTAAGCTATCAACTACAATATTTTTTTGTTCTATTCACTCTAGAAAAACAAACAAATTTCAACTTATTAATAGAAAATATAATACTATTGAAACAACAATTTAACTTCGAAGGCATGTCATAAGAACTCTTGTGAACTCAGCTGATAGCATTTGAAGAATCTGATTTAACAGTACAATAAACTTGTGATAGGGTATGAGAAACATTGAACTCAAAAGGTATTTTTGATTGCAATAACTTTTGCTTCATTAGAGTTTCTAACATCGGATGGACTTGAAAAATGCATAAGAAACGTCTTTCATGATCTCGAATAACACTACCAATACCTGAAGCATCTGGTTTTCCTATTGACGAGCCTTAGCAATCCAAAACTCGGTTTAATCCAGTCTTCAGCTATCCAATTTTGAATTTTATTAGACCAATTATAAATATTATACCAGCTGCAAAATAGATCATCCTATGTGTATGGAAAATTATTAAAGACAACTTTTTCCTAATAAGAATCTATGAAAGAGAAGAAAGAACAAATATTTTCAATCTGAATTTATATCGTTAAAAATCAGATTATTCCTGACTAGCCATATATATGGTACAAAACAAAGAAAACAAGAAGATCATCCACATCGCTTGTTATCATCCATAACCACCCCCACTAGCACATAACTCTAGTCCATAAATACCAAGTCTAACGGTAATAAAATAATAAAAAAAAAAACAAAAAAAAAAAGAGGGAAATGAAATGTAGTTTCGATCTGCGAGAGAGATAATGATTTCTATACATGGAAAGCTATAATAGAGTCACTAAGTTTTACTGAATTAATAATCAAATAAGAAGATTTAATGATATAAACTCCTCTTGTATTATGAGTCCAAAACCCTCCAATCCTCCACTTCTTGGTACAAGCCACGGCTGTAATGTTATTCAATAATTGGACTTCTAAATCTATCTCCCAATGTCTTAAAGCTCTGCACCAAGCCAACTTTCAAGTCTATCTAGAATCATACCACGTACCCATGTCAGCAATCACACCATCTTTAGTTTAGTTTATACTAGTCTATACAAAATTAGAAAAGCATCACACAAAGGCATATTTCCAACCCAAATATTTGTCCAAAACAAAAACAATTTCTCATTTCCAACGTTGAGTCTACATCCATTCCTAATGGTTGTTGAGCATTGACTTGAGCCTATGAACACCAAGCAAATATCATTTCAACAAGTAGATAAACAACCAAAGAAGTATGGTAATCCATTAATAAAGGTTGGATTATACTTTTTTTTTTTTAAAAAAAAAAGATTGCCAACAGAAACACTACTTCCACTTAACCTCCAAAACCATTTGAAAAGTAAAACTTTATTTTCCACCATAATTGATTCGAGACCTACTTCCTCATGAAGTTTGGACTGCTTGACCACGCTCCAAGTTACCTTACAAGCTTTCCTTATATTAGAAATGCCACTCCAAAAGACTCTACGTTTGAGAGAAATCAATATATTGGTCACACATTTCGACATTTTAAATATAGATAGATTGTAGACTAGAATAATCGGTAGGACCGATTTCAATCAACAAATGCGACTATCCAAAGAGAGAAGCTTTCCTTTCCAGCTTTGAAGTCGTTTCTGCTCTCTAGGAATCATAGGTTTACATGTAGAAATTGGTCGAAGGCTTACTCCCAAAATTTTGCATCTTAGTCGAGCTGCTATTGCATTGCCGAAATGAGAGCTAGCATTAACACCAATAAAAAAAACTTTTATAGAAGTTCACTTTCAATCTCGAAGATGTAGATCAAAGCAACGAAATATCCTCTTTATATTCAATAAAGTATCAATATTAACTGTACAAAAAATAAGTGTCCTCGGCATATTGAAGGTGATTCACCATCAAGTTTCTATCCAGATTAATACCAACTTGATGTCAATTGTTTTCGTTCGCTATTAACAATACACTTTAGATGGTGGACCATACTAATCACAGGAAAAGTTCGAACACAAAATCAGCATATATAGACAATGATGTAGAGTTTCGTAGAATGTAACGGAATGTAGGGCATTTGCAATAACAGAGAATCAATCAACATTTTCTTCATTGCATGACAGTCTACCAAACTTACAAGAATATCTAAGACTGGAATGATAACTTGAATGATGACTTATCCCCCCACCCCATCCCTCTTTGTTTCAGCCATCAGAACCTGAAAAGGGCACCATATGCTTCACACGTACATTTTTTCTGTACATAAATCAACTTAAAGCATAGATGGTGGTGAAAGTTTCAAGATTATCAAGTGCTTTCTATATTTTAAGGGTCAAAAGCTGGAACTTCATTCAAAGGAGAACGGAATGCACGATATATTGTTCTATCAATGATACTCCTATAGGGATCCTCTTCTCTTTTCTTCAACAAGTAGGCGATGCTGTTTTGAACTTCAGATTTTACATGCAAGTACAATTCGTTTGCATTTTCTTTGTCTTCCAACATCTCCTTCATTCCCTTTGTTTGTATAGGCTTCCCAAACAGAAAATAAAAGCGGCCAGGTACCTTGGGTAAAAGCCCTGGGATGAATAAATCTGTGCTGGCAACCTCCCCTTTACTTTCGTCCCTATAATCAGATTCAGATCGTATTCTCAGTCAAAGCCAGAGCTATGAAAATTCAATCAGCATCTTAGGTTACTTTCAAGTACAAACTAAATCTGCATAAATAAAATGTTAATTACCTTACTCTTGTACCTTTACTCATAGCGCTTCTGATAAAGTCATTAAGTATTGGGATTTTCATCATGTCATGGTAGTCTAGAGCCAACTGCAACACAAAGAAGACAATGGAATTTTTTTCATGATGAGCATAAATTTCAAAGCCAAGTTTGGAAAAGGAAGAAAACACTATTTTATAGTGTTCTTTGGGAGTGAGGAAGCTAAATAGTATATCAGGCTGAGGGAGAGATCTTAGAGAAACAGATCTTGTGAAAATAGCACGCTATGAAATAAAGATAACTAGAGCCAGTTATTTATTCCTCCTTTAACAAGAATTTGAAAGTAGAAAGATGCCAATATTGGAAGGTTTTGCAGTGCTATGTAGTATGTACTGAACTGATAAAAATGTTTCAACCATCAAAAGAAGGCCCGTAGACTTGAAAAAGGAAGTAAAAGAAACTGATGTCAATAAAATCCAATGCTTACTTCTGCTACATCATCTTCTCCTACGGTTCCAAATGGTATGATTGTGGCCCCAAACCTCGCTGCCATTCTCACAAATTCTGGTTGATCAGGCCAAATTAACTTGTATGCTTCACCCTGAAAATTAAAGAAGCACGAGACTTGAGATATCACAAACATTTGGACTAATATAACACGATACTCAACAGGACCAAATAAAGCATGTATTTTGATGTATGTGATGTCCTTGCACTGCAGGGAGGTTCAGATTTGTCCAATTTCACTGTATTCCAAAAAAAAGTATGGAGGTGACTACGACAATAGAGGTCTACATAGTGCTGGAGATGACAGTGGTGACCAGGTTGCAGCCATTGTGATTTGGGTAAAGAGTATTTACACGTTTACAATGCAGATATTTCACAGATGATTCCCAAAACTGACACTACATCTTCATGTCAACATCTCGTTTTGAAAAATGACATGAAGATATTTATCTTACAAAAGTATGAAACTTCTAGAATGTATGATTTCTAGGTTAAAAAGAGAACTTGCTGAAACAAAAACAAGTAACTCTACAGTTGGCATACCTTGTAATGCAAAGCCTCTCGTTGACCTCCAGGATAAAGAAGCACATGCGATTTTTTTGAAAGCAATTTGAAAAGATTGCTTGCTGTGACAGGAACTGCACCCATTACTTTCATCCAATCAGATACAGAAAATTCAGTATCTGAACCCTCCATAATCTCTGAAAATAGGTCAGGGTGCGCTACGCCACGGACCATAATATTCTTCTCTCTCAAGAATTCTTCTACAAGAGAATAAATTTCAAGTCCCATCAGCATGTGGTAGCCAATAAATATGACAGGACCTTTATCCGGAACTCCAGCAAGACCCTTCACTATCTTGCCATCATCCAGAGTAGAGAACATAGCTGGGCCAGTAGCAAAGCGTAACAACCTGGAAATCAAGTGATTCTAAACTGATCAGCTTGAGCCATAGATAGACAAGCTTTTACAGCAGGAGATCAACATAAAAAAGTTGTTCAGGCTGGTCTGCAGGGATGCCCAAACTGTGAGAACTAAGCCTGGGATTTAGACCAAGGTCCTCTCCAGTCAGCTTTAATTCATAAAAAAATTATAAATTATGCAACAACTGTTGTATATTTCCTAACTTTAGGGTGATTGTCTGTTTCAATATACTCTAGTTTTCTTAGGCAGCTACTCAAGAAGTGAGGACATGGTTTGTCTGCTTGCCAGAACTACAAGAGAATTTTATTATTGTCTTTTGTAGCTTATACTTAATGTGAAAGAACAGAATAAAGCAGCAAATATATTCAACATTGACAGCTTTGTGATAGTATGCATCAATGTTTAATGGAATTTCTAATGCTACTATCAACCAGACACACCAGGCTTACACCTGGGATGAGAGGGATTAAAGATGGCCGAGTTGTTTCTCTTGTTGTGCAACCCCACCAGCAGAAAGGGGAAAAAAAAAAAAGGATAGAAGACAAAGAAATGGAGAGTGAACAGCGAGACCTATACAGAGCAAATGGCAAATGGATGGTCAGAGAAGATTGACAATGGCTAATGGATAGTCAAAGAAGATTGGGCAATGTAAGTACAAAAAATTTTCAATAATATTATTTAGAAACCAAAGAGCTTGTAGTCCAGCGGTAGTGGTCTCTTGCAAGAGGTCACGGGTTCAAATCCTAACAGACTAGTTCTGTTAGAAGCCTTGGGTGTGTGAGTTATAATAATAATAATATTTAGAAGTCCGGACTATGCATAAACAATAATGAATGCTCTGGCATGACCAGGGCCAAGTCTCCTTGTCATCTCATTCTAAGAACAAAAGTGCTAGTCATACATCCAAGAACTGCATATAACAACTTGCTCAGCTGACTTACCCAACGACTTCATCAAATGCATACTTGAATTCAGACATGCTAGGTGGTAGAAAGTCAGATACTAAATCTAGCCTCCTTGAGCGACGGTATTTGCAAGTACCTTTGATAATAGTAAGCAAATTAAAACCATCTTCCTGCAAATGAAATAAATACATGAAGTCATATTTTTGTCTTCCTACAATGAATTAGCATTAAGTAAATAAGCTTCACTGCAAAGAACATCAAAACGTACAAATTATGGATGCAATAAATGTTTATTTTGGTGGGGTACTAAGTTTGTAACCACTGGTTTTACAAGATTGACCTCTTTTCAGAAAACCAAAGTCAAGGAGTTACAGGATATAATGGTATGGGATTTCACTCCCAGAACCACCTCACCAACTGAATCATTGAATCTAGTGCCCATGATAGATGGTAAGCATAGTACAGAGTCTGGTCATTTAAAATGATGATACATATCCTCAAACCACTAATGAACTGGTCAGTTAGTATGATGATCATGATACATAAAAGCATTTATTCACAATTAGAAAGTCATTCAAATTTTTTTTGTGATCAGACGCCTGTTGATTTGAAAGAGCTCAAAAGGTCTATGAAAAGCATCAAAACATCTAAGGTACAGACACACCTAACAATTACTCCACTTGTTTTAGACACATGGATACACCACGTTTTTTCACCTACCATTAACATGGAGTGTCCATTGTCCTTGAAGTAACGAACTTTGCAGTTCTTTAATGAACTTTTAAGATGGTGGGCTTCGTCTTTACTAGGAAGCAAGCTATCATTGCCACTGCAATAAAAATACAGCATTAACTTCAACATCCATAAGTATTAGCATCTCAAAGGAAATCAGTCATGAGAAGCAAAACTCAACTAAAGAAACACTCCTTTCCTACAAGACATAAATCCATGATCCAAACACAAATATTTAAATAGTTTATTGCAAATTATAGATGTGCTAGAGCAATTTATATCACATAGATGCGTACAAATCTTTCCAATTCATGCTGCTAATCCTTGCAAAGTCAATAACTACTTAAATTCCTAAGAAAAAATACAGAAGGAAACAAATCAAAAGTTATCGTTCACTTCATAATTTTTTCAGTATTCAAAGGCGTTGAGGGGCTTAGAGGTAACAGGGCACATAAATGTGCAGAAACTTCAGGAAATCACAAAGGCATGGGAAAGGGAAACTTTGTTCATATATGTTAAGTTTTCCTCATATAGATGTTTATGAAGCGTAATATCCACTGGCTATGAGCTTCAGAGTGTATGTTTGTGTGTGTGTGTGCATGAGAGAGAGAGGGATGGAGAGAGAGAACTACATAAAAGAAAATACACGCAGCATGCTTGATTCTCTTTTATACAACAGGCTCTATATTTACAAAAGCTACAGAAATTTTTTTTCTGAGACTATGCTTTCTCTAGGTCAAGTAGCTCAAATTACTATTTTCCTTCTGAAACTGAAATCACAAATATGTAAGACAGCACAATACTTAGAGATGCAACATGATCAGAGATAAATCTTGATACAGAAACAATTAGAAGAGATGTTTCAATGACCATTCAGATAACACAAGATATACTACCGAAAGAGAGGCAGCAACTTATGGAGAGTTATTGTATAAAGAAACCATATTTACTTGGAGAGAATAAGGACCTGGCGAGTACTAGTGCTTCAGCTTTTACAGCATGAAGACGGGAATTAACATAAGCAGCAGCGGATTTAAGCAGTTTCAACCTCCAAAGAAGAGTCTCTTTTGGAATAACATCAGACAAAACCTGGAATGAACATAACAAATAACACTGAAAGTTAAAATAAACCTAAAGAAAGGATTGGCCAAATGCACATGAGGTAAACCTTATAGCAAGCATTGTTATGTATGTGTGTGTAGCTCTGGCCTCTGTTAGCGTCATGATACTATTTATTAAGTTGGATCACAAAAGTAAGCATGTTGAATTTATTAAAAACTGGTGGGAATGTTGTAAACTTGAGAATAATTAGTATGTGATTGCTCCAATAGCTGTCACATGATAATGCCTTCATCTATCGATGCCTTTAACCCTACCCCACATCCTCTCTTTCAGACAATTTCCTGTTTCTTACTCACATTGTTTACATAACTAATAAGATTTACTGGCAAGCAGATCAGTATTTCAGTTACTCCTTTCTGAAAAGTAAGCATTTCAGCATAACAAAACAAACAAACAAAAAGATTTCGATTCATTGTCATTTTGTTCCTCGTCATAATTTCATAAATTGGCCCAAACAAGCTTGTCATATTCCCACCATCCAAGGCTATATGAGCTGGTTGCACACTATGAACTCAGGCATTCATACACAAAAATACTCATGCCATACCCACCATATATTACTATAAGCATAAGCTCTATTGAGAATACCATTGATCTTGGTTAGGAAGGAAAATAAGAGCATGTGAACATAAATACTGAATAAGCGGTTAGTATTTTTTTTCTATATTATGGAATAAAATACAAGAAAGTCTGCTGCTTTTTATTTATAGTGTTTCTTAAGTTAGCTATTCATAACCGAAACTTATTGGGATGCAAAGGGTTCAAATAAGACAAGAAAAATAAAACAAAACACAATAAAAAAAGAGAGGTGCAAAGGCTAGGCAGTGTTCACGTTTCTTACAGAAACAGAAGGTAGCAAAGCAGTAAGATTGTGATACAATTGTTGAAATTGTAGTCTAGGAGGAAGGTTGTGTTCGACATTGGCCATTGCCATCTTCAATGGATTACCTGGTGTCACAAAAATAACAATCAAACAACGAGATAAAGAAATGATTTGAAGACGGAAAAAAAAAAAAAAGCAAATAATAATGTTAGAATGCTAAAGCGTTTGTACCAGTAACAAAGCCAACAAGAAAGGGAAATGCATCATGTAATCCACCGGGCATGGCCTCCAAAATAGGGAGTAAAGGCAGCTTTGACCTGCCAAATGATGTAGCTAAAATAAAATGCTAAAGGACGTCAGACTACCTCCAAGGTTATCATCCAAAGATCTTGAATCAGAAAGTCATTAGGATTACATAGAGAGAAAAAATACTGCAACTCTAGAACTGACCTGGATTAACTAGTATAAGTACAAGGTCAATTTTAGGATTGCGAGCAGCAATAGCAAGTGCTAGGCATGCTCCAAAAGATTCCCCCACTAGATAAATAGGCTTGTTTGGAGATGAGGCATGCTCAAGCCTAACAGTTTCTTCGACAATTTTCACCAGCCCTTCATTCAATAAATAATGTTGAGTCAGTGATAAGCAACATGTTTAATTTAAGAGAAAAGGACACAAAGATACCATGCCACAACACAAAAAAAGCATGAGGATCACATCTGCAAGCAAGCATGCACATTACCGAGGGACCTGAAGAACCATATAGGACCATTACAAATGAATATTCCTAAAAATATATTTATGCATAATAACTTTGAAGATAAAAAGATAAATGGATACAGGCTTCATAGCTTAGCTTTTAACACTCATGATTATGAAAATGTTGGGCATTCATTTTCTGCACTAACAATCCAATCAAAAGAGTGAAGAAGTCAAGATACTCAAGATCTAACTAGCAAAACTCTCATCTCAAACCTCCTTCAGTGTAACCATTCTCCATTGGAAATAAGATATTTTGCATAGAGGTTTGTAAGAAGTGTACAGAAGATCCATTAAAGCATAAAGAAATAGAGGTTTGTAAGAAGTGTACAGAAGATCCATTAAAACATAAAGCAATAGCATTTTCTCCACAATCACCATTGATCAATGTTTTTCATAACTAGAGTTTTATTGAATCGAATAACCTTAAATCACCTAAATTGCCTGGCACTTATATTAATTGGATTGAAGGGCAGAATAATATTGAAAATGTTTTAACTAGACTAGGTGTAAGTGTTAAATAATATAGAAATTAAGCATTTAGAAGTTAGAGACACACAGGCAGTAATACTAATACAGTTACCCTTGCATTATCAAATGGTAAAAACCATGTGTTTAAGTAATGAATAAAACCATTTTTGTTTTACCAAATAGTTGTCAATCTATTTTCACATGGATGGTCATGTTATCATAAACAATCTTAACTCAAAAAGTTTGCTAAATTATCAGTGCAGATGAACAGCTATATAATGCAAAAAAGTACTCTGATGAATTTTGAGGCCTTGAGAGACGATACCTTCAAATGTTGTTCGATCATGCACTGGAATATGAAGGCATCGAACTTCAAATGCCCTGCAATTTGCCAGAAATCAGTTGTAAAATCATTTATTTAACTGCACTGAAAATGCCAGAAGAAATACAGTTCCAAGAATTTATTTACATTAGGATAGAATAAAGAAATTGAAAGACTAGGATCCATATCAGTTCTTTAAAAGATGACTCCCTTTGTAATAAAGAACGAATGCAGCAAATCAGAAACGGTTCAAACAGCTTTGACATGCAGAAACTACACCATCTTAATCTGAGCTACCAACTAAGCAAATATTTCTAACAGGAAAGGGTGTTTTGAAAATCATGAATTCTGAGAAAACCCAAATTTTCCTGGAAGTTTTGCGCTTATTTCAAGTTCAAGTCTTCAATACTTGTAATGAAGGTAGAAATAATAGAACTTACTTCCCAAGAGCTTTATGGTGCAAAGTAAGCCCCAAGCCAACACCATCAAGCCCTACAAAAGACAATAGCAGAAAACAAATTCAGCATTCTGTGATCTCCAAACCTTTGCACAGATAGATTTCAAAGCAATGAAATATTTAATCAAATATTTACAGATTAAAATAACTTTCAGGAAGCACGAAACTCATCAACTAGAACATGATTCCATCTTTCAAGAATGTTCCTTTTTTGCAATACTTGCAGCAGAGTTAAATTTGAACTTAAAAGAGTTCATCTCAACAAGAAAAAAACTTACCAGGCAAAAACAGAAGAACTGGTGAATTTTTTAAAGGTTGCCCACACTCAGCAGGGCAGAACCACCGAGGTGGCCCACCATCAGGCTTAATAACCTCCTTGGCTCCATCAAGATAATCCTTCACAGTCTTGGTCCCATACCCATCATCCCACAATAATTCCAAATCTTTGAAAATAGCATCTTTCACCCACTTTTTCTCAATTCTGGGCTTTAACCTTCCATTATTCCCTCCATCAATCAAAGCCCCGCTCTTCTCTTTCTCCCCACTGCCTCCATCAATCAGAGCCCCATTCTTCTCTTTCTTTCCAACAAAAGAAGTTTCATTTACAACAATCACATCAGATGACAATACTGTGGAATCACCACCACCTAAACTTTGAGCCCTCACCCCAAACCGAGGCTTAATTCCCGAATTTAATGTAACATAAGGTGATATCTTGCAAGTGAAAACTGATGCCATGTTTTGACAGGCAGTGGAAGGCAGTTTAGACTTTAGACACTACTAGTTCCCTCGAGAACAGACTACAACTGTATGCTGTCTTAGGAACTTTTTCAAGTACTTGCAGTTAAAACTTAAAAGAGCTAAACTTTGAGCTCCCACGCAAAAACAATCACACAATCTCACAAACAATTCAAAATCCTATTCGAAGATTTCACCAAATGAACAGTTGGGACTTTCTCAGTTGCTGAGCGGCAACTGAGAAATTTTGGGACCCTTGAGTCTAGCACTGCACTAAAAAGCAGCAGCAATATTAAATTAAAAACACCCCTAGAGCACTCTAACTGAAACAATCACACCCTTCTTGTGAGTAATTTAGATCCTTCTTTTTCAAGACTCGCTAATTTTAACTACCAGCCAGCAACAAAGGAGAAAATGAAAAACTTGCAGCACAATTTTATTCTTCTTCTACCATAAAAGTCAGCAACAAACAAAATATGAACCACGAAAAGAGAACTTTTTGACGCAAACCCAGAAAGCAAACTGAGATATGTAGCTCATAGAACATGCCACTTCTAGAGCTCTTTCTTTTATATGGAAATAAATACCGAGCAACCAGTGAACGTTGGGGGGCTATGAAAAACAATAATAAATGAAAGAAATGACAAAACTTTAATCTAACAATCTAGGAGAGGAAAATGGATTTTGAATTGTAGCTATAAATAAATGAAAATCTTGGTTTACTTTACCTCATTGTCTTTTTTTGTTTGTACTTATGGTCTCTGGCTGGCAACACTTGCGTTGTGATTGTGACCTGATGTGGCAAGATTAGCAACGGCCATTGCCCACATTAGAAAAGGCGCGATTATTCTTTGTAAAGTCTCTGGTCGTTGTTGTTGTCTTGAAAACATTAAAAGGGAAAAATGCTCGGTATTTCCTTATATAATTAAATAAGTTTCCATTTTTTTATTATATCCTTTGATTAGATTAATTTTATCTTTACAAAATGATTAATTTTCTTATATAATATGATAAGTTTTCAATCATAATTATATCTTTAATTAAATAAATTTTATCATTATTAAATAATTAATTTTCTTATATAACGAGATAAGTTTTCCATTTGTTGTTATTTTCTTAATTGAATTAATATTATCCTTATAAAATAATTGATTTCTTTATATAATAAGAGAACTTTCAAATCTGTTATTTTATTTTTAATTCAATCAATTTAATCGTTATTATTAAAATGACTTAGTTTTCAATTAACTTCTATCTAAACTAATTTAATCAACCATATACATATGATTCAATAATATATCGAAATACATGCTATATAAAGTACACTTTATTTGATATGCAATTTTTTTTTTCAAGATAGAATTTTTGAACTGTACAATAAAAATAATTAATTTTCTTATATAATATAATAAGTTTTCAATCTATCATTATATCTTTAAGTGAATCAATTGTATCCTTATTAAATAATTAATTTTCTTATATAACAAGATAAGTTTTCAACTCATTATTAAAGATCTTTAATTGAGTTAATGTTATCCTTATAAAATAATCGATTTCTTTATATAATAGGAAAACTTTCAAATCTGTTATTATATTCTTAATTAAATCAATTTAATCTTTGTTATTAAAATGATTTAGTTTTCAATTTATTTTTATGTCGTTTTTTTATGTCTAAATTATTTGAATCAACAATGTACAGATGATTCAATATTATACCAAACTATATGGTATATAAAGTACACCTTATTTGATATGTAATTTTCTTTTTGTTTCAAAATAGAATTTTTGAACTACACAATAAAAAAATAGATCAACATTTTCTCATTTTAAAATCTTCGCTCTTAACGAAAAATGACAATACTTGTAAGTAAATATTATTTGAAGTAAGTGACACATGTTTTGGCTAGTAAATTTGATTTCAAGTTTTATTAAAAAGAAAAAAAAATCAAGTAGTGATTATAGCTATAAATTCATTGATTGGATTTTCACTCATGCCAAAGATTGAACTTAGCAACGCATCCGAGTTATTATATATATATATATATATATATATATATATATATATATAACGCAGTGTTCGAGCTAACTTGCACGTACCTCGACTAATCCCACAGGCTCCGAAGTTAACGACCATGTCAGCTCTCCAGTGATCACCAAAAGAAACAATCAAAATTCGAACTCGAGACCACAAAAGGAGCAAACTCCTTGATATCAAGTCTTTGCCATTGCGTCACCTCCTGGTGGTTATCTGAGTTAGAATTCTTGATATTCCAAGTTAGTGTTTGTTTGAAAAGTAAAAGAAATTATTATTAATAAATAAACACGTTTTTGTAATGGTTTAATGCTCTGCTTGTGCAATGCCTTAGAAGAATGGAAAATGTTTTGCAAAATGTAAAAGCAGGCTGTGAATTGTATCCAAATCAAAGAAGAATAGTTGTACAAAGAAATTCTAGAAGACGGACGGCGGACGCATCTCTGCAAAGTTGTCGAAAAAAAAATGTTATGGATCAAGAGTGGGCAAACAATTACAGCGGCCTGGGGTAGACCGAGTCAATTTCAAGAAACTAATTAAATAAAATAAATACATTATTATATGATTCGCTCTATGTCTTAGATACAGATCAGGCTTGTAAAAGTCAAATGTTTCATTTTTATTATTTATTTATACTATTAAAAAGTTTGTTTTGATTTTTTTTTTCTCTTTCAATGTCCAACCGGCAAATTTTACAGAAATTTTGATTTATTTTTTATTTTGTTGTCCACAGTCACTTGAATGTATAAAAAATTAACGTGTTTATGATTAACTACCACATGATAATTAAAAAAATATCGCATGAAATGTCACTTTAGATACGTGAGCATTCATATCATTGGATGACTATGGATACTCAAATATGAGGCGAAAAAACAAAAGTTAGCCATTGAATAGAAGAATTTACTACTTGGGCACTAAAAAAACAAAACCCTCAAAGGTCAGGTGTCAAAATTATAGTTTTCTCAAAAAATTTATCGCTTCGAGATCATGAAATTATTCCAACAATTTATATTTAGTTGCATTGTCAAAAAATATTTTATATATCTTGCTCGTGGTATTTTTTATTTACCCAAAGTAATTTTTTAGTACTATTTATTAGTCAAATTTTACTTTTTAAAAATTCTAAACCTTTATACATGTGGAGACAAATATAATATTATGTCATTTAACCTCTCCAACACACACACACACACACACACACACACACAAAAGGTTCAATTATAATTGTCGATTATAGAACAACTAGTTGCTCAATGAAGAAATTTACAAAAAAACAAAAAACTACTTCCTCCTTTTAGGAAGATTGACCAATTTATCATTGGTGACATAAGCTTATGTAACAAATAACTTGTTGAACGTTTTATAGCAAGTTGAGATAAGATGGAATTAACATAAATAAATATGGCGATCAATCTTTGTGGTTAGGATATTGAAGTTGCAATACTATTGGTAGTGGCAACGTTGTTGATAGAGGGTAACAAGCAAAGTGTAAATTAAAATAAAAATAAATGTATTGTTAACACTGCTTGTGCAATTGGCATTATAATAAAAAGATATGAATTGATGTTCTTGGCATAATCATAAGAAGATATGAATACATGTAAGTTTCATGTAACCAATAACTTATCGAATTTTTTTATAATAGACCGAGATATAATAGAATCAACATGAATAAATATAGCTATTAATATTTTTGGTTTGGGCATTAAGTTGAGTACTATTGATAGTGGTGATGACGATGATGGAGATAACAAATAAAGTGTGAATTCAGATGAAAAATAAATGTATTGTTAACATTATTTATGCAATTGACATAATAATAAAATGAATGGGTTTAACTATTGATGTTCTTAAAATTTAGAATTATTCCTCTTTGAATGAAAAACAGTTTTGAGATATCACACATATATAAAGATTATAAAGGCATAAAAAAATGCAACAAAGAAATGATATATGAGAGTGAAAAAAATGTGAAAAATGTTTGGTGTTAGAAAACTGTAATTAATTTCTTACAAAAACTACGATTTTGTTGCTCAATTTTTGAAATCTTTTTTAGTGTCCAATCAATAGATTCTTATATTTAAATGTACAACTTTTGATTTTTTATGGTTAGAAAGTTTAACGGTTCATGCAATTTTATCAGATTTTAAAAAAGCTTCTCTATATGGTGAAGGATGGTATATATTTATATGAATTGTACAGAATCTGTGCTTGATTCAACCATTATAAAATGATTTTTTTTATATATATATAATAGTTCGTAATCTGTCATCATACCTTTAATTAATTGAATTTTATTCTTATTAAATACGTATATATATATATAAAAGTTTCCAATATGTTATTATTTTCTTAATTGAGTTAATTTTATCCATTTATTAACCAAACAAGAGCTGTTTAACTTAACAACGTCCACCAATCGATTACAAACGTACGTAAAAACCACTACTGAAGTGCCACTTCTATATTCTCTTTGTTTAGTGAACAATCCAAGGGGGATGCCAGAATTAATCCCCCACCATTCTGACAGAGAGAGTTTGTTAAAGCCACCATACAGACGAAATCCCCATCATTAATTTGCTGCCATATAAGCTCAAAAGCATAGAATAATGCTTTTATGGAATCCATTAGCAGAACTTAACTTTTTCAGTTAAAAGAAGATTTTTCAGAGAATATCAAGAACATTTGAGAAGGTTAGCATTATCCTTGCTCTTAAACGCACGTTTGAGAAAGAAGGCTGAAACCAAAATGGTAACTTCAGAAATTAGAATCGCACCTTTTGATTCATCAGGACGTGAGAATGCGCACGTAAAAGAGGTTTTTTTGTGTTAACATGGAAATGATGCATCAGAGTGAAAAAAAAAGTGAGAAATATTTGGTGTTAGAAAACTGTAATTAATTCCTTACGAAAACCACGATTTTGTTGCTCAATTTTTGAATTTTTTTTTTTTTTTGTCCAATCAATAAATTCTTCTATTTAAATGTATAATTTTTTATTTTTGAATTTTTTTGAGTGCCTATAGTTATTTGAAAATATGAAATAATAATGTTTTTGAAATGACATTCCACGTCGCAGTTAATTCCTGATTTTTCTGCATTTTATACTCTCACGAGACTGTGGACATCAAAACAGAGAAAAAAAATAAAAATAAAAAAAATAAATAACCAAAGTTTGGGCCTGCTAAAAAAATGTAGGTTTTTTTTTTTTTTTCATCCTCTTGGGCCAGCTCCAGTCCCTTCCAGACGTCAATAGTAGGTAGACTTTTCCGCCATCAACATCATTATCGTCGTGTTATGATTATTGAGGCACAACTATTTTCACGTAAAGGAGTTACGTGGTTCGTATTTTATCACGTCGTGTGGGGCCCGCCAGCCTCATGAAAAATATCATTGAATTCGAGCTTCATGTATTATACAGTGATAAACCTAATGGATTGAATAGATGTTAATGAAAAATTACATAATGCAAATTTTAAAAAGTAGATCAAATGGTTAAAAATATTTATTTCTTTTTTCTTAATTTCATGAATTTTGATATTTTTAAAAAATATATGAGATCGCTGTAAAGAATATAATTTTAAGATGTAATATTTTCCGAATATAGAAGGCTTAATTTCAAGCTGGATTATAAAAAATAAGCTTATAATTGAAAAGTAATCTTAAGTAGTTTTGATTTACAAAACTTATTCTTATGTATTCCTTGAGTAGTTTTTTTTTTTTTTTTTTAATGTCAATTACTATAATATCCAAATTATGTTTGAAAGGAAAAAAAAAAAAAAAAACTCTTGAAAGCATTTAACAATCGAGTTTTAATGGATAGATCATTGGTCCACCAATCTCAATAAATAAATCATTACTGATTAAAGACTGGTCAAGGATTCATGTTTGTCATGTCTTACAATAGAGGATTTTGATTGATTGGCCAAAAAGGTCATGATTTTCGCTTCCGACTTTATGTTAGAGATAATTCCTCTAATTAAAAGCATTGATACTTTTTCCTAAAAGAATTATTTATTTGTTAGATTCTGATGCAATTAGGTAGCCTTACCTCATATGAAATATATGTAATTGGTTTTTCTTTGAGCTGCGGCGTCTTTTATCACACAATAATAATAATAAATGGTAAGAAAGTTTAACGGTCCATGCAATTTTGTCGAATTTTTAAAAGTTTCTCTCTATAGTTTAGGATGGTATATATTTATATGAATTGTACAGAATTTGTATTTGATTCAATCATTATAAAATGATATATATATATATATATATATAATAGTTTGTAATCTATCATTATACCCCTTATTCATTGAATTTTATTCCTATTAAATAATTGATTTTCGTACATAATATATATATATAAGTTTATAATATTTTATTATTTTCTTAATTGAGTTAATTTTATCCTTATAAAATAATTGACTTTTTTTATATAATAGGATAACTTTTCAATATGTCATTATATTCTTAATTGAATCAATTTAATCCTCATTAAATAACTGATTTTTCTGTTAATTTTTTACATCTTTAAATCAATCATGCAAATATGACTTAATAATATACCAAAAATATAAATCACGTGAAGTATATATATTTATTTGATATATAATTTTCTTTTTTCTCCAATGGAATTTTTGAATTGCACAATAAAACGTAGATCAATTTTTTTTTTTTTTGCATTTTTAAATCTTTGCTATGACAATGCTTGCAAATAAATATTATCTCAAGGAAGTGACACATGTTTTGGCTAGTAAATTTGATTTAAAGTTTCTATTCAAAAAATAAACAAATCAAGTAATGATTATTCCTATACATTCATTGATTAGATATTCAATCAATCATGCCAAAGATTGAACTTAGCAAGGCCTCCGAGTTAGAATTTTTACTAATAAATAAACACATTTTGTAATATTTAATGCTCTACTTGTGCAATGCCTTGGAAGAAAATTGAAAAATGTAAAAAAGCAGCATAAGAATTATATCCAAATCAAAGAAGAATAGTTGTCCAAAGAAACTCTAGAAGACGGGCGGCGGACCATTTCTGTGGCCTGAGGTAAGGCCAGTCAATTCCAAGAAACTAAATAAAAAACTAAATACATTATTTTAATATGATTCACTCTTCTCTTAGATACGGATGCATGTTTTAGAAGTCAAATATTTTCAATTTTTCATTATTAATTTATACTATTAGGAAGTTTGTGGATATATCATTTCTTTCCTCCTGGACCAGCTGTCCAGCTCACCTGATCAGACCTCAATAATAGCTTGGCTTTTCCACCATTAACATCATTATCATCATGAAATGATTATTGAGGCATAACTATATATGCCTACGTACGTAAAGGGGTTAGATGCTTCCTATTTTATCATGTCGTGTGCACCCCACCAACCTTGTAAAAAATATGATTGAATTTCAGCTCCCTGTATATATAGAGTGATGAAACTAATATATATATGTGTGTGTGTTAATAAAAAATTACAAACTACCAATTTTAAAAGGCAGATCAAATGGTTTTTTTTTTTTTTTTTTGGATTTCTTGAATTTGAATCTTAAAACTAGAATTTTGATTCTTTTAAATACACCATATCGATGCAAGAAATTTAACTTTAAAATACAATATTTCTAGCTTTTCGTTATTATTTAGAAGGTTCAATTTGAAACAAGACTGTAAAAAATAAGCACATAATTGAAAAAGTAAGCTTAATTAGTTTGGATGTACAAAAGTTATGCTTAGTTGTAGTTTTTTTTTTAAAAAAAGAAAGTCACCATACTGTCCCATCATTTTTACGTTTTTTTTTTTTTTTAAAGACTTTTAAAAGCATTTACAAATCGAGTTTTAACGAATAGATCATTGGTTTGCTAATGTGAAGTAAAAAAATCATTAATTCTTGATTAAGACTGATTAAGGATTTATGTTCGTAATGCCTTACAATAGAGGATTTGTTGATTGATTAGCTAAAATAGGTCATGATTTTCAGTTAGGACTTCATATCAATTAAAGATAATTCCTCTAAAACTATTATTTCTTTGTTAGATTCTGATGCAATTAGGGTAGCTTTACCTCATATGAAATATATGTAATTGTTTTTTCTTCGAGCTACAGACTCTTTTCTCACGTATAAATAAATAAATAAAGTTTCAGTGGTTAGACGGTTTAACGGTTCATGCCTTTTATCAAATTTTTAAAAGTTCCTCTCTATATATACTTTAGGACGGTACGTATATATATAAATCATACCAATAATTTTATAAATCCTGCATGATCATGACTAAATGATATATGTTAAATTATGTAGTACTTTTATTCTTCCGCCACTCCACCTAAATTTTGTCCTAATTTAGTTCACGTTCATGAGACACTGCCGTAGTTAAACATTACCTTATTTTTATTTTTATTTATTGAAAATGTAGTTTTTAAACATTATTAATTTTCTTCCAAAAAGCAATATGTACGTTTTGACCTTTAATTACATCCAAAAAATCAATAAAAAAATAATTGCCACCACGTGCCGTTCAAATTGTGGATTCATATAAATTATCATCGTAATAGCCAAAATAATATTTATTAGGCAATTTGCCGTTTCTTTATATATATATATATATACTTTTTTAAAATGCCATGTGATTGTGATCTAGATCTAAACAAGTCAATTGATTCTTAAACAAAATCGATGTAATAACATAGTTTGCTCCCAAATTATTGGGATGGTGATGAATTAATTAAACAAATTCTATATTATCAATTTGAACTATTTGAACTTTAAAGTATTAATTTTTAGATAAATTTTATCCTTATTTGCTATGTTTGATAATCAAAATATTAATCGCTAACTGAAATACCTAAAATGACATGCCTTTAAGCATTTTAGTTTGTTTTTAGAATTAAAATTAATTTTGAAAAATAGATTAGTTTTAAAAAAGCTTAGGTGATTTGTTTTTTATAAATCTGAATTTTTTACTAAATAATTAATGCTATGCAATGAATACTTCTAGTTAAAAAAAAAATTAAAATTTTAGTTTTTCTTCTAAATTAATTTTAATTTTAAAAAAACTAAAAATACCTAAAACAACCACGTTTTAAGTATTAAGTATTTCAGTTAATATTTAATATTTTGACAATAGTATAGAATGATTAAATTATTCATATTTTAAAATTCAAATAACCCAAATTAAAACATTAAACCTAACAAAATAGTTTTTAGAAAGCAATCACTGAAAAATAAAAATAAAATAAAATGAGCACCATACTTATGTTAGAGAATTTAATAAGTATGTAATTGTGCAAAGTGCACTGATTGATGTGGGACCAAGAGGAAAAGTTAGCATTTTCCAATGCAGTGGGAAAAAGACAAGATAAAGTTCAATTTTTTGCACCCATGATTGAAAATTGAAAATCCTACACTTCCTGCATGAACATTGACCGTTGACTGTTCCTTTTTGTCATGGAGTCATATGTTGTCTAGGGAAGCAAGTCCAATAACAGGCGTACACTTATGTCTGGTTAGAAGTCAGGATGATTCTGCCTCTGTGGCTGTGTTTGTAGACTCTGGATGTAGCTGTACGATGGTTATAAATAAAAATACAAAGTGTTTTTACCAGAAGAACCCGTTAGTAGAAAAAGTTATACTCAGTTTTTTTTTTTTTGGAAAAAAAAACATAAAAGTTATTTCGTTAACATGCTAAGAAAAATTCCAAAACCTTTAAAATGTAGCTTAAAAAAAATATAATAATAACAATATATTGTCTAACGTGAGTCAAAACGGATTGGAATATTAGAGATTTTTCCCCTGCTGTTACATTTCATTAATTAATTTTTTAATTAAAAGTTTCATTATTTTTTTTAGTTTTATTCATGTGTTCTTATTTTATGTTAAAAATAAAAATAATTTTATTTGAAATAAAAACGATAATGAGTTCTCAACGAATATCACTTCATAATTCGAGTCTTATATATTTTAAAAAAATTATTTGAAAATCAGTTTCCTTACCATTGATGGTAAAATATTCACTACTTTACTCATCACATTAATTACATTTGATACAATCTAATTATTATAATTTTTATTAAATCTCGTTACTTGATATTTACAAAATTTTAATTTGTTGATTGAATAATAATTTTTTTTCCTTTTTAAGTTTTCTCGGATATCCTTAAAGTAATTTAACTATATGTTTAACAATATTTATTTTGGTTACGTAACTAAGTATTATCTACAATCTGAGATAATTAATATATAAAAAATAATTATTTTTTAAATATATAAAAAATATTTTATATATTATAATGCTATTTTCGAAGCAAAATACCAAAATGAGCCGTATCAAAACTTTTTGAACCAACTGAAAATCAGAAATGACTACCGAAAAGCATCCAACTTTCACTAAATTGGATTGTCGGTTGCCTTTCTAACCAAAATGCCGAATAACCCCACCTCAACTCTGGAGTCAAACGGGACGTTATGCATAAAGTACAATAAAGTCCATAAAGTTTAGCAAATGTTGTACTTCAGTTAGTCACTGAACTTTTGATTGCACCAATATCGTCCTAAAATTTTTGGATTGTAAATCAAACTAAATCCACCCTAGCATAGCAGCCATGTCCTACGACACCCAATGGCTCGACAGACCATTCAATGTACTTTTAGAAAACCAAAAAAGCAAACCTCAAATTAGTCCCCAAGACTACTCATCGATTCTCAAATGAAGCTTTAAACTAAAAATTTTTCAATTGAGTATCTCAAGTATCAGACATTTCTTAATCAAGCCCTTTCATCAGTGCTTGTTAATCTTTTTGAAGCTTTTTGTAAAATTGTAACGAATCTAGACAAGAAGACCCAATTAAGAAATGACTGATACATAGTAGGGATGAAATTGATAAAATTAATTTCTTTAAGATGAAATCAATAATCAGGTGATATGTTAGGGATGGAAACAAGGTCCCCAAAAAACTAACGAATCTTAGTTTAAGGTCATGACTTCCTCCCTGACATCACCAGCGCAGAAAATTAGACAGAGAACACTTTATAATTAAAATTATGCAGTATTTTCTTCAGTCCAATAATGTATGAACTGAAAGATTAAATTAAAGTTCATGAACAACACTTCCTTTTCATTTTTCTTAAGATGATAAGGTAACTCTTACATATCAGAACCTGAGTAACCATCGTAGAGACACATCACTTCCGACCAATTCGTAAAAGTTTTATGACTTATCAATGCTTTGTCTTAGCTCTTAACAAGTTTTAAGACTGTCCAAAAGCATATCCTAAAAGGAGGTCTTATGTTCCTATTTACAAGGAGTGGGTTGGGAATTTGGGTGGATGGCTAACCCAATTTTGTAGAGTCCAAAACCTGTTGGGCCTCCAGCCTTCTCTTCAACCCAAAAAACAAAATTTATCTCATTAGCATTTTCATTTTTGTTATCTTTTTCCTTTCAGTATCTTCACCTTTCCCTTTGTTTCTAGTGACGTCCCAAAGCAGAAAATAAAAGAGGTCAGGTACTTCGACCAAACCCACTGGCATAAATACTTATTGGCCCAAAATTGCAAAAACACCAAAAAGGAGGAGAAAAAAAGAAAAAAAAAAAAGGAAGGACAGACTTGTATGCATCTTGCTAGTTTTTTAGCCTTTTAGAATCTAGTAATTTGTCGTGCTGCTTTTGATGATTACTAGAATATCAATTTATAATTTGGACATAAAAATGCTACATTATATCAGAATATAAAATTTGTAGCTTTAAAAAATGTAATAATAAAAAGAAGACAGCCTCTAGACAGAATCTCTTTATTTTTAATTTTGTTTTTAAAAGGTTTTATTATCCTTTCTTGTCCTTCAATGTTTGGTTTTCGTCATTATTATACTATTTTGTTATTGTTTTGGGTAATAATATTATATAACCTTATTTTAGTTGCCTTTATTTTTTCTTTTTTCAAAATTCATTTTTATTTCCATTCATTAAAAAAAAATTGACACATGTCACAATTTTGTGAATTTAATGGTGAGATTTAACATTGAGAGATGAGATAAAAATAAAATAAAATAAAATAAAATAAAGAGATATTTTAAAGACAAAATCAAGAGTAGAGAAACAAGCATTAACCTCTCTTATGGTTCCTTAACTTGACTATTAACTAAATAAAGGTAAATAACAAGACAGAGACTCAGGACAGCAAGCAAAATGAGATTAAAAAAAAAAAAAAAAAAAAACCCCTCAATAACTTTGTTTGATTAAAAAATTAATTGGATGTACAACCGTTAGACAAAACCGCACACACCCACTAGACTAAACTAGTTTCGTCATAAACAACAAATGACATAATTATTCATTCATCTCTAGATCAAAGCACACTTGAATGTTTAACTAACGAAATTCTATAACGAGTGCAGAATAATACTCAATAACGAGAATAAAATATATTTCAAAAGGTGGTTCCAAATTACTCAAGGAAAAGACACTCTCGTTGACTGAAAGATTAAACATGGTGTGTCAAGCACCATCAAGAATAATCAGTTGCCATCTTGAAAGCGTCAAATTCTAAAGAGTTACGATCCCTTTCCACGGCCATGAGCAAACAGCCACGAGACTCCGGGAAGTACTTAATCTTACTTCAATGGATTTCGATCTGTGAGAACTCGATCGGTAGACATTGGCATTATATTCAAGCATCAAAGTAGAGGGAGGTCTGTGTTTGGAATTATCTTTGACTTCTTAGTAGTGGGATTAAAAACAAAATGCATGAGCCCACAAGCATCATCATCATCACTGCCACAGACCTACATCTAACAACACGATTCTCAGTTATGCCACAGCTAGAAGCTATTCTTTTATGCTCTTTATTGTCAGGTCTAACCAAGAATAAAGAATTGGCAAGAAATAACTCATTACAGCAACTTTTTTGTACTTTTAGTCTAAGCCCAGGAATATTGGGATAATCGAAGGATGGGGTTTTAGTGGACAGAGTCATTTGTTTATAGGAACAAGGTGGTAAGTTCCATCTGAACAGGATATGTTGTTGAACCAGACAGCAGTGAATGTTGGGTTTAGGATTTTCTGAAGGCGAGCATGGGAGATTCGGAATTTAGGATCAGAAATAAAAAACCATCGTTTTGACAGGCACGGACTCAAATTTAAGGAGTGATTTTGCAAGCAATCAAAGGTCTATGTTGCTTGCAGTTATTTCTACAGAGCTGCAAGAATTTGCTTCCTTGTCGCTCCTCATGTAAAATACGATTACTGGCAGTTACATAAATTGGATAGTGGGGATAAATCTCATATAAAATTCTAGAATTTGAGTAAAACGTCTTACAAAACATGAGGATTGATGGAACTTTACGTCCCCTTTTCATTTATCTCAACAATCTGTAGTTCGTAACATATCAGAATTTGACTAAGCATCATACTTGTCATGCTTTTGTTTCAGAGACGCTCAGTGTTTTTGTTCAAGACAGGAATTTTTTTTCTAAAAGTTTTTATGGGTCGAATGCTGGAACTTCACGGGAAGGAGAATGTAATGCACGATATATTGTTCGATCAATGATATTCCTATACGGATCCTCTTTTCGCTTCTCCAATAGATAGGCAATACTACGTTCAACTTCAGATTTTATCTGCAAATACAACTCATTTGCCTTTCCTTTTTCTTGCAGCATCTCTTTCATTCCCTTCGTTTCTATGGGCTTCCCAAACAGAAAATAAAAGCGGCCAGGTATCTTCGGCAAAACCACTGGCATAAATACTTCTTGGCTTGCAACCTCCCCTTTACTTTCATCCCTATGATCATATCATAAGCGTAAGTCAGCACACAATAAGTAAAAATGCATCTAATATATGAATTGATTCGCCATTTTTATTACGAGAGGAGAGTACCTACCTTACCGGTGTAGCCTTCCTAATAGTGTCTCTCACATAGTCATTTACTATAGGGATTTTCATCAAGTCATGGTAATCAAGAACCTGCTGCCATACTCAAAAAGCATAATCAGAAAATATTAAAAAAGAGAGAGAGAGAGAGAGAGAGAGAGAAGAGGGGGTGGGGGAGTTCATAATGAGCATGCATTTAGTTGCAAACTTAAATTCAAAAATGGAGGAGAACTACACAACTCATCTTGACTTATCCATGAACAATTCTGCTTTTAACACAGACAACGGCCAGCACCTAGAGGCCACATTGTGACCTATATATTTTGATCTTCCCTACAACTTTTTGGTGCATAAAGATGGCAGATTTTATACAATTGAACTAAAATCCATCCTAGGAGCCATGCCATGCAGTATTTTATTTTTTTAATTTTCCCTACAACTTTTAAGCTAATGGATATAACGGATTTTATATTATTAAACTGAAACTAATTCTATCTTCTATATAGGCAAATTAAGAACAGCTAATTTAGTGTCAGGCTAATTAGAAAAATTTAAAACGTAGAAATAGCAATGAAGAAGGAAGCATAAATATGAAGATGAAACAAAAATGCTTAAACTCATCAGAAGGAAAAAAATAGAAAAAAAAAACTCTAGAATTCAGAATCCAGAACTTTATCTGAGAGAAGGGGGAAAAACACACACACAGAGCTTACTTCCTGTATATCATCTTCTCCTACAGTCCCAAACGGTACAATTGTTGCCCCAAATCTTGCTGCCATTCTCACAAATTCTGGCTGATCAGGCCAAAATAACTTGTATTCTTCACCCTGGAAATTACAGTTACTCCATGACTAAGACGTACAAGACCTTTTGGCAATTATAAAGCAATAAATAACACATTCATGGAGAGTTATTTTATTATTGTTACTGTTATTTTGAAGAGGGAGGGAGAGGGGGGGGGGGGGGGGTTCTCCTTCTTGAGGGATATTAAAGGGAAACGAGACTACTAAATAGAGGTTAATACCTAATGGTCTAGTGGTTCATAACCGATGCTAGTTTCATTCAGCACAAATTTTAACAAGCAAATAAAGGATATTACAAGAAAACAGTATTACAATTAAAAAATTTTAGATTGGTGAAAACTCAAGCTTGTGAAGTTGTGCACTGTGTTATTTTGCAGTGCTTATTGGTGAAACCCAGTCAAACCTTCTTACTTCAGTCGTATAACCCCAACATTTGATCATGAGAGCTAAGTGGAAACTCTTTTGTCATAATTTCATCTCTACATAAACACATTACTGCACAGGAAATTTCTGTGAAGTCTTTCAATTCTAAACCTTAATTGCGTTAAAATTCTTAAAAATATGCCCCCTGCCATCTATAAAAGATTTTATCAACTAGAAAGAAGAAATAAATTAAAAAGGATGTAAGCAATCCATCCCCAAGAAATCACAAAAGTGCCAAACCAAATGACACAATGAATTCTCATGTTGAAATAACAAAGGTTGCTGCAAGATGTGTAAAAAAAAAAAAAAATTCAAATAAAACACAAGGGACACAAGCATGGTTTAAAAGCTTATGACTACACCAAAAGTCACTATACCGTAAAAATTCCCTGTTTGGAAATTTAATTACAAGAGCTTGAACATTAAAATTTATACGATCCAACAATCAATATACACATAAATTTGAGTTTTTTCTTGCTTTAGTTACTAAAAATGAAAAAAAAAAAGAAAAAAGAAAACAATTTTAAGGAAGTTTATGATAATTTAGAATGTGTGAAATATGCAGTGCTGGTGTAGCAGCAGTACCATCGTAAGATTCGAGGGGATGAAACGCCTGTCATTAAATTAGTGGAAATGTGGGAAAACAACGTAATGGCCGCTATTGAGGAGGCTGCTGTAAGAAGAAAAGTTATGAGAGGCATAGTAGAGGGGTCACAACTGGTGGTGGTGTTGCTACTGGAAATAAAGTTGGTCTAGCATGCTAGATGTGACAGTAGCAGTTATGGCGACAGCAGTAGCGAGATGGCAGCCTTGGCAATTATGGAAAGAGCATTCAAGCCACCTATCATATTTGAAGTGCTAAACAACCAGTCTACCACCCATGGTTACTAAATGGAGCTTTGTGAACATACAAAACTATGTCCAAAATTTCACATTAAGTTACTAGTTGAAATGAAATCAAGCAATTGTTTGATCATAGGGCAAGGACTAACAACACTTCTGAAGGAAACTTGTTGAAAATGAACACAAGGAACTTGGCATACCTTGAGATGCAGAGCCTCCCGTGTCCCTCCAGGATAAAGAAGCACATGCGATTTTGTTGAAAGCAATTTGAAAAGATTGTTTGCCGTGACAGGTACTGCACCCATTACTTTCATCCAATCATGTAAAGAAAACTCATTAGACGGATCATCAAACTTTCCTGAAAATACATCTGGATGTGCTACACCACGAATCCTAATTTTTTTCTGTGTCAAGAATTCTGCAACAAGGGAATAAATTTCATTTCCCATCAACATATGGTAACCAATTAATAATACAGGACCTTCATTTGGAACCCCAGCAAGACCTTTGACTATCTTTCCATCATCCAATGTTGAAAATACCGCGGATCCGGCAGTAAGGAGTAATGACCTGAAATGTAAGTGATTATAGCATCAGCTTAAGCCACATATGCATTTAGAACAGGATGCAACAAAACAAGCTGGTTAGGCTGCAATAAGAAAAGCCCAAACTGGGAGAGCTGAGCTGGATTTTTTAAACCAAAGACCTTCGCAGCCAAGCCAATCCCTTTGTGTCCATCAAATAACTCTGAACACAGTATGTGCTTCCTAACGATTTTATAGGTTTTTCATTTTCATCATTTTGGTTCCATTTTCTCATAAATTGAAATTGGGTTTGTCAGCTTCATAAAAACTACATGAAAAAATCTTCTCAAATATGCATATGAAAGTTTTAGCGTTGATGCGTAAGGACATGAATCACCTGATGAAGCAATGAATTTATTGCAGCTTTATGCTAGTATGTCTTTGAAAATTCAACCATAACAAAAATAAGAGGAAGGAAGAAGAAGATTTGATAACACTCTCAATTTTATAGACCAGATTTTCTAGGTAGCACCTTTCTTCTAGAATAGAATTTGCTCCTACTACAGAAGACATTAACTGATACCAACTTGAGATTCCAATCACCTAATTTTCTTGCAGGAACCAAATCTTCAAAACTACGAGAACCACAGTTCAGATAAGATCAAACATGAAAGACAAAGCAATGAAGCGTAAAGGGAGAGCAGTGGTACATAGGAAACAGTGAGGAGCGAGGGAGCTGTTCAGAGCAAATGGCAGATGGAGTATCAGAGTTGAATGGGCTGGGAAATCAAAATGTTTTACTGTCTAGCCTATGCATGCATAATGAGACATATGCTCTCACTCATCCAGGCCCCAGTTCAAGTCCCCCAAATCTGATACTAAAGAAAACCTTATCTCTCAATCATGGATCTAAATGAGAAAGATCATATTGCATTGTGGAGAAGTTTCCATGAAAAAGGTACATAGAACAAATTGCTTAGCTTAATACCCAGCCACTTCATCAGATGCACGTTTGACTTCCGACATGCTAGGTGGCAGAAAGTGCGAGACAAAATCAACCCTCCTTGAACGACGGTATTTGCTAGTACCTTTAATAATAGTAAGCAAATTAATGCCATCTTCCTGTACCATTGCACAGAGGGAAAAAAATAAAAAAAATTAAAAGGAATACAAGAAGATAAAACCAGTAATAAATACCTGCGGTGAAATAGAATTATATAATTAAAGCTTCATAGCACAAAATGCAAAACGGGGAAGTTAAGGATAAACCAAAAATGACAGCATATGCTAAAATGAGAGAGGAGCATTAAAGGCCCTCCCTTGCAAGCATGAAGTCCTTCAGTGCAGTTAATTGAAGTTTATGGTGATAAAAGACATGGCATAATAGAGCCATTCAATCCATTCTCCATGTAGGGAACAAAAGAACTGCTGTTGAACATGCTTAGTATTCATGTGCAAGTAAATACACCCAATGATTGAGCTTTGTTTCGTAATTAAGCTTGGTATCAAATTGGATCAGAACACAATGATCATAAAACAAGTGATAATCAGAGGATATCCATCACCATTCTTACTTCTATATTCTTATACATAGGAGATAATCTGCTGGCTCAAATTTTTAAAGTACAAAAAAAAAAAAAATGAAAATACTGATGGAAAGTGGTTAAATTTGAGGGCTTAAATTTTTAACTTTTTCAACTGTTTGGTTTCCTCCAAAGATGCGACCTAAGGATGGACACCATATCCAAAAGAAGAGGAACAACATTATAGGGTACTCTAGACTCCAGAAAAAATTAGAAACTGATCTAGGCACCATCAACACTGATTGAGGAAGGCATTGTTACCAATTATTTGGTCTGGTGACCAGGTTTCCTCTATGTTGTGGCCTCACAAGAATTAACACTCATTTGAAAAGAAAAAAAATAAATAATAATAATTAAAGATTTCAAGAGCTCAAAGGAATAGTTTTCGTTCCTCCCAGAAACAAAATCAATAAGTTTACATTAAAGATAACTAAAACAGAAGTAGCAGAGTTTCATTGGTTGAAATGATAATGCTGAGGCTTTGCTTAATAATTGATTAAGATGTTCAACAAAGTTAAGACACAAAGACACATCGAAAGACACACCCACGTTGTCTCTCACTCTTACCATTAACATGATATGCCCGTTGTCCTTGAAGTAACGAACTGTACAATTCTGTAATGAACTTTTAAGACGTTGAGCTTCATCTCTACTAGGAAGAACGTAATCCTTGCCACTAAAACAGAACATACCATCAAATGTTAACGTAATCCTTGCCACTACAACATAACATATCATCATTGAAAATTCAAGGGTGACTCCCAGCAGCATGATCACCATCTCAAAGAAATTAAGGCAGGAGAAAAAACATTGGTTAAAGAAAATCTACTTAATTTTCTACAAGATATCATGCCTTCTTAACTCAAATAGTTCATTGCAAAGCATCGCACACAGATGCACTACAGCAATCATTATCACATAAAGGTGCACAGAGTTTCTTACTCCGCGTTGATAAGTCTAGGCAAGTTTACAAGTATCCTGTAATTATTATTATTATTATTATTATTTATCAAGGAAAAGAACATTAAGCTGCTCCTCTTAAAGGTTTGCTAAGTAATTGAAGGCATGCAAGTGTTAGGAGGAAAGGATAGAATACACACGAAGAACCTATAGGATGCGTTGAGGAATGGAGAAAGGCAGTTTCCTTTCAGAGGCATACTTATGGTAACTAGTAGGAATCTTTATTAAAAACCTAATATGTGGGACACGGAGAGAGGCAAGGAGGAAGGAACAGCGAGAGATGGAGATAACTGCAACTCAAAAAAAAAAAAAAAAAAAAAAAAGCTCAATGTCTTGTTATATCTGGTATGCTAAATTAATTAAGCACATCATTTGTAACATCTAGGACAGAGAGAGAGAGAGAGAGAGGAAGGGACGAAGGAGGCAAGAGAGAAAGCCATTATATAGAAAGAATTAGCAGACAAGTTCTAAATACCTTTAGAAAAATCACTTGGCACTCCAACAAAATAGGAGCAATAAAATTTGAATGAAAAATGTGCAAAAGTACCACAGCAAGTATAGGAGAAAGAAAGACCTAACAAGTAGTAGCACTTCAGCTTTTACAGCATGAAGACGGGAATTAGCATAAGCAGCAGCTGATTTTAGCAGTTTCAACTTCCAAAGAAGGGTGTCCTTTGGAACGATAATAGCCACAGTCTGAAAATAAACACATGTTAACTCTTATAAAAATAATAATTAAAAGATCTAAAGAAAAGATAGATGTCTATGAGCTGAATGTGCATGAGCAATCAATTTATTTGCAATATAACAAAACAGAAGCCCTGTTTCTATGGAAATAATGCTACACAACACTGATTGTCTTTGTGACTGTGCAAGCTAGCACCATGGTAATGAAATTAACTTAGACCATAGAAATAGCTGGAGTGAGTCATAAAGGTCTGTGGTGAAAATTCAGTAACTCTGAGTAGAGCTAGTATGTGGTTGGTATATTCTTTGTAGAAGCATATTGCAGTAGCAAGTGGAATCAAATCAAATTCAGAGTGAAAAAGTAAAGTATATTGCAGCTAATTGAAATCTTATTGGAAGGGTCCGATATCATATGCAAGATAAGATCTTTGGCAAGTCCTTTGGGATATCAAAATAAGATATCAAATCTAAAGCATTCTTGAGTACAAATAAACCCCATGCTGGGTGTCTTCAATTTTCAATCCCATCTTAATAAAAGGAATCAAATCAATAAAAAAATTTGTCCTCTTTCATGCCAGGGGAGAGTAAAGAAGTTTTGTGGTCATAAGTTGCTATTCAAAACTTCAATCAGAGTGAGACTAAAAACAACAATTTTAAAAGTGAAGTAAGGTCAAGCAATGATCTCTTTTTTCCTGAGCCCTTACAGAAAAAGAATGTAGGAAAGCAATGAGATTGCGAGCAACTTGTTCAATTTGTAATCTAGGAGGAAGCCTGTATTCAATATCAACAATTGCCATCTTCAATGGATTACCTGGTTTGATGAAAGAAAAATTAGAAACACACAAGTGATTTCCCAGGTTTTGCTTAATAGAGTGAGTAAAGCTTATTGACAGTGCAAAAAATTGCACTTAATAAGGACAATTGAAGTTTACACATCTTTGACTGCAAAAGAGCTTATTAAAAAAGGTTGAATTTGATTAAAAATAATAACAAACAAACAGCCATCATTCATCATAAAAGATTTCATAACTAAAAGGGAGAGGATATCTCAGAACAAACTCAATAATACATTTGCACAGATAAACATATAACAAAGAATGTGGCATCAATTTCCATCTGTAATAAAAGTATGTCAGTCCGGAAACTCTCTCTCTGTCTCTCAGAAAAATCAACATCTATCTGAGGGTGCAGGTGCTGCATTCTTAAGATTACTTGATTAACTATAATGCTTACCCCTCTTGAAGATATGTTTATAATCAAAATGCCCTGAACTTAGTTTTAAAATCATGATAACAGCTTACTAAGGAGAAATCCAACAAGTGTGGTGTCTCAGAATTGATGTAAAATTCCATGACCAATATCCTTATAATTTTTGTAGCAAAGCTATTAACAACCAAATCTAATTATATAACAAAACTATATTAATGGAACAGAGAGCATTTTTTAGAGTAGTAACAACCAAATCTAATTATGTATAAAAAAGGAAAAAAAACCCATGAAAATTACAAAGCCAAAGATGATGTACCTATAACAAGGTTGAGAAGATAGGGGAGTGCATTATGCAATCCATCGGGCAAACCCTCCAAAATAGGAAGTATGGGTTGCAGATGAGACCTGCCAAATGATGTAGCTAAAAATAAAAAGCTAGAAATGTTAGACAACTTCAGAGAACATGAATAGAAGGTCACCAATTTAAAATTTGACAGAAGTTCTGAACAATTTCTGCATATCTGGAAACCCACCTGGATTGGATAATATTACTACGAGGTCAATTTTAGGATTACGAGCCGCAACAGCAAGTGCAAGACATCCTCCAAAAGAATCCCCGACAATATAAATTGGCTTATTTGGAGATGAGGCATGCTCAAGCCTCACAGTTTCTTCAACAAATTTCACCAGTCCTTCATGCAAGAAAATCATTTTAAGTTACCGATGGTTAGAAGAGTACATTCAAATAAGCATGCGCATTTCTGAACAACTATAAGATCCAACCATCACAATAAACCTTGCAAGAACCCCATTTGTACATAATAATTTCAGAGATTTAGGATAGATAAAATGGTGTTTACTTCATAGCCAAACAATTAAAACTCGTAATGGAAGAAAAGTAACAATTTGTTTTGGCACTGACAGGCATGTAAAGACTTAAAAAACATAAAGAGACTAAAGATCTTAAAAGCCAACCATTCTGTCTTGAACATCCTTCACAGTGACCTTTTTACTTACGACAGAAGAAGGTATCTTTCACAGAAGCAAGTTAGGAAACATAAGGGAATAGAAAGTTTACTTGGCTAGTTTCCCCTACTGAAATAAAAAAGTAGATTATCTTTCACTCAACAGTCACCAATCATCTCCGTTTGATATTACTTTATATTTGACTGAAATTCTTTTAAATCACCCATTAAAGGATGCATACTATGAGAATGAAATGGTTACATAAAAAAAAAGGTATTGAATGCTGCTTCTTCAGGATCATGTGCAGATAACAATGCAAGCAGTAAAATACATCTGCCATCGCATTACAGAAAAATTTTAAAAATCATGTTCAGCAGTCTAGTTTCACCAATTAGTTACTAATACACTTTCATGTGGATAATCAAATTGTCCTTAACATCTCTATCAAATGTCATGTTATTGGATTATCAAAGCAATGCCATTTTTGTTGAATAATCAAAGTGATTGAATTACTAAATGATTCAATAGTAAGACCTTCGAATGGTGTTCGATCGTACACTGGGATGTGAAGACACTGAACTTCAAAAACCCTGCAAAATCCAGCATTTAATTTACACTGGCTAGAACAACGAAAAATAAATAACATAAGTAGATTTTGAAACATTGGTAAATTAACCCAAGCAATTTCCATATGATGACCAGAAATCACACATGGACACAAGCATGCCACACTTGAGAATAAAAATAAGGAAAAAGATAGCAAAATATCCTGTAGCACATATGACTCTGGCCATTTCAATACATAGTTGGATTATGCATATGTGCGCATACAATTGTTACTGCCTTCACTACAAAACATGAAAGCAACAAAGCTAATGCAGTGCAAATAGTTATAAGTTTTAAAAGAGAATGGACATCCAGAAGTCACAACCACTCTGACAGAATTCTCAGCTGCAAAATGTCTCAAAGTGAAATAAAAGAATGTTGCATCTCAGAGTTGACCTGAATTTTCCAGGATGGCAGGAACTTATTTCAAGTTCCTAATATAATTTTTTTGTAGTCAAATTTGAAATTAAAGATTTAGAAGATGATTTCCACACTTACAATTGAGTTAATTTTTTTTTTTTACACATATTTTACAGCAGTGAAGGCTCAGACCATAAGAGTAGAAAAGGTGCCTTTCATGCCTGACTGGTTTAAGAACGAGTCTTACTCAAAAAGTTCTTGCAAATAATAACAGTAGAAATAACAGAACTTACTTCCCAAGGGCCTTATGGTGCAAAATAAGGCCCAAGCCAACACCATCCATCCCTGCGTGCATCAATGCAAAATAAATATAAACCTAGACGGCTCAAAGTTGAGAGCACAAAATATTGAATTAAGAAATAATGAAAAAAATAACTTCTGCAAAGCCTGTAGAGATACGGTAAGTAGAAAGGCAGTCTATTCATTAAAAAGTTTTCCCGATATGCATAAATTGTAGCAAATAAACTTTAACTTGAAGTTCACTACAGTGAGGAGATAGTTACCAGGCAAAAACAGAAGAATTGGAGAATCTTGCAGAGGTTGCCCACAATCAACAGGACAAAACCACCGAGGTGGCCCGCCATCGGGTTTAATCATCTCATTGGATCCATCAAGATAATCCTTCACAGTCTTGTTCCCATATCCGTCATCCCATAATACTTCCAAATCTTTTGAAACTACATCTTTCACCCTCTTTCTCTCAACTCTAGACTTTAGTCTCACGTTTACTCCATCAATCACGGCCCCACCCTTCTCTTTCTCTCCAGTGCCTCCATGGATAGGAGCCCTATTCTTCTCCCAATCACCAGAACAAGAAGCTGCACTCACAGCAATTGAATCAGATGACAACACTTCCAGATCAGGATCACCACCTAAACTTTGTAATCTTACTCGAAACCGAGGTTTAATCCGTGAATTTAATGCAATATAAGGTGATATCCGGAAAGTGACAACTGATTCCATGGCTTTGATACTGTACTGCATACTATTTTGACTTTCCAACTTGAAAATTCCTAAAAGAAAAATTTAGAACTAAATTGTATTTGAAAAAAAAAAAACTTGGGACACTTATCAAGTGCTTGCACTTAAAAGAGATGAAATTCAAAAAAACACTTTGGAAGGTTATCCAAATGACCAATTTGGATAAAATTTGGATTTTTTTTTCAAGCGCTAAACAGGAATAGAGAAAATTATGCCTCCTCTTCAAGTCCAATTGGGAACCGAAAAGAACTGCAATGGCAAAGGAAACTTATTACTGAAACAATCACACCCTTTAATTTACATGCAGTTCCAAACCCTTTTTAAAGATTCACCGAATGAAAACCAATTTCAAAGAATACCAAGCAATAATCGAGAGAAACTTTTATGTTTGTGTTCTAAAAACAAATAGCAGAATATGGACCAAAAGAAAACCCATAAGCAAACCAAAAGTTTAGCTTCTTGCACGTCTTTTTACATCAAAAGATAATTATATGCCGGCAATCAAATTCGGTGCCAATAACAAAATAAAACACGATGTGATATAATACTAACAAATACAAAGACAGGAATATTTGAAAGGAACTTGAGTCTTGGAGTTTACCTGCTTGTTTTTGTGTTGGTACATGCCATTTTCATGGAGGAAGGATGGTAACCAACTACAGTATCTTTGGCGGGGTTTTGGTTTCTTTTCTATAAACTTAGGAAATTTCTTCCATAACTTAGGGGGCACGCCACATGGGCAGGTATAGAACTAACATCGTACATGCGAAAAGACGCAAAATGTTTTCTTATCATCTGGGCCAAATCAAAGTCGGCTACGCTTGCTGATTCGCTCTTTGGGCCCATTTCACAATGCAAAAAAGGAAAAGGTTTTTACTTTCACTTCTTCTGCGCGTCAAGTGCCACAGGCAACTACAGTAGTGTTATGCCTAATATTTAAATTTCTTAAGTGGAGGATATGGTTATGCTTTTTAATCGTTAGGAGAAAAATGAATAGTTAAAAATAACGAAGAAAAAAAGACATGATCAAGATAATGACAAAACATGAAGCATTGTAGTAAAAGAATAGAAAGTTACAATAGCATATGGAGTATTATCAAAGATCAGGAACACTGTAAAAATCATGAAGGTGTCAAAAGTCTATAAATATAAGCTACAATAAAAGAAGAAGGACACGTGTAAAAATCAACAATCAACTCAGTAACATTTGCAAAAAGCAAGCACTATCTCAAGCTTTAGTACTTTTCAAACTTATTAGGTTGTAGATTATAGGCAATAGTTGATAGGTAGTAATCAAAGTAGGCTAATAAATTTGTAAGCTGATAGATTTGTTCTCTAGTACTATATTGTCATTGCAACTCGTGTTTATAATCCTTAAGAATTGAATTCCAACTCAAATGTTATATATAAATATAAGCATCATTTCTCATTATTGAATGAAAGTTTCTTTTAAACTTTTAGTATTATTTTATCATTTGTTTCAAAGCCCTCTTAATTGAGGCAAGTATACAAAAAAAACTAATAATATTTTTTTTGAAGACCACAATGGGAGTGCCAATCATATTTTTGATATGACATCAAATTATCAAGGCTTTAATAAAAGAAACAAATCACTTCAAAAAATGTCAACTTTTGAGACTCTTTATCTAAGCAATTCTCTAAAAGAGGATTATAGTGATTAGAATCAAATTTATAGTAGAAAAAAAGAGTCATTCCATAAGATGTTAACTTATGGAGCTCGAAAGATATCAAAACAAGAAGATTATGATATTCTTAAGCTATTGACAATAGAAAAACGACATAATCTACTAGAAGAAAGGTTTTAAAAGGCATGTAAAGAGATAGACATCAAACATTAGGCCATAGCTTAACAAATAAAGGAGCAACATAAGCTAAAAATAGAAGCAATACAAAATCACTACAAGGAATTAAAGTTGGTTAACAACAAAACAACTTTGCTTGCAAAGGCATGTAGTGACTTCTATAAGACTCGTATGAGATTGTGATAGAAGATATAATTCATCATTTAGATCTAAACCCCTATACATAAAGATTTTAAGTTATTAAAGAAGTTAGTCACCCTATAAAAAACTCTCTACGAGATCTAGATATTGATCGTATAAAGGTCGAGGCTCCAATTGTAGGTTTATAGATATTTATTTTGTAGGGGCCGAAAGCTCCAATTACAAGTCTCTAGATCCTAATTTTGCGAGGGCTCTAATTACAAGTTTGTAGATATTAATTTTGCCAAGACTAGAAGCTGTAAGTACAATAGACTTTATAAAGACTAGAGGCTACAATTGCATATCCGTATATATAGACTATGTAAAAACTAGAAGCTCCAATTACAAGTCTACGGATACAAACTATATAGGAAATATAAACTCCAATTGTATGTTTGCAAATACGGACTCTACAAGGATTGGAAGCTCCAATTACAAGTTTGCAGGTATTGATTTTATAGAAATTAGAAATCGTAATTATAGGTATGTAGAAACTAGAAACTATAATTATAAAATTGCAAATGAAAGACTTAGAGGAGAAAACCATAAACCCTTATAACCTGACCCTAAATAAATTTTTGGGACTATGAGACAAGAGTATGGACTTAGGATGCAACGGTTCACAATATGAATTCTAACATAGTTTTTGACGTCACCATAAATAATTATTATCAAAGCATTACAAATATAAATGCATTTCAAGGTCTTAAAAAAAGATTTAGATTTAGATTATGAAAATAAGGCTTCAGAAGAATTCTATATTTGGGTCTTGGAATCATGATGAATGATCATGATACATATATTATACAGGTGGAATCATCTAGAAATATAGATCTGAATTAGATTTAGTTATCTCATTTTTATGTGCTGCTCGATTTTTTTTTTTTTTTAATTACTAGCTTAAATATTATATCAGATTTAGCTACATTTTACTAAGTTTAAGGCTCTTTTTTCTGGGAAGCAAGTTTGGCCATTACAGTATGTAATCCATTCTCTCATGCAGGTGCAGCCACTGGGGATGCATCTACTCGTTGTACAAGCCATGTATTTATTGCACTAGCTGAATACATTTTTTTCCCATCATAAACAAATTTTGTTTTGGTAATATGCCATGAAGCAGCATTTAAAAATATAGTGTAAAATGTAATTTATAAAAAAATGAGGTGCAAAATGTTACCACTCTCAAAGTATAAGATGTTTAGAGTAATTTATCTGTAGAAATTAAAAAGTAGAGGAGAACAAAATGATACGTTTATAAATTATAATAAAAACGTCATTAGTTACTTGGGATTTTCCTATGATAGGCATCATATTGAAGCCGATTCAATTCTTGGAAAAATATTAATTGAATAAAAAACACATAAAAAGATAATGGAAAACAAAAATGAATCCCAAAACCTTAAAATGGACTTTTAACTAACCTAATTAACAAAAGATATCATTAGGCTCAAACTGTAGCTAACATTAATACTAGCAGCTGTCAATTAATCTTGGTATCAGTATTGCTGCTTCCAAATGCACAGTCTCTGCAACCTTCTCCATCATTGATGTTAACGAGCACAAAACATAGTTCCTCGTTAATCTACAAAACACTAAAAGATTTGGAAAAATTACCATTTATGTTACTATTCAATCACATTCAACGCACTATTCATTCCAACTCATGTGTACTGTTTATTTTTGTAATTTTTGAATTGTTTTCAAACATTTATACACAAGTTTTAGTCAATGTTACATTTTGGTCATTTACGTTTCTGAAAGAATTATTTTCATCTCTAATTTTATTTATATTGCATTTTGATCCCTATATTTTTTTCTAGAACTTTTTTTTTATTGTTTTTTTATCATAGATTTTGTGCTAAATTTATGAAAAGATAATCATTATTGTTTTTGGTTTTTTATACAACCTGGTGATGAAAAAATATGATTTTTTCGATTTGTTATTTCTGATTTTTGCTTTTAGATTTTAGGATGATTTCTTGGATTTGGCATTTTTATGAAAACATCCAATTAATTTCTTATTTTATTTTTTATATAATTTTATTTGTTAAGAAAATATGATTTATTTTTCTCTTTTTATGGGCTTTAAATAAAATTTTTGAATGTGATTATTTTTTAAAAATAAATTAATATAATTTATATGAAGAGTTCTTATGATTTTTAAACGAGAGCAACACATATATATATTATGGAAAAAATATTAAGATTTTTTTAAGAATTTTGGATTCAATTTTCTATTTAGATTGTTACATGTTTTCATTTAAGAATTAATATATGCAAAAGAACACATTATATTTTTTCAGTTGAAAATTTATAAAAAGCATAAAAAAGAATCAATTAAATATAAGATGTTGATTAAAAAATTATTAAATTTATTTTTTTATTTGATATATTTTAATAAATCCGTAACGTAGAGTTTCGGATTAAAATAATTTAATTCTATTAGACTCACAGCGTAGCACGAGCAACAAACTAGCTGCTTCTAAAGGAATAAATCTACAAAAAAAATCATTTTTTTCTGGAGCACTTCCATATTTCTTTTTACAACTCTGTTCCAGCATGTAGTTAACATGCAGGAGCTGCTCTTCTTAATGTCCCACTTCCTCAATCTCATTGTTTCAACAATAATATCACTACCCACCAGATCAAACAGCTTCACCTCGATGCCTTGATAAGATTTTTTTAATTTGGATTTCGACAATTTGTTTTTCCTCCTCATCATTCAGAAACTCTTGAAAATCTGATTTTTAGGTATTGATAAACGATCATGGTGCCTGATCATATCAGTTGGAAGCAATCTTTACGTTATTCTCAACTTTAAATCCTTGTCAATAACCTCTTGCCATGACATCCAGAATTCTTGCAATCGGACTTCTTCAAGTCTGTCTTTTCAGACTTTGTTTTTTTTTTGGTCAACCTTTTAATACCCGTTTCTTTCTCACCTATTATTCTTTTGGGTTTAGAGATTTAGTATTTCTCACCACAAAAAAAAAAAAAAAGAAGGAAATTTTAATTATTTAATATTTCTTTTTGTTCTATTTTCAAATTTTGGTTTTCATTTTTTATGAATAGTGGATCCCACGGTAAGGACGAGACGTGTCCATTTAACGGACACATCATTAACGATTAAATAAATTTTAAGGGAGACACTTAATTGAACAAAATTAGAGGTATAAACACTCAAATAGAAGAAATAAAAGTAAAGACACCTAATTGGAAAAAAAAAAAACAAAGATACAAACACTCGAATAGAAAAATCAAAGTAGACATACTTGATTAGAAAATTTGTATAAGTAGAGGCACCAAAATTTTCATTATCTCATGTATAGGAAAACGTACGCTCAGTAGAGGGAGGGAAGAAAATAGAGTCCATGGAGGGAATGATGGGGCTCGGGGAAATGGGAGTTGGGAAGCGTAGGCATTAGAATTCAGAGGTGCTTGAGTAGCCATGTGCAGTATAACAGTACCAGGAAGATCCACGAATGCTTCCTGCCCAAAAGAGAAGCTTGCTTGAGACGTTGAAAGCCTGAGGCTATTCTGTTGCAAGCTCAGAGATTGATCTCCCTGCAAGAAATTTGATCCTTTCACAGTTTCACAAGCATTTCCATGGAGATCCTGACTTTAGCTTCACAACATTGCTGATAGTAAATGGTAGAAGAAATGCTGGTTTCTCCTCTTAGGAAAGCGAGCAGGCAAGTTCTAAAAAGTTTTCATCACGACATGCAAGATTTGAACCTTTGAAGATTTGTAAGCATCTTGTTTCCCTTTTAGCGAAGTTTGATTGTAGCTTCAGAAGTTCTATAATTTTTTGTCAAACTAAAGTTTTTTAGTAATGGAAGTTTGTAAATTGATGACCAATCACTGCTTTAACAGATCTGATAACATGGTAGCTAGTTTTTTTCAATAGAATTACACTCGTTTCTCTTGCACCAGCGTCAACAATTTGGATGGCAAGACAACTTTCTCATTCTTTTCAACTATGACCAGTGGAAGCTGATGAATCACCACAGTTTCAGTCGCATACTTATTTACAAGATTCATTGCCTAAGGTTCAAACGAAGGAACATTACTCAAAGGAGAATGCAATGCCTGATATATTGTTCTATCAATGAGACTCCTATAAGGATCCTCCTCTCTTTTCTTCAACAAATATGCTATGTTGTTTTCAACTTCAGATTTTATGTGCAAGTACAATTGGTTTGCATTTTCTTTGTCTTTCAGCATCTCTTCCATCCCCTTTGTCTGTATGGGCTTCCCAAATAGATAGTAAAACCGACCTGGTAACTTAGGCAAAACCCCCGGTATGTACACAGGTTGGTTGGCTACCTCCCCTTTGCTACTGTCCCTGTAAAGGAAAACCGTATTGTTTTGTCAGTACGGGCAAAAATGTATATTAGTAGAGGTGATTAGTCATTAGCGTACTTCTAAGTTCTTGTAGTTAATGTGCTCCAATTCATCCAAATTGATAACAGGATGGACGAAAAATTGGCCACAAAATCTTCCATCCAACTCTGTTGTCTTGTTAGACAAAGAGGGGCACATCTTAGCAATATGACGTCTCAACCGTAGGTTTAAATAACAGTCGTTATGTTATGTAATGACAGTTATATAATGATTTCGGAGCATCCTGTTACTGTTATTTTAGTATTGCAATAAGCCACGATCCACAATAGCAACTGCGATCATTTTTTCAACTGTCCATGATTAAAAACTATGCTCTCTGAGGAATCATTGCATGTTTAAGTTTTAAAATTTTGAAGACGAACATTATGGAATTTATGGGAATCGAATGAATTATCCACTGAAAGGCATTTAACAGTATAAAATTCTAATGGGAGACGCAAGTAAATATTGTTGCATGGAGAGTAATCACCTTATTTTTGTGGCTTTATTATTAACCTCTCTGATATAGTCGCTAACTACAGGGATTTTCATCATGTCATGATAATCCAGAACCAACTGCCACATTCAAAAAACAGAATTAAAAAGAAAAAGAAAAAAACAGTAAAAGTATAATGAACCTAAATTTAATTGTAACAATTAAAAGGAAAGAGCAAAGAAAAAGGATGCAGATTTCAAAAGATAGCAAACTTTTTATGCCAAAGAGAAAAAATATTTGGACCATCAAAAACAGGATCTAGAAGTATAACATGTGAAATTTTTTGGAAAAGAAGAAAGAGCACAAGCTTACATGTGTTAAATCATCTTCTCCTACAGTTCCAAATGGTACAATTGTGGCCCCAAACCTTGCTGCAATTCTGACAAATTCTTGTTGATCAGGCCAAAATAACTTGTATTCCTCACCCTGCAGCAGAATCACAAAGTAACTGAAAGGAACCAAACTATTGAAAAAGAAATAAAAAGGCCACAATAACTTGTATTTCTCGTTAGAAATGAGTAAGAGTATTAAAGCTTAAAATGCATAAATGTTAATACCAGTAAAACGTTGAATACAAGAAATAAAATTTGGATCGGTGAAGATTTGAATTTATGCAGTGTGTGATCATGCAGTGCTGCTGTGAAACTCAGTTAAACATTTACTACTTTATTCATTAACTCCAGTAGCTAAAACTGCAACGGAGTTCAAACTAGTAAGACGAAGAGTTCAAGTCTTGGCATCTCTACAAATCTTGAATCAATAACCAAGATAGTTGCATTTCTGTTCTTTTGTCTCAGTTACTCAACAAACAAATTTCTTAAACACTACGGGAAAGTTTGTTATGCTTATAACATGTAAATACGTTGTGTTGGTGGTGGTGATCGTACCACTATAAAATTGAGGGCAAAAATGCCTCTTATGGCGACGGTGGAGATAAGGCAAGGACAAAAGCAATGAACCTCAATTGAAGGCGTTGTTGCGAGAAAAGTTGCCATTGGCAAAAATAGTGGGATGACAATGACAGTGGTGACTGTTGTTTTGCCATTGGCAATAAGGCAGCCTAGGCACCGCTTCAGGTGACGGTGGAAGTGATGATAATGATTGTGGCAAGGTGGAAACATGAGGATTAATTGTGGCAAGATCATCTCAAGTCACCATGAATGCATGAGGTGATAAACTACAAATCCACTAACCATAGCTGCAAAATGGTGGTGTTACTGTAAATAATCCGTGTGTTAGTGTCTTCTCTTTTGAACAATGAAATCAAGTAGATATTTGATAAAAAAATTTAAGAAAAACCTACTATTCCAAAGGAAACTTATTGAACTGGAAAAACTCAGCATACCTTGTTATGCAGAGATTCTCGAGCACCCCCAGGATAAAGAAGCACATGCGACTTTGTCGACAGCAATTTGAAAAAATTGCTTGCTGTGCCAGCTACCGTTCCCAACACTCTAATCCAATCAGCATAAGCAAATTCATTAGATAAACTCTCCAGCTTTCCTGTATATAGGTCGGGATGCCCTATACCACGAAGCATAATATTCTTCTCTCTCAAGAATCCTTCAGCAAGGGGATAAATGTCAAATGCCATCAGCATGTGGTAACCAACTAATAAAACTGGACCTTCATTTGGAACCCCAGCAAGACCTCTCACTATCTTTCCATCTTTCAGAGTTGAGAACATAGTGGAACCAGCAGCTAAAAGTAACAACCTGATGTTTCGTGCGATTGTAATATCAGCTTGATTGTGAAATCAGCAAATTCATGATAGAAATATAGAATGCAACACTGAAACTGAAAGAAGCTGGACAGGCTGCACGCATGCAGACAATTCCCGAACTCAGAGAAATGAACTGGGGCTTTACAACAATTTCCTTTATAGAGTCCACCTAATCCTCATTTGTCGATCAAAGATAAGTCCTATTGATTGCAGAATATAATTTGCAGAAAGGGAAGTAAGAAATCAACAAATTTCTAGATTCCAATCAAACAAGTTTCTTGCAGTACCAAATCTTTATGAAAGCCAACAGAACCAAGGTTGAAGTGGATGATAGAGGCATGGAGAATAGGAACTATACAAAGCAAATTTACAGAGAGAACAGTTGACTGAATGTTAGAAAAGGTGGCGCTGTGTAAATGAAAATGTTCAACAATCATAAATATCATTATTTAAGTTATTAAAACTGTAGCTAGGGTATGATTAAAGTGATGGTCTCCTTCTGAAGACAAACTTAAGTCTTATTTCTGTCAAAGCTAGAACAAGTTGCATCACAAGAAGCATGGATTAAGAAACTATGCATGACAATTGCTCAGCTGAATTACCTATATGCTTCTTCAAAGAACGATTTAAATTCTGATGTGCTAAGTGGCAGATAGTCTGAGACAAAATCGAACTGCTTTGAAAGGCGGTATTTGCTAGTACCTTTAATAACAGTGAGCAAACCAACACCATCTTCCTGCACCATGACAGAAAATAAATAAATAAAATATGCATGCAAAAATAAGTAAATTTATAATCTTAGTGAAATAGTATCAAAGAATGGAACCTTGATTTACTTATCAAATGAAGAAGATATGGGAACAACAAATGTGCTTAGCCTAACATTTGAAACATGAACAAGAAAGAGTGAGAAGCATCAAAGGCCTTAAATATAACCAAAGCCTTAGGGGTTCCTCTATCTTTCATTGGGTCTTAATCGACAAATGTCGTTGGGTGGCTTAAAGGTAGTTCAGGCTGACCATGGAAATTCTTTCAGGGCATTCTGATTATGTCTTTTTTATCCAAGATGTTCCAATCTATAGATTTTGTCTACACTCCTTGAGAAACCAAAATGTTTGCAGGTCATCTCTCACTTGCCTCGTAGCTTGGCTCTAGATGGTTTCATCAGCAATAGTCTGTGTTTAGGTTGTCATTGGAGTTCCTCTCACTGAGTTCAGGTTAGGGAGGAGCCTTTGATTGTGGTATCCAGAAGTTCTCTGCTTTTGCTTACTAGTTCCAGAGAATATTCTATCATTATGTGATGGATTATTAAAATAAATAAACAAATAAAGTTGATTGATGCAGCAAATGAAGATTTGACAGAATGCTACTTAACAGCAACAGCATAAACAAGCTACATTTGGCCTTTGATCTCAATGTTTTAAAAAATTTTGTTTCAGAAATAAACCTGGTCCTTTTTTGTGATCACAAAAGAAATAAATAAGCAAAAAAAGTAAAAAGATGTTCTTCAATCCTGCTATACCCGTCATATCTTCATACCTAACATTCTTCAGAGATAACCCAATGCTTCAATTCTGAGAGAACAGAAAAATTGGTGGGAAGTGCTTGAAATATAATATTCTCAGTATCTTTACTTTTATTTTATTTTATTGTTTTGGTTCCCTCAAGTATGGGTGTCTAAATATTAATACTACATTTAAAAAAATGGAATAAAATATATGAATTCTAAACACATCCAGAAATGGGTTGTGGGCACCATCAAATCAACAAGGAATTCAAAAAAAAAAAAAAAAAATTATGTGACCAGGAGTTCCTCTGATTTTAAAGAGCTCAGAAAGAATCAAGAAGCAACATGCAATACTTAAGATGCCTTGCACAAGCATTCATACACAAGCACGGATCGCCAATTTTTCTCACATACCAAGAAAATGGCATGTCCATTGTCCTTGAAGTTACGAACTGTGCAATTCTGTAACAAACTTTTAAGACGTTTAGCTTCATCTCTGCTAGGAAGCAGGTAATCCTTCTCACTACAACACAAATACACCATCAAACCATAGCATTTCATCAACATTTATAGATTCACAATTAGCTTGCTTACAGAACCTCAACGAAATCGGGCATGAGAAGAATAATATCAGAGTCCACTGCAGAGCATTTTATGTAATTGTGCTACACAATTATTAACACATCGATATCACATAGTTGAGTAAACTCTTTTCCTAAACATGAAGTTAATACTCAGAGTGGGACTATAGCAATTTAGAGAAAAAGAAAATACAAAATAAATCTAACAAAAGTTACCCTGCCTTTCATGATTTAATGAGTATCAAGATGCACATAAGGGTTTGGAGGAAAGAATAGATGAGAAGAATCTTCGCAAGTTCATCAAGGCAGTATGGTTTAAGGTGTCTTGTATACATGTATGAAGCCAGTATCTTCTGGCTATGGACCACTCCAGAGAGTAAGAGAGGAAGAGAAAGATAACTACACTAGTGGGAAATGAACATAGCATGGTAGATTCACCCTGTTGCTGCAGTTTTAACAAACCTGGATAAATTATTCCTAACAATTGATCCCTTGTTGCTGCAGTTTCAACAAACCTGGAAAGATTATTCCTAACAATTGACACCTTCTGTAAATCAATTAAGGCTTAAATTGACCATCGACATTATTTCCTTCTAAAACAGAAATCATAAACATCTAGCATAGAACAACAGCATGATCAGTAAAATCATAATGTAGAAGAACAAGTAGATGAGTTCCAGAGACATTTTAGAAACAACAATAGATATCCAAAAGGAGCAGCAATAAATTGCGCTTGAAAATGTGCAAAAAAAAAAAAAACCGTAGTAAGTATAGGAAGAGTAAAGACCTGGCAAGTAGTAACACTTCAGCTTTCACTGTATGAAGACAAGCGTTAACATAATCAGCAGCTGATCTAAGCAGTTTCAACTTCCAAATAAGAGTGTCCTTTGGAATGATGTCAGGCACAACCTGAAAATTAACATATTAATTCCTAAATATCCCTAGCATAAAAAAGATATATAAGTGACATGCTGAATGAAATGGAGAATCAAAATAGATGGCCTGGGTCATCTATCATATCCGTGCATCCAAGCTAGCGTCAAAGTAAATAATTGAGTAAACTCAAGCAGAACTAGTATGTGGTTGCTATTTTCTGAGTAAAGCATATAGCAGCAGTAGATAGTCCCAAATTCCCAATAAAGTTCAGAGTGAAACGGCAAAGCATATTGCATCTAATTGATATCTTAATAAAAGGTTACAGAAAATTTATTGACTATTGTGATCCAGTAGAATAGAAGTTCTATATCCGCAATTTTGTGCATTATATAGGATTATCATGATCTGATATTAACAATGAGAAGCTCTTCATTTTTCAGCATATATTTTGTGGGATATAAAAGCATAAAATATTTGAATAGGAAATAAAGAATGCAGAATGAATTCTTCAAAAAAAAAAAAAAAAAAAAAAAAAAAAAAAAACCTGAATAAGATGAGTAAATTATAAATGAGTCCCTCTAGTTTCAAGAAATGCATTAATTAATCCCTCTCGTTTTAAAAACTATTATTTAGTTCTTTGATAAGTGTTGACCATGCCTAATTTAATATTATTTTTATTCCAAAAAATGTCTTCTTTTCTCATAAATCTTTCCATAGTTTTTTTTTTTCTTTTTTCTATTTCTTAAAACAAAAAATCAAAATAAATTTAAAACATAAGGAATAAATAATAATTTTTGAAATAAGAGGGACAGATTAATTTGTTTCTCAAAACGAAAGGGACTAATTTATAATTTACTCTGAAAAAGACCAAAACCAATTAAAAAAAAAAAAAAGGGAACGTGATCAGGAGCGCAAAGGCTAAGCATTACTCAGTTCATTTCTTACAGAGAGACTATGTAGCAAAGATCTGAGATTTTGGTAAAATTTTCCAATTTTCAATCTAGAAGGAAGCCTATCTTCAGTGTTGACCATTGCCATCTTCACTGGATTACCTGGTGTCATGAAAAAACTAATAAAAAATCAGCCACACTAAAGCCACTACCAAAACAACTTGAAAGCGCAGAAAGTGGCTTAATAATAGCAGAGCAGTAGGAAAAGTAGTCATGATTATATTTGTAACTACTGTAAAGAGAGCAAAGAGATCCGTGCGACTTTACGAAGACTAGCAGAACAAAAAGAAACGAAAAGAAAAGACACTTCAAAACAATCAGTTTATCTACAAATCTGGCTAAGGAATCATTTATGTTGGCCCAAAAAACATCAGAAGTATGTTCAAGGATTAACCACAGAATCTGCTCATACAAAAAATGAAAAATACAAAAAAGGAATGTTACAAAGCAACAGATCATGTACCCGTAAGAGGGCTAAGAAGAGAGAGGAGCCCGTTGTGCAACTGATCAGGCACAGCCTCCAAAATAGGGAGAAAGGACTGCAGGTGTGACCTGCCAAATGATGTAGCTAAAAACAAAATAATAAAACGTCAGACCACCTCAGTTAAGATCAACCAAACGTCAACGAATCAAAGTTCATCAAGAACGAGAGATGCAGAAGTTACTGCATATCTGGAAACAGACCTGGATTGGCTACTATTAGTACAAGGTCAACTTCAGGATTGCGAGCAGCAACAGCAAGTGCTAGACATCCTCCAATGGATTCACCCACTAGGTATATTGGCTTATTAGGAGACGAGGCATGCTCGATCCTCACAGTTTCTTCGACAAGTTTCACCAGCCCTTCATGTCATAAAATCCTGTTACGTTGTTGATAAATAATAATGATTTACTAATAGAGGAGCTTTACAGAATGCATGTCCGGGCAAAATAAATTATTGAAGGTCACGCATGATTGTTCACAGGTCCGTGCAAATTTTACTTAGTTTATCTTATTTGGGTATCCAGTTTGCTATAGGTTTTGCTCAATAGCCACCATTTATCAACCTTTCAAACTCTCTCACCTATTCTAGCATGATCACCACCATGGGAGAATGCTACTATTAGCATCATTATAAATGAATTATTGAAAATAATTAAGCATTCACAAATGAAAAATACGAGCAATAAAATAATCCACCAGCACATTGCTTCTAAAATGAAAAATACAAGTGTTTATTAAAGAATTTCGTTTCACCAATGAGATGCTAATAGTACTTTCACATGGGTAATCATATTATCATGAATTACTTCAGCTCAAATTGTCATTTTTCTGAATTATTAACAGAAATGAATTACTAAATCATTCAAGAAAATACAGTCTGATGATCTAGAAGTTCTGAAAGATGAAGACCTTCAAATGGTGTTCGATCATACACTGGTATATGAAGGCATCGAACTTCAAATACCCTGCACTTGCAAAAATTTCATGGTATAATTCATTTATTTAACTAAGATGAAATAACAGAAATTGCAAGAACAGAGATTGGCAAATAGTTTTTGAAACATTGGCATATGACAAAAAGTTTCGACACAAAGCCAGAAATCACACATGGACAAAAAAATTCCACAAATAAGAAAAAAAATGGGGTTAAAACAAAGCAAACGATCTTGAATTGAAATCTTGATAGCTTATTTGACTGTAGCTGTACATCATACATTTATACAAAGTTGTAAACATGCAATTGATTGGCTTCAATACCAAATATGAATGCCATAACTCTGAAGCAGCTCAAACAAGTACAAAAAATGGACATGGAGAAGCCCTACCACCTCTCTAACGTGAATTTCAGTCAGAAAATGATTTAATGGCAATAAAACTACAAGAACAGGTTAAGACCATTATTTGAGAGCACAGTCAAAAGAATTTTGGGATTGTGGACGACTCTTTCAGGTTCCAATGGAGGAAAGACTTTGACCAACGAGTTTGAGAATGAGGCTTAGTTGAGTTCAGTTTTTATTAATTATGAGCAACGAAGTTAACGCAGCTTGAGTTTCTTTTCCCCCTTTATGAAGGTAGATATAACAGAAACTTACTTTCCAAGAGCTTTATGGTTCAAAGTAAGGCCCAAGCCAACACCATCAACCCCTGCACACATCAATTGCAAGAGAATCATTCAGTTGAATTAACAGAACACTCCCATTAAATCAAGCATTGAAGAGAAAAATAACTTCCATTAACTAGAAAGCCAGTCCATCTATGAATATGTGCTTCTCATTTGCAAAACTTCTAACAAATTAGGTAAAGTCTATCTGAACAAGGCAATAATTACCAGGCAAAAACAGAAGAACTGGAGAATTTTTCAGAGGTTTCCCACACTCAGTGGGGCAAAACCACCGCGGCGGGCCACCATCAGGCCTAATCATCTCCTTGGCTCCATCAAAATAATCCTTGATGGTCTTGGTCCCATACCCATCATCCCACAATGGTTCCAGATCTCTTGAACCAAAATCTTTAACCCACTTTTTTGGCTCAATTGAAGACTTCACCTTGCCATTCTTTCCATCAACAAGAGCCTCACTCTTCACTTTCTCCTCAATGCCTCTATCAATCAAAGCCCCATTCTTCTTTCCATTGACTGCAATCGAATCAAATGACAATATTGTTGAATCAAAACTGCCTGAACTTCGAACTCTCACTTGAAACCGGGGCTTAATATCTGAATTTAAACCAAAACAAGGCAGTATCCCAGATGTAGCAAATGATGCCATTGATTGTATAGCCAATGGCAGAGATTGTTTACAGTCTTCACAAATTCCCAAAAGAACAACTTTGAACTATAATTTACTATTATGCTTTGCAACTAGTTTCAGTCGAAAGTAAAAAAGTCTGACAAAACAAGTTTGGAATGTTGAACAATCACCCTCTCACATACAACTTCCAAGTTCAAGATTCACCAATTGGACTCCTTGGGACTTTTTCTCAAGTATACAGGCAACAACTAACTCAGGCTATGGACCATTTTCAGCTGCAATGACAAAATACACTTGCTTCTAGAAAAAAACTCCTAAATCCATAACCAATCACAGCTTTTTAAGATGTACACTTCTTCAAGACTCACAGATTGAACAACTTAGAAACAATTTCAACAATCAAGAAGGAATAAAGAACCTTTCTTTTTCGATAGTGATAAAAGCAAACAGAATACTAATCAAGATTCCATTTTGAAGCAAACCCAGAAGTCAAAATCAAGCGTATAGCTTGTAGCGCCCACGCATCTCTATAGTTATTAACTTCTAATAGCATGTGACAAGGCCATGCGGCCGGTATCTTAAAATGGCGTGGCAATAAAAAAAATTATGAATCTGATGAAAACAAGAGATGGCTAAGCGAGTAAATGACAAAACCCTGCTTGTTTTGAGTGGATTTTTATCCATTTGAACAGGCAATTTGTTTTTCACGTCAAGATTCACACAGTTGATTGAGCTAATACAAATAGATAAAAACTATGATATATATGGATGAGGTGTCTTATCCAGACAAAAAATTAGCGCAAGTACAACACCCACAAAATATTGGTTCGAAGAGACTCCTTTTCATTGCTTCAGTGAAGCTTACTAGGAAAATGCAGTTGCAAGAGTTCACAGGTTTTTATGTCAGACAAACAGAAAAATTTGTTTGATTAATAAAATACAAGATAAGATAAGATATGCGATATCAATGGTTTAGGGATGGCAAGATCCAATCTAATCCCTAATGGGGGCAGCTACGAGGCGCATTGGAGAGTGAGACCCTGCACAGGAAATAGCTACGAGGAGCAAATAATAAACTTTGCTTCAATTTTATTGTTACTAGGGAGTAATTAATACATCCCATCAATATTTCAGCTGGAAGGTAATAGAAAAAAAAAAGGGCTCTTTAAAGAGTTAAGGTCTTGCAAGTACATCATAGCCTTTTACTTTCACCAATGATTACCAGGCTGAGGCTCAATCTCAGAAGGCCAAAAGATTTGCATGGAAGAGCCTTGCTAACTTGCGATCCCCTTAACTTCTCCGTCACAACCAGGGTTCCGTTGACTAGAGATCGGGTAAAAATATGGGTGCACTATAGATCTGCCATTGTGGCAACTCCCTTTGTAAATAATTTTTCCGCTGCTCATGATCAGTAGACAATACTATTGCTGCAGCTATATCTGGTCCGGTTCTTTTCCTGCTTGCCTGTCAATGCCAATATTGTCCTGATCCCACTCTGATTCTTCAACTGAATCTGACTTTTCTACTATAAGTATGTTTTAAGCTTACTGAAAAAACTGAAATCAGCAAGGGAATCTTGGCATACCCTGTAATAAAGGGCCTCGCGTGCACCTCCAGGATAAAGAAGCACGTGTGATTTTTCCGACTGCAATTTGTAAAGATTGCCTGCTGTTACAGGTACCGCACCCAGTACTCTCATCCAATCAGTCAAAGAAAATTCAGTAAATGAATCCGCTGGCGTAAATAGGGTAGGAGAATGGGGAAAGTTACAAATATCCATTTGTCGTTGAACCTGAAAAGCAGGAGCAGAAGCTGTGAAAGCGCTTTTCAGCATCATCATCATCATCATCTGCAAAAACCGGTCTTTGTCTCTCTCAATGTGCTTATCAGTGGGTTAATTCAGAAATGCCCAAAACACAATTTTCAATTTGCATTTGTATTTGCAGACAGAGATTTGGAGGTAGAAGAATAGGAGATTTGGAGGTAGAAGAATAGGAAACTGCATAAATAAAGGAAGTGACAAACAAAGCTGACAGTTATTATGATACTAAAAAACAAAGGTAAAAACATATCAATTCGGGAAATTAGTCCTTGTAGAAGATATTCGGTCAAAAAATTTACTCCGTTTTCTGAGAAATTTAAGTCAATTCAATCCAATCAGACTAAATTGCATTACAACCTAATATGAATACCAATTAAAAGTCAAGATTAACAAAATTGTGTCGGTGATTAAAAGTTGCTCAGCTATATTCGATGGTGAGATCGATTGTACAAGGTTTAAATACAAGATGACAAGCTGTCTGCAGAACAAATCTGCTAACTATAAACAAAGTTAAGATCCCAACTTGGGCAACTCCCCTTAACAGATCAAAAATTGATCAAAGTATGCCAGTTACTTTGGGGATTGGACATATATATGTTTTGCAATCTCTAAGAATCCCTCCATATTGACCACAAGCTTTGATTCCACATCTTCCCTTTGACATTCCAATCTCCTTAATACACCTTCATCATACAACATATGAACGTAAAGAACTAGTCAATGTCAAGAATAAAAAAACGGATAAGAGTGCTAAACTTTCAATGTATCATAATACCCCAATAAAAGAAAGAACCAACCAAGTTCAAATAGAGTTTTCAGCCTGTTTCTGTCAGGAAGAAAAAACATCAACAAAATCGACCAATCTAATGGAAGAAATAAGTCACATGCATTGAAAAAAAAAAAAACCAGCACAGTTTGAGTAAATATAGATGGCAAACCCTGATTTCCCCTAAAGGACCCACATCTGTCAACTTCTAAGTACCCTTCTTTCTACCAGAGAACCAGTCTCCGACGGTTGTCTATACTCAGAGTCTAATCCAACTAAGGAAAAAGAATAACAGATGAAGTAACTGACATGAATTCCCAAGAAAATCCAAATAACTGTAGCTATAATATATTAGAGTTCACATCATGAAACAAAAGAAGATTCTAGAAATAATATCATGTTGTGAAAGGTCTGCAAGCAGCTGAGTCCAATTTAGCTGTCGTCAAAGCCCAAATAAATGGCCAAGATGTTGACTGAACTAAATGCCACGGTTATATCATTAAACATGGTAACTAAATCAAGTTGTAGGCAACAATTTGTCATCCAAACTCCAAACGAAGTTGTTCGTACAATTCCAAAGATGTTTTGTTTGAAATACAATAAAAGTCGTCTCCAAGTATTATCCATACTGATTTAGAGCTGTGATAGTATACATTGTAGAGGGAAAATACATTGATACAACATGCCCAAATGGATTAAAATATCTCAATTGCATTGATACAACTATAAAGATGTTTTGTTTAAAATACAATAGAAGTAGTCTCAGAGTTATAGGTGACAGTATCAGGAGTCAACGGTTTATGAGACATTTCAGCGAGGAGTCTTTTTGCCTCATCCATCCTTCTACTCTTGCAATATCCGTTGATCAAGATGTTATAACTATGAACATCAGTTGCGCAACCCTTCCCCACCATGATATCAAACACCTTTTGAGCCTCATACATTTGTCTCTGCAAACAGGATCTATCCATTAAAGCATTGTAAGTGTAAACATCTGTCTCTGCACCTTTTTCAATCATCATTTTAAAGAACCAGGCTTCCGAAACCATCCCTTCTTTGCATTCTTTGCATAGTCCATCAACCAAAATAGTGAATGTCACTGTGTGTTGCATAACATTCCTGTTGACCATTTCTTTAAACAATCTTGTTGCTTCATTCAATTGACACAAATCATAAAAACCATGGAGTATTGTATTATGCAGAGGACGTGCTGGATGAATTTGAGTGTGAAACTTTACGAAGGCAGGTGGTGAAAACTGGGGGAGCATCAACAGAAAGGTATGACGCTTCTTTTCAAGTTCTAATATAATTACATTCTATTTAAGAATGAGAATTAAAATAAAGGACCTCATCGATAGACTGGCTGAAATTGCATCTCTTAACTCTGACTTTAAACCTAGCGAGCAGGCTATTGATAGTCAAGTCTTGCATGAAGAAACAGAGAATTTTAAGAGTAACCCAGTTTGAACATTTTACCCAAAACAGAGAAAGCAAAAGTAACATGCTTGGAGTGGTAAAGAATCCATTTGTTTGCAGAAAGAAAGGTAACAAATCCATTTGTTTGCAGAAAGAAAGGACATCAGAGTAACGTTTGATTTTCACAATGGAACCCAATAACTCGTTAAATTCCACAACATGGGGCCTTCGGCGCATGCTAACCAACAGATTGAATGAAACATGGGCATCGGCAACACTATTAAGATTGCTATAAGAATTACCCTTTTTCCCTGGCGAACAACTTTTCGCTTCACAAGTAATGTGGAAGCACACCATTAGGGTATGGGTATGAGAATGGGGAAACTTACAAATACCAATTTGTTGTTGAAGCTGAGAAGCTGGAGCAGAGGCTGTGAAAGCGCTTTTCATCATCATCATCGTCTGCGAAAACTGCTCGGTCTCTCTCTCTCTCTCCCTCTCAATATTCTCAGCAGTAGACAGCAAGCGTCCTGAATCTCAGTATTATCTTGGAAAGGAAGGCGAAATAAAAACCCTAAACATAATTTTCACTTCGGAAAATTAGTCCTTGTAGAATATATTTCGTGAAAAGTTACTACTTGTTTGTAAACTTTAGTCAATTCAATCCAATTAGATTAAATTGCATTACATTATAGGATGGATACCAAATAAAATTCCTGAAAAAGTTTTTTATTTTGAAAAAAATAATTGTTTAGAAATTTTATAAACTGTTTACTTATTAAATATTTTAAAATATTATGATTTTTTTAATGACTTAGTATTTTCAAAAAACTTTTTTCCGTGTATTTGAAAACTTTTATTCCTTAAACAATTGAAAAGTTCAACTTTTTTTTTGTCGATTTTTTAATTTATTATAAAATTCTAAAAATTTTGATACGGAATATTTTGAAAATATTTTTATCTTTAAATATATTGATTTTTTTTTCATTCCTAAAACATTTGCAAAACATTTTATTTTTTTCTTAAGCATTTTCAAAATTTTAATTGGTCCTATAGTAAAAAAAAAAAAAAAAAAATGACAATAAAGAAAGGGTGTTTAACTGGAAAAATCCTTCTAAAATCAGGATTCATCAACCATAGTTAAAAAAAAGTTCATTAGTCACCTGATGAGATGAGGATTTAAAAAAAGAAAAAAAAAAAAACACTTTCATACTTTTAATTTCAGCGTTAGCGAGAAAATTCGAAACCTCTTGGATTCAATGGGCTTTGTCTCTGAGTGAATCCATATGTTATGGTTCGAGGAAGAGCTAAAAATGAAAAAGGACCAAGCCCAATTAAACATTTAAGAGGAAACAAAAAGTTAAAATATATTTCCGCTGCCGGGATTTGAACCCGGATTTCAAGCTTAGAAATTGCCAATGTGCTACAGCGGATTTGTTGATTTAAATCTTCCAGATATATTATTTATTGGTTAAAATATTTATCATACTGAAATCAAATCTTTTAACTACAGATTCCAATTAAGGATGACAATAGTTAACCATGGTTATGTTTTAAGGTATAATCACCACAACCTAACTATGATTGATTTGGAGGTTACACAGATGTCAATACTTAATAGCATTTTATAGGATTAGTTTTATTCGGATTGATTTTTATACAATATGTTTTTGGTCATCCATATTTTATGCTCTCTGCTGACTTCTGGAATCTGAGACTAAGTTAGAAAGTAACAATGGCACTGTGATTAATAATAATAATAATAATAATAATAATAAGTTAGAAAGTGGAAAAGGCTTGTTATTTTTTTTTTTTTTAGCCGTGGTTTGGGCTCTAGGGGGTTTCATTAGGCTGCTGCTCAACACATGAAATGAAACATAAAAGTGGCTTTTTAACCTTTTTCTATTGTTTGCTATGCCTTAATTTGCTTCTGTTCCTATGCAGTAATGAGAAGATCATACTCATGAAGTACATTTGCCATAAAAGTTGCTATACTCAATTAAAAAAAGGATCAATAAAATTGATTCACTTATTATATAGTTTTTCCTCTATTATTCAGCGTCCATTTAGATACTCTATTAATCAGGAGAAATTACAGGGAAAAAAATAATAAACACAAGTTATATTACTCTACTCCAGATTCTAGAAGTAAAAACTTGGGCTACCATTATAACCATTTTTCTCTCATTGTTTTGATAGATTTTTTGAAAAATTATATATAAGAAATATGATAGTAGTTCTGAGTGCTAAACAACACGTATAACATTGGGCTTACTGTAGCTATTTCAAGGAATTATAATTACAAGTGTTTTTTTAATTTATAAAATAATAAGATAATATTTTATAGACAATAAGCATAAATACTTATTAGTTCATAACCACTTACAAATGATTTTTTTTTTTTTTTACAACTTCAATATATATATATATTACTGTTCATATAATGAATGTATTTAACAATTCCTAATCATTTAATTTCAGAGTTAGGAATTTCTTTTAGATTCAGCACTAACATGTCGTGGGCTTGGCTCCGCTTTCACTGGAAAAATGCCATTGTTTCGTATTGAGTCAGGAGAGAACTAATCACAACATAGGAATTCATTACAGCAACAATATCAGAGGATAAAATATAATTTTAGAGTTTACAATACCAACAACCAATCAAATAGTTTTGGTTCAATAAAATAATTTTCCACTGTGCCCACCATAATCGATTATAATTACTATTTGTAAGGGGAACTCCTTGACACACAACTGCGCCATTCCAAACTCCAGAGTGATTGTCGATTAGCCTTTTTCCATAGCATCCTTTCTATCACGGTCATGCAGTTGGGGGCATTTAATTTTCATCACTTCTACTATGCAACATCCAAATGACAGTTTGGCATAAAGAATCGGAAGAAATTAAGGAATATTAGAGAAAAATGTAACAGTACTAGAAGCACCTATATTCTTAATTGCAAACGTAACTTGAATGATAAAGAAATAACGAATATGTAAAATCTACCACATTATATCTGGTGGCCATCAGCAAGTCCTTGGACGAGAGAACATATTGCAAAAGCTGCCTGGTGTACATACATGCCACCCAATGAACTGCAAACTATGGTGAAGAAAGCATATATTGGAAGATTTTAGCAAATTCATAAGCAAATGAAAGATTATTGCACGCTTCAACCATCCAAAAAAAGGTTATAGAACCTAAATCTGTGAAATTTCTGGAAAAAGCTGGCACGACTTATTACCTCTGCTATCTCATCTTCTCTACAGCCCCAAAAGGTACAATTTTGGCTCCAAACCTAGATGCCATTCTTACAAATTCTTGTTGTTTAGGCCAAAATAGCTCATATTCTTCACCCTGCAAATCACATGCCCACTTTAAGCAACAAATGTAAAAGGCTATACTAAAACAGAGCATGCAGCAGTAGTTACTGTTCTGCAATCAAGTTGGTAAAACACAGTTAAACCTTGTTATGTCCCTTGCTTCAACATTAATGCAAGTCCAAAGTTGAATATAAAGTCAATATAAAGTAATAGGCATTTACTGTGCCTAAGGTGGAAATGTTGGGTGCTGCAATGACTTACACGAGATCAAGCTGCTAGCTTCTTGAAATAAGACCAATACATCGCAGCATCACTTGGCATTTCCATCTTGAGGATCTCCACAAAGAAATCTACGTATAATTTCATCATCAGATACCCGATCAAACAACATCTCCAGTGTGGATGCATCAGCAGAGAACCCTCTGCTACGCATTTCTTGAAGAAGTTGTACTGCAACTGATGTGTGGCTGTTTTGAAGAAACCCTTGGATGATAATATTGTAAGACCAACTGTCCGGCAAGCAGCCATTGTCTGCCATTTTCCTAAACAGTTCATATGCTTCATCAGACTCCTGTTGTTTAAGAAGTCCACTGATCATCACATTATATGTCCTTACATTAGGTCGTATTTCTGAAACAAGAAGTTTGGAGAATAGTTCCCTGGCAGCTTCGATCTTCCCAACGATACACATACCTTCTATAAGGATAGTATAAATGATGATATTAGGTTCTACATTGCTCTTCTGCATTGCCTTAAACAGTCTTAATGCCTCGTCAAGATGGCCATGTTTACAAAAGCCATCTATCAAAATTGAGTATGTCATCAAATCTGGAAGAAGGCCATAAGAACACATCTCAACTAAAAGCTTTAGGGCATCCCAAGGTCTCCCTGCTTGGCAAAAACCTTTCATGAGAGTGGTGTAAGTGATAGTATCAGGAGTCAATGCTTTATGAGACATTTCAGCAAGGAGTCTTTTTGGCTCATCCATCCTTCTACTCTTGCAATATCCGTTGATCAAGGTGTTGTAACTTTGAACATTGGGTGTGCAACCCTTCCCAACCATGATATCAAACACCTTTTGAGCCTCATCCATTTGTCTCTGCAAACAGTATCTATCCATTAAAGCATTGTAAGTGTAAACATCTGGCTCTGCACCTTTTTCAATCATCATTTTAAAGACACACAAGGCTTCTGAAATCATCCCTTCTTTGCATAGTCCATCAACCAAAATAGTGAATGTCACTGTATCTGGCATAACATTCCTTTCAACCATTTCTTTGAACAATCTTGTTGCTTCATTTAATTGACCCAAATTGCAAAAACCATGGAGTATTGTGTTGTAAGTAACAACATCTGGTGGAATGCCCTGATCGACTATTTCAGATAATAAGTTCATAGCTTCATTTACCAGTCTATCTTTGCAAAGACTGTCAATAACTGTGTTATACACAACCAGGTTTGGCTTACAACCTTTTTCTTCCATCTTATTGAGCAACTGTAGTGCCATGGTCGTGTTGCCAATTTTGCAAAAACCATTTATGACAGTACCATAAGTAATAACATCAGGTTCATACCCTTTCTTTACCATAACATCAAACAATTTTACAGCATCAATGATTTTGCCCATAGAGAAAAGGCCGTTAATGAGGGTAGTAAAAGTGACAAGAGTGGGTTGAAGGCCAAGTTTGAACATTCTGCTCAAAACAGAGAAAGCAAAAGGAACATGGTTGGAGTGGCAGAGACAGTTAATCAAAATGGTAAGAGTATAAACATCAGGACTGATTCTTAACAGATCCATTTGTTTGCAGAAAGAAAGGACAGTAGAGTAATGTTTGATTTTCACAACGGACCCTAATAACTTGTTAAATTCCACAACATGTGGCCTTGGGCGCATGCTAACCAAGCGATTGAAAGAAACATGGGCATCGGCTACACTATTAAGATTGCTACAAGAATTACCTTTATTACCTGGCGAACAACTTTTAGCTTCACAAGTAGTATAGAAGCACAACATTAGGGTATGGGTATGGGTGTGAGAATGGGGAAACTTACAAATACCGATTTGTCGTTGAAGCTGAAAAGCTGGAGCAGAAGCTGTGTAAGCGCTTTTCCGCATCGTCATCTCTCTCTCT